CAGAAGCCACTAAGAAAGGCGAAATTGAAAGGGGTTTAGCTCAAAGTAGACTCAATTTCAATATTTCATCTAAAATAGCTCAGACTTTAATCAAAATCAGCCCAGTTGGCAGGAATTGAAGAAATAAACAGTTGGCTCCAGCAGGAAATCTCGCATCTCTTACGCAACATTTTAGCTCAGGATAGTGATATGTTCAGTTGCGCTATCTCCTATAATGACATATAGCATAAATCGTTGAATATACGTTTAAGTCACAATGAACAAGTAACAAGTTTCGCTAATCTCGCGTTTGTTTACACCTCTGTAAACAAAGCAGATCCCATTTCTCTATGAACTTATGAACAATTTTTTACCTTGAAAGTGAGTAACAGCCTACAACCAAAAAGCAGCCCTCATGGGCTCTTCAGGATCAAAAAAACCTATAAATTACTTCTTTGAGCTGAAGGAACTGTCTACGGCCATACCTAGGTGAAAACACCAGTTCCCGTCCGATCACTGCAGTTAAGTGAAAACGTCTGAGGGTCTCGTTCATACTATGGTTGGAGACAACATGGGAATTCGGGGTGTTGTAGGCTCCTCTACTTTTTTTGCTGCTCTTTTTTTCTGATCACTCACTGTTCGAGTGCGTTCATAAAAGCTAGTAACTCTGAGACTCCACAAGGATTCATTTGCTTTTGCAGAGCATACATTTACATCAGCGTATCATTATTTACATATCTTGCTTAGTATCAACGACTGCTTTGGTGGTTTAGTGGTATAATGCTTCGTTGCCATCGAAGCGACCCGGGTTCGATTCCCGGCCGAAGCAATTCTTTTTCATTCAACTGAATTTGACTAAAAAAACCCACATTAATTCTTTTCGATTTATTTTTTTTTGTTTTTAGTAACCAAACTGCTACCAGTTCAGTACCTAAAAAATTATGTAAACAAAGCAGAACTTATGGTATTAATGGTTGTTCCTCAAAGAAAACAGTCTAATCCTGAAGCAGAATAAGTAGGGTGAATCGCTTGGTCTCTATCGTCTTGTAGGTTTCTAGTAGTCCTATATTTAAATTTTTCTTGTTTTGCATCCTTGGTTTCAAAACTGCTGCAGCGTCTATTTCATCTCTGGTAATTACAAACCAACAATCCTTGTGAAGAGTCTTTATAGAAAAATAATGGATGGCACGAGATTGGTATTTATAAATCAATTACAAGACTGTCCAGCTGGGAAAAAAGTTCGCTTTCTGGGATACGTTACGGCTTATGATGATGGAATTTTATGTCTTCAAGATGGATTGAGTATGGTTGAATGCGATCTGACCGCCGTACTTGCAAATGTTAAGATTCAACCACGAGAATGGTTGGATATTGTAGGTCGTAAATGCTCAGATGGAAAGATCGATGTACTGTTAGTGCGTTCAGTAGTAGGAATTGATCTCCCAAAGTATAGAAAAACACTTCAATGGCGACAGGAATTTGCATCTGAATGGGATTCCCTTTAAACGCTCCCCATCTTCAATTTTGTAATCTGTTCCGAGCTGGGTTCAGGTCAAAGTACAGAAATGAACACTATAAGCGTTGCATTGTTGATTATCTTACAATATAATACTTTGCTCATGAAGGGAGGAACCTATTAAAAAATAAAAAAAATAAAAAAAAATTGGATGACTCAATGAATACCTAAATTGATTCTAAGTATATATCATAAACTAATAAACAACTAAATTTTAAAGAACGAACAATGCAAGGAATTATCAATAATTTTTGGAAAGCCCGGTTAGGCATCAGAAGGGTGGCTATCCGTTTTTAAGCCCAGATCCTTTTCATCGGCGACATGGACCACTTTGTTAATTTGAGACCTTGAGACTGGGTATTTGGTACTGACAGTGTCCGCGGCAAACAGAAAATACCCCAAAAAGGTACCGCAAAAAAGAAACAATATAACATAGCCATTGTAGTACATAGCCAAAAGCATGGCAATATAAGTAACTATGAATTGGACAATGTAGAAGCAGGAGCGTATAAAGTGAAGACATACACGGGTGAACCAGCTAAAGCCGCTAGGAGAAGAAGCGACGAAGGAGCTTTCAGGAGAATGAGGGCATGAAGAGTTAAGCTGATCTCGAGAATGTCGAATACACCAACGGTCGAATTCACGGTGTAAGCGACGAATGAGTTCCAGAGCCATCATCATAAAAATGATACCAAAAATACTTCCAACAAACATACTCTTGCTACGTATATGCCAGTGTTTGCTGATAAAGCAAGCATCAATTGTGTACCAGTTCCAATACATGGAGGTTTTACAGGAAGCACCGGTGGAAGAAGCAGTAGAAGAGCTAGAAGTAGTGGAGTTCGTCATATTCGACATTCCACCCATAGTCGTGCTACTCATTTTGGAGGCTCCTCTTTGGAAAAGCTCAACAGCAGAAGCATCCTTTTCAGGATCCAACAACGATTTTGAATTTTGTTTCAAGCTTCCGCCTAACCTAATTAAGGAATTACCCAGGTTTTCTTTGGCCTGCTGAATCAACGACATATCAATTAACAATGAAGCAACAAAAAGCAAAGGGAAATTGGAATTAAATAAAGAGGATGAAAAGCACTGAATGTGATATGAAGAAAGGAAATTAATATAAAGGGAGGAAAAATAAACAAGTTAATTTTTATCTCTTTGAAAAGGATTTTTTTTTTAAAAAAAAAGAGTAGAGAAAAAAAAAACGAATCAAAAACCGAAAAAAGTCTGAGAATCTTCAATTCTACTAAAAGGAATTTTGACGACTTTTAAGCCTAAGGCAGCTTTACTTTTGGTCTTTCTTTTCGTATTCGTAAACAAAGTCGCTCCAAATCCCTTTGTTGAAATCAAATGGTGTTACCGATGGTAAACAGAGAAATGAAGGAAGAAGACCGTATAAATACCAAAATCCACATTTGAGGTATTTTTGATGTTTCCACTAAAAAATGTCTCAAGGAAGCACAATTGTCTCGTATTGTTACATCGATAACCGTGCGCGCTGCTACTCGTAAACTTAGCGAGTCGCTTATACTAACTGTAAATGAAACGGGCTAAATGATGTGTAACAAATGCGATGAGTGAGTATGTATAGACACAAAAAGGATAAATAAAAGAACAACGATGAGAAAGAATATATTAAATAAACCTGATCAAACCCATCATGTCCTTCTTTACACGATACATAGGATTATGAGACTCCTTGGATGACCAGAGGTGCATTCTAGCTCGTCTCATTCACAATTTTTATTATAACAGTTACTCTCATACAATTTTATACAAGACATAAAGGAATACAATCCATGTAAGCTCCAAAAATGGAAAAATTTAAAAATAATGGTCACAGCCAGGCTCGAACTGGCGACATTCGACTTATTAGATCGACATGATAACCAACTACATCATGCGACCATTAATTGTAAAAGGAGAAATGATAACTAATATGTTCCAAAGTATGAAGCTTGAATGAAATTACTGAGCTGGTAGGCTTCTGCAATATGAGAGTTTTCCACTAGATACACAAAGAAAAATTACAAATCCTAATAAAGGCCAACTTGATGAATCAAGTGAGAATGTCAAAAAATTGGGCTGTTCTGGGAATCGAACCCAGGACCACCATCACCCTAAGATGGTATCATACCACTAGACCAAACGGCCAATTCTAGTAGGATATAGAGTTATACTTATTAAGATAGTTGGACATACGAAACTTTCTCCTCGACGAGCTCCTTAGTTCACTTTTCTCCTGTAAGTATATTTTTATTTATTTACTTTTTTTTTTTTCGTCTTAACCATTGGCTTTTTTAAATACCGGTAGCGTGGATGAATTGCTTTAAAACAATGATAATCTATGCGTTTATGCGCTTACAAGAATGTTTCTCAGGCTGTTCCCCCTTTTTCTAAACCGTAAACAAAGTGAATGGAAGCAATTAACTAAGTTCTTCGGCTGGATGTATGGTTTTCTGTTTTTCTTTTTTACAATACGTTTTCTCTTTTAGTGACAGTTCAACCAGTAGGACTTTAGACTAACGAAAGTTTGATTTCTTTAGTACAGGTTTCATTCTTTGTGTTTGCAATTCTCCTAAAGGACTTCATGATTAGATTATATTTTTGCTGAAAGTAATTAATATAAAAAAAAAAGAAAAAAACTTGAAGATAGGAAAACGTCTATAAAAGTATAATTAAAAACTGTGAAAAGGTGAAAAAAAAAATTTGCTTCGGCCGGGAATCGAACCCGGGTCGCTTCGATGGCAACGAAGCATTATACCACTAAACCACCAAAGCAGTCGTTGTATTTCTCGTACAGTTAAGACATAATTAAACTGTAATATCTTTTGCCTTAAAGAGTCACTAGAGAGAAAGTTCCTACTACTTTTCTTTCTTCTACAGTCTTTGGTAACGTTGACAAAACGCGTAAATCCAAGGTAAGAGATTTCCTGAAGAATTTCTAAAGAGTCATAGGTGTCTTTGCATCTATAATAAAAATTTATCAACCTAGAATTGGCTGGAAGAGGCAAAAATTACATGCTCGTGAAACCGATTTTTGAATTTTGAAGCAGTCATCTCAAACTGGTTATTTTGAATTGCATTAATTATTTTTAATATGTTTCATTTTATAAAGCAGAGCTGGATGCGGCAAGGGATCCTTATGCAGATCCGAAACATAAATCGCTTATATCCAAAGATGCGGATCCCTAAACGACCAGAGGTTCCATTAGGAACAAAAATCGCTGAAATGGATGCTTCTGCAGATGTCTACTATAATCCACCAGCATCTTCGCCGGACACCCGAATCACACCGCTGTTATTTCGATATGATGCTCCATCAACAGAAGAACGGGAGACATTAGCAGAGAAAATCAAAGATTCACTTTCTCCAGTTGTTTCCAGAAAAGCCAAATCAAAGGGAAACCTTCGTTTTTCGGTTAATCACTTGTCAGATGAAGAAAAGAATGCAATTCACGACCTGCGGTTGTCGGATCCCAACGAGTGGACGACCGGAGCTCTGTCAAAAAAGTTTCGAGCCACTCGTCTTTTAATTTCTAGGATTTGTGAAGCTCCCAAAGAACGCCTGGCAGCGGTGGAAGAGGAACTGGACCAGCAAAAACTTCATTGGGGAAAGGCGAAACGCCAAGTTCGGAGAGAAAAGCTTTCTCGAAATAACTTTCGTGTTTCAGAGCGTGTTTCCAAAATTTAATACTTTGTTTAGGTTCATAATGGACTGATTGATCTATCAAGATGATTTTGTATACCTCTCATGATTGCTTTTTGTTTATCAACAAGAATTCATCTATATATCAGTAAAGTATGCTTCTAATAGATTTCTTTTAGCGAATTCTCAGAGTCACAAACCAAAAATTACTCAAGCTTGACTTTTCTTTTCTATTAAAAACCCCCCAATAATCTACTGAAGTGCGATGAATAAAACTAAACTTTAACTTCACAAAGACATTTTAAAACGGAAAAATTAAAAACTTAATCCAAGGATTTTTTATCTTAATAGATTTTGCTTTTTATATTTACTATTTTTGACCAAAAAACTCTAACACTCTCTTACAATGTTTTAAATGATTCTACATCACATGGTATATTGACATCTCAAACTGTCTTGTTTTCGAGTTATCCGCACCGTCCTGAATTGTATAAAATATGATGATCTACAACAAACTGTAGAGTCTAAAACAAAGTTATGCCACACGATGGCAAGTTTTTGGGATCAACGAAATTAATCATTCTGAGGAATATTCAAAAGAAGCAAAGAGAATAAGGATCTCTTTCTTTCCGCTTCCTCCGTATCATCGTTAATTTTGTTCTCCCTTGTTCAATACCATTCAGCGGGATCTGGCAAAGTGACATCAGCACGATGCAAGCTGTAGCAGGTGGTCTAAAGAATGATTTAGTACGTACGAGAATGATCTCATGAATTCAATAAGTTACGTTTTTCCTTGGCGTAACTCTATTTATTCATTTTGTATGAAATAAACGTATAGCAATGGTGCGTACTATATAAGGAAGCGGTCGTCGAGAATGTTGGTACATATATTCCTTATAATAAAACCTTGAGTTGTGAGTCAATTGTAATTTATCGAATTGACTAGGTTGCTATTGAATACTACTATTGAGTTACTGGTACCTTTTCATAAGTAAAAGCAATTATCAGACAAAGAATTTCACGAATCTACATAATATACCAATCGAAACCTTTCCTTACTGAAAGATAAATCAGTTCAATTTCCTTTTTTTTTTCATGATGGACAGACGTGTAAAGATTGGCGGTATAGTGGCTGCTGGTGCAGCTGTTGCTTACATGTTTATGAATCGCAATAAAGAACCTAAAAACAAATTGGGGAAGACAAATGCAGACTTTATGAATACCATTGAACAAGAAGGCCGCCGCTTTGATCGTGCTGTAGGCGACACTGCAGATAAGGCCAAAACATTTGTACAGGATAGTCGTGACAAGGTCGCAAACGAACTAGAAAAGCCTCGTGAACAACCGCAGGATTTACAGAGAGATGCAAAGACAAAAACAGAAGACCTTTTGCATTCTCCCAAGAAAAAAGATGAATCCAAATGGTTTTAAGTCGAAACTGCGCATCTCGAAAGGGACCGACTGATGTTGATATGACATCTTCTTCAATCCGTTAGCACTGCGACTCTAAGATTTTCGTATTGATACTTCTGTTATGCTTTATGGTTTATGTCATTATGTTTAAATTACGGCTACTTTTTAGATCAACATATTGAGTAGTGGTTCCAAGTTATGCCAACAATGTTAATTTTTAGTCTACCTATTCAAAACAAAACAACAATTGTGTATTGTGCCATTGTAGTTTAGTAATCTGTACTATTATTCGGTTATAAAATGTACGAAAGGTATCCTTTGAGTATAATATCCGAGTAATCTTGCTTTCAAAAAGGAATTGTTACATTAGAGTACTTTAATGCAAGATATGAAATTTCAGGGAACGTATTTCTCGATTCTTCAGTCTGTCCTTATACTTCGTACTGGACCGATTTCCCTTTCTTAATGCTAAATGAATTCTATTCAACTGTACAGTAATACGTTAGCATAGGAATCGTACTGAAAGTATGAATACGTTCAGATGAAATAAGCAAATAAGTGCTTGTATTTGTGACATTAGAGCTTATTTGACTTGTAATTGCTAACAGTTACTATTATCATCCACTGAATCGTTGAATTAAGTTGCATAAACAAAAGTTGTTTCGTTCGACCAGTAAATAATGACTGCAAAACAGAAGACAATATTTACTATTCTAATTGTTCCAAAATCACTCATTCATGAAGCGCCATTTAATGATCAATTCTCAAGCATTCTCACAAATTGCGCTTCATGACTTTATTTCTTGTCTTGATTTAAGTAACAACGTAAATCTATATACTCTGTAGTATTATGGATGTTAAAGAAAGTACAATAATATTATAAATTCCTTTGACTTATGAATTGTCGCGGTGTCGAGGCAGATATCTTACATCGTATAATATGTAAATCGAGTGGAATGAACAACTCTAGCTGCATCGTAATATGCGTATTGAACGCTTGTACTACGTTTATAGTAGCTACTGTTGTAAAGGAATCTGATTAGATTAACTAAATGAGACGCTTGAAAGACAGTCTAGTCTCATTTAGTCAGACCGATCAAATCTTCCAATCTGGCTGTAAATTGATGCGTATATAGCTCTTTTGAAATAGCGAACGTAATATGCTTTTTTTTTTAATAGTTTCCCAATGTGCTCAGGTTCCTTATCTCATAAACCATACTTTCCATAGCGATATCTTAAAATCACTGTGTACAGTAATACTTTTAACGTTAACAAAACATCTATCATGGCTGCCATAGCTAGGTTTTTACGCTGTATAATTATAAGACTGAGTGTATGAATTTGAGGGTTGTAAAAAGTTCTCTTTGTATATATTGGGCTCTACATAGTATGTACTATAAGTATTTTCAGAGTCCACTGACTAGACTAGCTAAATAAACGACAACTAGATTTATTAGGCCAGATCCGTCAAATCTTCCAACCTGACGATTCGTACTTCCAACGTTTGGTAAATATATCTTCTAAAACAAATAACGTTGTTCCTTTTGATAAGATAATAAGACCTCTATTTTATTATAATAATACAATAATTCGGCCTTGGCAGTGGCAGAGACGAGACGCTATCGTATTAGTGTATCTTTAAATATCATCTTAGCTTTCATACTTAATACGTTACTTCGAAAATAAGGCACCCTTGTGCAATCCTTGACGTTTCAAGTACTGATGGCTTTGCACGTTCTTTCGTTAACCAAATTCAACTTAGTAAAACACGTCCGTCACAGTCTATTCGACGCTTGATTTACTTACTGATTTGTTTGCATCTAAAATAAAAAAGATGACCATGAAATTCTCGCATCCAGCGAAACGTATGTTGAAAGAATCAATGTAAACAAAGCACTGCTTTGAGCCAACAAGAGCTGTGCTTCTAGATTTCGTTTGATATTCAGGATGTTCTTTTCTAATCTTTCACTTTTTAGCCTATTACATGACAAGCGATCCAGAATCGTTCGCTTACGAATGCGTTGTTCGGAGATGGCCAGCCTTGCTGTCCAACGTCGTTGACGACATTTCCCGCCATGTTTCTAAGGCTCTGGAAGCTGGCATGTCAGAAAATTCTTCCTATGTTACCCAAGGAAAATCCATCATCAGTCAGCTGAGTCATCTCAAGTATGACATTCAGCATAACCGTCCCTTATTACCTTTGGAGGGAGAAGGATCCGACTTGGATGAGTATAATGAAGAATTGAGTCAAATCGGCCCCTTGACTTGGGGGGATGCTCCTTGGTTGTATGCTGAATGTTACTTTTATCGGATCATGAACCTCTTCTTACAAGCTCACTCTGAGTGGAAGCGCCATGATCCCTTTTTTGACCAAAAAGATTCTACCCTGAAGTCTAGTCATGCGGCCATTGAAGACTTAGCTGCTCGCTATGTCCACCTTGCCCGTGAGCTTGAATCTGTCCACCAAAAACACGAACCCGAGGTGGCCTACATGATTTTCGTTGAAATGGCGCAGGTTGCTTTATGGGGAAATGCAACCGACCTTAGCTTACTAACAAATTTAACCTATGAAGAATTGCAGAACCTTCAGGGCCGAAAGGCTGTAGAAGAATCTCAAAAAAACATTTTGGTGAATGACTTTCCAGCGGTCTGGCAAAAGCTTCAAAGTCATCGGGGTGGTCGTATCGATTTTGTCTTGGATAATGCTGGATTTGAACTCTATGTTGATCTTGTGTTCGCAGCTTACCTCCTAAAATCAGGCATTGCTGGCACAATTATTCTACATCCCAAGGATATTCCTTGGTTTGTTTCTGACGCTTTAGTGAATGATATTCCGCATATATTTACTTCTTTGACATCTTATTTTTCTGGTGATAACATTCACCAACTCGCTTCAGATCTCCAAGAGTTTCATGCTGAAGGAAAAATCCTAATCCGCCCTAATCCTTTTTGGACAACCGCTCATTATTTTGGTCGTATGCCTGACTTTGCTCCGGCTTTAGTTGATGATTTGGCTCAGTCGGATATGGTCATCTTCAAAGGTACATTTGTCTCATTACTTTACTTCCCTACTAACGATTTTAGGTGATTTGAATTATCGCAAATTGACTGGCGACTGTGAATGGCCCAAGACAACTCCCTTCGAAGTTGCTCTTGGACCCCTTGCTGGAAAATTTAATATCCTAGCTCTTCGTACATGCAAAGCGTAAGTAAATTTTCGAAAAGAGCTACTGCTTACTAATGTTTAGTGATGTTGTCGTCGGTCTTGAAGAAGGCTTATTTGAAAAGATTGCTGAACAACTCCCTCATTGGGAACGAACGGGTAAATATGCCGTTGCTCAATACTGCCCAAGAAATTGAGTTTACATCTTTTGAATTTACGTAATCTTTTGACTATTTATACAGTTCGATAGCATAGAAACAAGATGCAATGATGAAATGCTATTCTCAATGAAAGTAAATCTATGCACCAAACTATTTTCCGTTTCCTAATCTTTCAATCCTTTAATACTCGTTTAAAACCAAGGGTTATGAAGCTTTATTTTTGCTCTGCTTTTATTAAACAATGCATGTTAGACACCCACTCCCCTGTCGCAAATATGAGTTTCTTTTGTTGTTTCATTAACGCCCACGACGTAAATTTTCCTACTTCATTGCTTATCGTCGATAATTGTACCAGTTTTTTGTTTACTACTGCAGTGCGCGATTTAAATTTGAATCGGAGATTTACTCTTGAATCATCTCTGATACTGATAACTTTACCGCACTGCAAAGCAATCCAGTAAAAATTTTTAGCGTTATCAAACCTCGGCTTAATGTCGGTGAGGTTGCGCCGTAGCATATAAATCACGTAAAAGACGGAATCTGTCCTTTGCACTTACCACCACTTTCTGGTACGCCATTACAACTCAATTTTTGACCCCTTTCGGTCAATTATCGCCTTTTAAACAAGTCAATTCTTGTTTAAAGAAGCGTATTTTAGGTATATTCCTTTTTTCCGCTTAATTATCTCTTATTTTTCACTTTTCTTGTCTGTGAATTGATTCATCGCTGATCCTTCCTTCCTGTGAGATCTTATTTGTTCTTCTTTTTCTATATAACCGTTTTTATTTGCGTTTATTTCTCCCTATCTAAAAATGGGGTTAAAATGGAATCCTTTCTCTAAGTCTAAGAAGCCCAAGGAACCTCTTCCTCTGGAACAGTATGAAGCGGCTGATCAAAAAAAAATAGCTGGCTTAGTCAACAAACAAGAGGCAAAGCTCCTTATCATCGCGGGTACTGGATTTTTATTGGATAGTTACGACTTGTTCATTATCAACCTCGTGTCTCCAGTCATTTCTTATTTGTACTGGGGTGGTTTAGAAGGCCATGAAGACTACCCATCGGGAATTCGTGGTCTCGTAAATGCTGCCACAAACATTGGTAACATTATGGGACAGCTTATATTCGGCTTCTTGGGTGACTTTTTCGGCCGTCAGTTCGTTTATGGCAAGGAAATGATGGTCGTTATTATTGCCACTATTCTTTTAATTAGTCTTCCCGACCGCCTTCCTACTCCTCTTGACAAGGCGATGTGGCTTTTTACTTTCCGTGTTGTACTAGGTATTGGTATTGGTGGTGATTATCCGATGTCTGCTTCCATCACCTCTGAGCAATCTATGATTAACCGCCGTGGTACTTTGCTAGCTTGGATTTTTTCCAATCAAGGTTGGGGAACTCTTGCCGGTTGTATCGCTACTCTGATTATCCTCGCGTGCTATAGCACATCTTTAGACAAGCATGGTGATTATCACAAATTGGATGGTGTATGGCGTATTCAATTCGGCATTGCCCTATTCCCCGCTTTTCTTGTCTTGATTCCTCGATTGAGAATGCAAGAATCGAAACAATTTAAGGACTCGAAGAATGTGCATGCTCTTAATGAAGAAGAAAACAATTCTCAGATCGATGATATAAAGAAAGACCCAGAAACGTATACTCCCATGGACCCTGCCCAGCATTCGGACCCAGGAAAACTAACCGAAAAAACATCTGGTTCTGTACAAGTTGAACCACACGATGCTTCTTCTGTGACTTCCAAAGATCTATCTTCTGGTAAGACGGAGCAGAAGCAAGAAGTAAAGACCGGCTCTACCTTCGTTGCCTACTTTTCTGAGTGGAGACACATGAAATTATTGCTTGGTTCAGCTATCTCTTGGTTCCTTTTGGATATCGCATTTTATGGTGTCAATCTTAACCAATCTGTTCTTCTCGACGAGATGGGCTTTAACAGCGGAAGAAACCAATATAAGAAATTGCAGAGAAATGCTATCGGTAATTTGATTATTTCCATCGCCGGTTATGTTCCAGGATACTGGGCATCTGTTTTTTTGATTGAAAAATTGGGTCGCAAATGGATTCAAATGCAGGGATTTGCTGTTTGCTCTCTTTTGTTCGCTGTACTTGCTGGAAAATGGAATACTATTTCCACTGCTGGAAGATTTGTATGTGTTGCTCTTGCCCAGTTTTTCTTTAACTTTGGACCAAACACAACTTCATTTGTTTATCCAGCTGAAGTATTCCCTTCAAGAGTTCGTGGCTTCTCTCATGGAATCTGCGCGGCTTGTGGTAAAGCGGGTGCCATTCTCTCTGGTCTTTTATTTAATAAGTTGACGGAAGTAATTGGTTTTGCCAACGTGTTGTGGATCTTCTTTGGTTGCATGGTTTTTGGCATGATATTCAGTTTGCTTTTGCCCGAAACTGCTGGTCGTGATGCAGATTTGGTTGATCGCCTTGAAATAACTGCCCTTCAACAAGGAAAGCATTCTATTATCGACCGGACTGAGAAATGGGCTTGGTGGAAACACGGATTTTAATTTTACCTTGTGTGTATTACATATTTTGTTGACTACAAGTCGGCAATTTGTTGATTGTTGATTGTTTGTTGTTTGTTTTTTATTATTATTTTCATATTTCCAAAGTTTGAAGCAGTAACTATTAGAGATTTCGTGACTTTTGATTTGTTTAAGCTGTTCTTTTGACTTTCCAATATTTATCTTTACTATGTTTATTTTTATGCACAAAGAAGATTGATGTACTTGGCAGTTTTACTGTGGATATCATCTTTAAAACATTAGTAAACAGTGGGTTTTCGTAGAGTTAGTTTGTTTCTGAGAAGTTTGTGTTTCTTTTGATAATACTTCTTCCAAGACCTTATATTATATATATCGAAAAAAAAAGGAAACGAAACTAAAGCATTGTTTTAATTAATATATATTTATTAAAGTTGTATATATATCTAATAATTTCTTTTCTGTATACAGGCATAAGTGGTAGATTCCATAAATTCGTCGTTCATTATACAATTATGTTGGTAGACTATAGTAAGTCTCTTGATCTAAGAACTTGAGTACTAGCCCTGTAAAAGGGCGCTCTTCCTTAATCCATTTAGTAATGTTTGCTAGCATTGTAATGATGATATGGAAACAGCATGGCATACGTCTCTTCAGTTTCATAAAAGTAATTCCAACGTATTGTATTTACTTTTTTTTGCTTTGTTTTACTTATAACATTAAAATGAAAACTTATACTCCTCTTGCTGTTCAGAAATGCTGCTAAAAAAAAGAGTATATATAAATATCATCTCATTTCGTAATCTTTTTTTATTTATAAATATAATAGTATTCACTGTCTTAATCGTTGGTCAAGATCTAAGTAAATCAACTTTCCTATTTACAGTTTTAAAGGGCAGGAATTCTGACATTCCTAACATTGGAGCACAGTCTAGCATACTAAAAATACCTAGTAAATCCTACTGAAAGACATGAACGTAAAACGAAGAATCCTTTCGATGTTAGTATAGTTAATTAAAGGGAAATAAGTTAAGATTGATAAAAAGTGAAGGAACTAAAACAATCATTCTCGTGTGCAATATTTTGACCCTTTTCATTATGAGTGCGGCATGGAGGAAAAAACTACCAATTACTTATAAATCGGAATGCTTGGATGTTTACAGAGGATTGTTAAAATGCTGTAACCAATTCGTAGAGCCCGAATACCGGTCTGTTCTATTAGAAATAGTGCGAACAAGGACCCGCCATTATCAGAAAATAACAAATGCATATAAAGCCGAATCACTTTTACAAAATGCTAAAAAGGTATGAAAAAAGAAGCCCGAAATTGCTGACATCGAAATAGTATCGTGAACGACTTGAACAGGCCAATCGAGGTCAAATGCCTGCGAAACAAATAAGACAGGAAATAATGAAAAAATATAAATCCTACTTATATCAAAAAAGACAAGAAGTTCCCATGAAACGAGAACAGCGTTTAGCTTCAAATTTACCAAAACCAAAAAAGCCAGTTTCTATCCAAGATTATATCCGTGATGGGAACATTCTTTACCATTTTGTAATGACTACCGGAGGAGATACTTTTTTGCGGCCAAAATATTGGAAGCAAAGTGAGCGCATAAGTATGATGTTGAAAAAACGAATCGAAACCAAAGAGCATAGACACCGACTTATCCAAGCAATGAATCATATGGTCTATCATGCATCCTTAGAGGATGAGTTTTTAAAACCATATACGAATGAAGACATAGGATTTGCAGAATCACTCATAGAGAATGTCCGGGAGATTGGAAAAAAGCTTGAAAAATCTTACCAACAGGCGTCTAAATCCTGGCATATTACAAGTCACTTATATAGAATGATTGTTATGGAGGCAGAACGACAACGGCTAGAAAAGCGATATTTTAAAACCTGGAAAAACTTAGGAAGGATAAGGTCTAGGCATATAGATGATAACTAGCATTGTTGGCGATATTCAACATAACAAAAAATCACCAACATAATTCAACATCCACATAGGAATGCATAGTAGAGAAGTCCATCACAGTATTTTAGATTAGTTATTCTAAACAAATTATAAAATTCCCATTTAATAACAATTTTGTCTCAGTTCATCGCTATGTCGCTTGCTATATGCAGTAGACTGATTGATAATTAACTAGGGTCTATGATATTATTTTGTTTTCTCGTTCGTCTTGGGTACTTGGTGCATGTTGTGAAGTTACCCAGTTATTTTCTATGTCCTGTAGCCTTTGTAAATCGTCATCATCAACAAAAAAATCGTCTCCATCATCATCATCATCATCATCATTTAACGTACAAGTAGTCGCGGACTCATCTGGCTCCTCCTCGTCTAAGGTCTGTTGAGTATGAATGTTCTCTGAAACTGAATCTTGCGAACTGCTTGACTCTCGGTCGGTATCCGAAGTCTCTTCCTCATTAGAAACTTGGTCATTAACATCAGCCTGAATACTTTTTTGTCTTATGTTTTTCTTTCTCTGTTCTTCTCTTCGATCTATTGTAGATCGTAGTAAGCTTAACAAATTAGATACACGAGAAAGCTTATTCTTTGGCTCCGGAATTTCGTTCGAGTTCAACTCCAAAGTCCTTGAACGCTTTAAAGTATTCCTTGAGTTATCTCTATCAATAGACTTATTGGTTGTACTTGAAGGCATAGACACAGACCGGTATACGACTTGATTTTGCTGCAGCCGATCCCACAAGTTGACAACAGGATCGTTTATAGCTGGACTTGGCTCTCCTGAAGATTTGGTAAATAGCTGTGAGATTTGCTCATTAGACAACGATTTACTTTTCATTGGTGACAATTTCCAAGATACACATGGCTGATCACTTTTTGGAGAATCTGGCATAGCTTATATGAAATAAAGCGATTTCCTTTATAAGAGCAAATTAATAGGCGACTAAACGTTCGTTGAACAACGATCGACAGAAGAATCTCTAGCTGTACGGTTCAACTCAGACAATACTCAGATCTCTATCCTTGTTTTTTATCTTTTTTTATTAAAAAATAGTTTGAATCAATCACGAAAGAATTCTGTAAAGCTCAAAAGAGTCATGTGTAAAAAACACGTTCTTTTTGAAAATTTGGAGAAATCTTGGTCCTTTGCAATTACCAAAGCGCTAATTCTTAGTTGCCAAATAAAACAGAAAATAAATAAGTAGTATTTTGTAAATTAAACTAAAGAACGCGCACTTGAAATATTTGGTTACTGAAATCAAGCCTGTAGGGTAACGTGAATCTGACTGTAAACAAAACCTTTGTAGAACAGATAAAAGACAATATGCACAAGAGAAATTATCTTTTAAAACCATCAATGCCTATATAAACCTATCCAAAAAGTCCTGCTACGTGTAAGATGTGGTGTCTACCAAGTATATTTATTTTACATGACATGAATCTATCAAAAACTACAATTGGCAAACATTTAACCAAAAGAACACAAGCAGTTCATTCATTCACCTATACTTTAAATTGCAACAAGTGTGATCTAATATCATTTAACAGAACAAGATGAAGGCTAAGGCAGTAAAAACAAAAGTGAAGAATAAAGTCTCAAACGATGGAATAGCTCGAGGAGAAGAAGACATTGTAATGAGACCTTGTGAACCATGAAAAGAACGAGTAGAATAGGTGGGAGAATAGAAAGAGGTGTAGACAGTAGTAGTTTTCTCGCGAGCCGTGGTAGGCATAACAGTCTGATTAATAGTAGGCAACCTAAAGTCAGACAGTTTTGTGTGAGGGTATAAAACCATTGGATAACCACTGGTTAATGTAGCGGTAATATTACCTCCATGTCCAACGGTCAGAGTTCGGTGCCCAAAAACATCGGAAACAACTTCGTTCTCCGAGTATTGGGTAGGGACTTTGTAGACAGTTCCATTATCCTTACTACCAAGGTTATTATATAAAAGGAAGACATCACGCTTTTTAGCAGCAACATGATTCAGCTCAGCTTCTATAATTGTGTAATTATGGCGTGTAAAATCGGAATCCTGTTTCATAACCTGTTTTCGGAAATTGACTATAGTTTTAATCATGGTATAGTAAGGATTGGTTTGATCGTACTTAGATGTCCAAAGAGCTTCACGATTGGCAGGATCCAATCCACCATAGAAACCTTGTTCTTGTCCATAATAAACAGATGGAATACCATCCCACAAAATAGCAAAACTATAAGCGGACATGATAATCGCTTGATCGTCAGTATAAGATGCATAACGGGGCAAATCGTGGTTGTCCAAAAAAATTAGCATTTGTCCAAGATCAGAGTTTGAGCATTTGCCGCTAGTCATTAGCTCCGTTTGATCCTTAAGCGTCCCAAAACCTTTGTTTGGCTGAAATTTGTCATGAGCCATAAAACTAAAATTCAAACCTAGACGAACAACGTAGTTGGTTACACCTATATCATAGTTCATGTAATCACACAACACATTTGGGTCATAGTCGAAAACCTCACCCATAGAAAATACACCGGCAGATTTGACAAAATCAGGGAAAAAGCTTTCGTTCATCATCTTGACAGCATCAATACGAAGACCGTCAAAATCGAGTTGCTGCACAGAACTGTGAATGTGCTTATCAAGATATTTTTTTACATCGGAGCTTTCCACATTCAAGTCGGCAAGAAGCACACCAGAATCTTGCCAGCAGTCTTGAATATTTGTCTTATTGTCGGATTTGTTCCAATCAATGATACAATAAGGATGATAATATTTTTCCTTGTTAAAAGGATAAACCTTAGAATAATCAACTTGATCATAAGGACCAACCAATGCCATAGAGTTAACAACTGTGTCCACCATTACCCATATATCACGCTTGTGAGCAGCGCTAATTAAGCTAAGAAGATCATCTTGAGTACCAAAATGTTCATTATATTCTTCATAATTGATGTTCCAATAACCGTGGTAAGCCTCGCCGGCGCCAGCGGGATCACCTTCAATATTCTTGTCGATAGGAGAAATCCAAATGGCAGTAAAGCCAAGATCTTCAATGTAGTCTAGCTTATTTTCAATACCTTTCCAAGTACCACCACAGTAAGCATTGGAGGAAGGATTGCAAGGATGGTCGGTGCTTCCGTCTTCTTTAGCAAAACGATCCGTTACTATTTGATAGATAATTCGAGTTCGCCATTCGTCAGCATTACGGGCCGTGGTATATCCAAAGAATGCAACAAGGAAGAAGAAGGGAATCAAAAGCGATGATAGATTGAACATGAAAACTGTTATAAATTCTGAACTGAATGGGTATAAATAGAAAATAAAAATGCTCCGGAAAATGAGAGATATATAATGAGAGATCGTAAATTTACAGATTAAAAAAGAGAGAGATGAGAAGAAAAGAAAGCAATTAATAAAAAAGAAAAGAAAGTAATAATGAATAAAATATGCAAATCAAAATGCAAAAAAGAGGGATGAAATGGGTATCAGGTATTTTTCAAAACCAAACGGACCTTTTTTCAAAAACGAACTTTCGCTAAGCTAAGCCCCCGAAAAAAGAATAATGCGAATAGCTTAAAGTATTATTTGTGAATATATAACGATAAACTCCTGTTATATCAAACTCATATATCTTCGTAACAAATTTCAAAACTCTGCTCCGCTGAAGATAAAAAAAATAAAGTAGAAGGAGGGTTGAATCAGCCCTCCGCTTGAATATACGTAGCAGTCACCAGTGCTACCTAGAAGTATATATATTTGTACCTTGAAGAGTCTCCTTATCTGTACTTACGGAATAGTACCGTAATGACGTTATCTTGTTCCTTGCAGGAATGTTGCCTTTTCGTAGGAAATGAAATGCTTTGCTTCTGCTCATTTGGATGAATCTCTAGTTATAAGATCACCCAGGACGATCTGTAATCCTGGACAAGGTTGTGTTAGCATTGCCATCCAGTTTTCGTAGGGTCAATTCGCTGTCCAAAAAATTCATAGAACTAGTTCATAAATTATAACAGGAGAGCAAGAAAAGTTGTTTGACGAACTTGAACTACGTGAGCACAAAATGGTGGATTTTCAGGAGATCGATTCGCTACCAACCCCCCTCCCTCCTACGTATGAGAACCCAAGTATAGAACTAGTGCATAAACAAAAGTAAGCACTGGCACGTCTCCACAAGGAGATAGAAAGTCTATCGATTCCATTGAACGCTTGATTAGTTGATCTTTTTTTAAGTATACTATAGTAGATTCCATCAGGGGTTGTTTGTTACTCTCCCTGTGGGCCAGGTTTTAAGGAGTTTTAAAGAAGAAAGTATTGGGGTATGTATGGGTGATGGAAACAATGAAAACAAAGTTGCATAATTCATCTATTTCAGACTTTTGTGTACATTATCTAGTAGGAAGGGAATGAAATCCACAAATCTTGTTGCCCATTTAGGCTCGTAGATGTACAGTCTTGTTTTCATGTATATTCCATGTTGTATGCATTTCCTTTCTCTATCAAAAGCCTCTGGTCTTCTTGGATATTGTCACGGAAATCATACTAGGGAAAATTCATAAAATAGGGTTACGAATAGAATAACGACTCGGCGGTTATATTGTCAAGTTGAAATTCAGTTGGAGTTCTAGTTGCTATATATTTTAAAATTCGTGATTGTTCAGATAAATACGCTGACTGGTCAACTAAGTCGTAGCATTCGAAATCAAGTTCGCTGGCTCTCACAACGGATACTTCTAACTAAAGGTTCTTATGGAAATAGCCTTTTGTTTGTAATTATTCTGTTCTAGAAAATAAGCAAGTACTTCTAAACTCATTGATCACTGTATTACTATTGTTCTTTTGTTTTGTATGTCCGTTTGTGTTTATTTTTTCTTGATCGAGGCAACGGCATAAAACAATTTGCTCTTTACCGTCATATCTGTTGATAAGAGTTAGTAATATTTAAGCTTCCTCTGACAGAATCCAAATGGCACTATTGGCACTGGCACTACTAGTACTACTCCATTGTACCTTCCTACAAAACCTTCGTATGTAGAAATCCACCAACAAAGTAACAACTCAGAGGTAACGCTTTGATCATCAGTATTCCTGTCAAGTCGGTACAACATAACCTGCACGTATTTTCGACGTGGGAATCTTTTTAGCGATCGTCCCTTTTTTGCTAAAGAATAAATAAACCAGAAGGAAAGAAGACGTTCTTTTTGTGGTGCTATAAAAACAGAGTCGACAACGTCACCTGACTTTAGACTCGAATTGAAATTGCCAAGTACTCTCCTTTCTGCATGCTAGTTTATTAAGTTCTATTCCTATGGAAGAAGCAAAGGAACTGTACGAAGTTCTCGGACTTCCTATTGATGTACGTAGAAATATCCCAGTTCTTTTCTTTACTAATTTTTATGAATGACAGGCAACCCCTGCACAAATTAAAGATGCATATTATAGGCTTTCAAAGCTGTTTCATCCCGATAGACATAATGTTGAACAAAAGTTAACCGCAGAGCAAAAATTCCAGAGTGTACAAGCTGCTTATGAAGTTCTGTCTGATCCGATAAAGCGACAAATTTATGACAAATATGGAACGAAAGGACTAAAAGTAGAGTGGGATGTCGGACCTGCAGGACAATCAACTGAAGAATTGCAAGAAGCTATTCGCGAACAACTTCAGGCTAAAGAATCCCAGAACTTAGATTTATTGGTACAAAATAGAACTGAAACAAATGTTATGATTAATGCTACGCCTTTATTCGCAAAGAATTTGCGTGTACGTAATCCCTTGGCGTTAGGTATGGCTTCTACTAGAGAACTTACATTGCTTGAGCGCTTTTCTTTAGTACAGTGGGTATCGTTTCATTTGAAAAACTCTTTTAGTATTCCTTTGAGTACTTCTAAAAACTCGAAGTTTCCTATTCCAAACTTCTTTCAAGGCTCTTCCAAGGATGATGATTTTTCCGATCCGCTAGAAGATAATGAGTCTATAAATGGCTCAACACGTCTCATTTTTATCACCGAAGCATCTGCAAAACCAGGCGCCAGGACCCAACCTTCTCTGTCTGCCGTTATTCGACATCAACCTTCTGCTCGCTTAAGCACAGAAACAGGATTATCTATTTTACGTCCAGGAATTGCTACTGTAAAAGCTATATATGCTTTGAACAATGAAACCTTCGTTATTCCTATGATTCGAGTGTCTTCCTACAAGCGACCACCTCAAGCTACAGTCGTGATAGGGCGTCAAATTTCTCGATACGGCACGTTATCTGTACGCTGGAAAACTGGAAGTTGGTCTCTAGGTAGTTGGGGAGCTGCATATCCTTCAAACAATGCGTCTTCCTTTTCTATCATCTGGCAACAACTAAAGCCCTCACTAGATGATCCATTTCCAGTCTTGAAATGGAACGCCGAACTCACAGCTGGATTGTTATATAGTGGGGTTGGCTACAATTATAACATTGACACCTTAGGTCCATATCAACTGCAATGTGGAACATCCCTCAGCACCGTCGGAGGTCTACAAGTCACTGCAGACGCCAATCGAAAAGTTTTCCGTCATAGTGCCATGGGCTTAACTGTTGCTATCGGTCTTCCATCCGGTGCCCTTACATTGAACATTAGGTATGTCGTCTTCCTTTGCGTAAGTGATTACATACTAACAGAATATAAGCTGGTCCAGATTGGGTCAGAAGTTTTCATTTCCAATAATGTGGAGTAGTGCTCTTGACAGATCTTCTGCCTTTTGGGGGTTAGCTTTACCCATTGGATCAATTTTAGGCGTTGATTATTTGTTCTTACGTCCTAGACGTATATCCGAGGAGAAGCGCAAAAGAGCTCTTCGTTTGCAACAACATAAAAAATTACATGATACTAAGAAAGAAGCAGCTGAGCAAATCGTCTCATTAATGAGGGAGCTTGTCCAAAAGAAACAGAAAATGGAGGCTGAAAAAGGTGGTCTCATTATCGAATATGCAGAATACAGAACTATTCCTAGAAAATCAGCCTTAACTAAACGCAAAGAGGGAGTTATAAAACAAGATGTTACTATACCAATTGCTTCCCTGGTCGACGATTCTCGCTTAGTTATCCCTTCCAGTGTCTCTAAAGTAAGTAAAAAATGGATAAGCTAAGTCTAACCACTGCAGTCTTCCATTATTGGGATTTATCCTTTATTTTCTGATGCAGATAAAGAATTGTTGATTGTATATAAATTTCATCAGCAGTCTCATCATGTTTTGTTACGAGATAAGCAAGGGGTTCTTTTACCTAATCGAGGTATGAATTTAAAATTAAAAAGGTCAATTACTAATTAATAATTATAGAGCATAAGTTGTTATAATAAAACTTATTATTTGTTTATATTTGTATTGGGATTCTGAGGTTTGTTTGTTTACATATGAATAAGTTACATATAAGTCTATCAACGCTCATTAAATTTTAACCAGAACAATTCCCTGAAGCGTAAGACAAACTGCAGTCTTTTTCAAGGCTAGGTTAGAAGGGGTTTTCGTTGAATCCTGACTGTATCTCGCCGTATCCAGTTAAATACTGTGCTTTAGAAAAAAAAAAGACATTCTTTTTTTGAAAAGTTATGTTTAATTCTAAATGTACATATGTCCTGCAAAGCCTTTTCTTTTTTATAGGGTTCTCCCTAGCAGAACGAATAACGGCTGATCAGTATGGCTTTGACGAAATCACTTTAACCGCTAATCCACTTGAGCCCCTCACCGAGTTCAATCATTCTTTGATGAACCTCAGTGGTGCCGCTTTTGAGCATGGTTCTTTGAACTACTCAACGGATCTTTCCAGCGACACCTTATGGTCTTCTCGATTTTCAACGCCTCTAATTGAGACCCCTGAAGTTAAATATCCCGAATTAAATAGTTCGGTAGTTGGTGAGCAATTTGCTGAGTATTTCAACTCTTTAGATTTTGAAGGAAAGGCGGCATTGGCTGCTTTAAATGCTTTACAGCACTCTTATGGCTCTTCGCATGTTCGCAGGTTTACCCCGTATGAGCTTTTTGGTCAATCCAATTGGGTCGAAGAAGCTACCGAAATCAATCATGTCGCTTGGTCTATTATGTTTGATAACCTTGGCCGCTACTTTTTACTGGAATTGAGAGGACTTCGTGAACTTACTTTCGCCTTCTATATTTTGTTTGCTCTTCTCCCTATCATTACTGGTGTTTCGACAGTTTATATCTTTAAAAGAAGATATTACGCAGTAACTTTCAATCAACGGGGTCGATCCGATAAATCCGTTAAACAGCTTGAGAATACTTCTGAGAGTGATTTTAATGACTCCCCAAAATTTGCAGCAACTCTTGCGTTACCAGAAAACGATGAACCGTTGATTGTGAGGGAACCTCCTCAGGAGCGTTTAAGTATTTTATTTGCTACTCTTGAATACAACATCCCAGACTGGAATATTAAAATTAAGATTGGTGGTTTGGGAGTTATGGCTCAGCTCATGAGTAATAACCTTAAACGCTATGATTTAATCTGGGTAGTCCCTTGCGTCGGCGATATCGTGTATCCAGTTGCTGAAACTGCACCTTCCATCATGGTTAAAATTGTCAATCAAAATTATGAAGTGAAAGTTTACTATCACTATCTGGAAAACATCAAGTATGTCATTCTTGATTGTCCTATTTTCAGGAAGCAGACGTCCCGCGATCCTTACCCACTCCGCATGGACGATTTTTCCTCTGCTATATTTTATAGTATTTGGAACCAATCTATCGCAGCCGTAATGTCATATGAGAATCCTGATATTTATCATATCAATGACTATCATTGTGCTCTAGCTCCTTTATATAATCTTCCGAAAATAGTACCCTGTGCTGTTTCATTGCATAATGCGGAGTTTCAGGGTCTTTGGCCTCTCCAGTCTGCACGCGATTTACGAGAAGTTTGTGGACTTTTTAATCTTTCTAAAGCAGTATGTAAGGGCTACGTACAATTTGGCAATGCTTTCAATTTAATGCACGCAGCTGCCTCATACGTTCGCAAGCATCAATCTGGTTTTGGTGTGGTTGGTGTTTCCGATAAGTATGGTCATAGGTCTTGGGTTCGTTATCCCGTTTTCTGGAGCTTAAAGAAGGTTGGACATTTGCCTAATCCAGATCCAACTGACATTGATCCTGCTATGCAGTCGGAAGTACAAGAGTTGCCTGATTTGGTTCAATATAATGAAAAGCGGAAGACTGAAAAGCGAAAAGCTCAGGAATGGGCCGGGTTGATTGTTGACGATACTGCCGACCTTTTGGTGTTTGTTGGACGCTGGTCTGTGCAGAAAGGTGTTGACCTCGTTGCAGACCTTGCGCCTACTCTATTAGAGAAGTATAACACACAACTTATCGTCGTAGGTCCTGTAATTGATTTATACGGCAAATTTGCTGCTGAAAAATTCGCATATATTACGGAGCGGTATCCCGGACGCGTTTTTTCTCGCCCTGAATTTGTTCATTTACCTTCATTCATATTTGATGGTGCTGATTTTGCGTTGATCCCTTCTCGCGATGAACCATTTGGTTTGGTTGCAGTAGAATTTGGTAGAAGGGGAGCTATTTGTATTGGTGCATGCGTTGGTGGATTAGGTGAAATGCCTGGCTGGTGGTATACTGTTGAATCGTCAACTACTCCTCATCTCTTGAAGCAATTTGAGACTGCTTGCTCTAGAGCTTTAAAATCTTCTCCTGAAACACGCCATAGTCTTCGTGTGGCTGCAGTTCAACAACGCTTTCCTGTTACTGAGTGGGTGACCTTATACGACAGGTTAATTAAGAAATGCATTAAGACGAATAGGAAGGTATTTAAGTCGAATAGCTTTAGTGAGCAATCTGGCAATACTCCTGCCGAGTTGCCAATCATTCAAATAGACGATACAGACCGAGTTGACATGGTTGACGAACCTAACATTGATAGCCAGGAAATCCCTGAAACAACAGAATCACCCACTCCGGCGCCTGAAAGCAATAGCTTAATTTCTGATCAACTTAGCCCAGAAAAACTTGACGAATTAATGGAAGATGATAACGATTCAGTATCATCTTCCGTAATTAGTCGACCTTTATCGGAACTAACTTACATCTCTCAGAGTTCAATGAATTTTGGCACTAAACTCGATGAAAGATTTATTGATGCAAATGGTGTGGCAATCACAGAATTTTCAGCAGAACTAAGTTCCTTGACCCCAGAAAATTCCAAATCAAAACTGTGTATCGATCACTTTTTGATGAATGTCTTGCATAAATGGTACGACGAAGAACACCACTATTATAAGACCGGTTTCCGTCCTCGCTTTTACAAGTACTTGAGAACGAGAGGCAAGAAACCACGAGAACTTAATGATGGCTCTAGCGAAAACCTTACGGAAGGCTCCTTTAAGGAATTTGACGGCCCCGTTAAAGGTGTAGCTAGAAATCAGCTATCTACATGTCAGCGAGTGATGTATGTAAAGGTATTTGGCTGGCCAATGTATGCTATTTTCCTTGCTTTGGGTCAGATTTTATCAATCTCTTCATTTCATTTAACTCTTTTATCCGGATTCGAAACAAGTCATGTTGCCTCTATGTATGTAGTTAACGCAATATTTATACTCTCCACTTTCTTTTGGTGGGGCCTTTACAGAAATTTTGCTAGCATTCATTGTCTGTCAATCCCGTTTACTATATATGGTCTAGCGTTTACCATGACTGGTATCTCATCCATGCCCTTCATTCAATTTACGACGAGAGGGTGGTTGAGTTATGGAGCTACTTGGATCTATGCTATCGCAGCATCTAGTGGACCTTTGTATTTTACATTGAATTTCGAAGACGAGCATACTAAAGGCTTAGGTTCTTGGGTTACGCGAGCTTGCATTCTACACGGCCTTCAACAGTTGTGGACAGCTCTTCTTTGGCTTTGGGGAACGGTATATAGTCGTTTAGACTGGAACTATGCTATACTAATCAAACCTTTGAATCATGTACTCGTTGCAGCTGCTGTTTGGCCAATTGCATTTGTGCTCATGATGACTACGATCATGTTGTACAAAGGCTTACCCCCCTTTTATCGACAGACGCCAGGTAGTATACCAGCATTTACTAAGTCTTTGTTCCATCGTCGAGTAGTTGTATGTTTCTTACTTATGGTTGCCAACCAAAACTTCTGGATGTCTACACTAATTGGTCGTGGATGGAGATTTTTCTGGAATTCTGAGCTCACCGTGCTTTGGAAAGTAGTTGTCATGATGTTCTCTTTCCTTGTTTTCTTATGGGTTGCATTATTAACGTTGTTGGGAAGACTATCAAATACCCATACTTGGTTAATTCCGGTATTGGGCTTAGGATTTGGAGGAATCAAATGGATTCATGTATTCTGGGGAACCTCGAACATTGGATTCTTTTTGCCTTGGGCTGGAATTTCGGGAGCATATTTGGGTCGTGCTTTGTGGCTTTGGCTAGGAGTCTTAGATTCTATCCAAGGAATTGGATGTGGTCTTATTCTTCTTCAAACGCTATCTCGAAGACATGTGACGAATACATTGCTGACTGGTCAAGTGATTGGTTGTTCTATTACACTACTAGCATCTTCAGTATCACCTACCAAAACCGGCCCAGGCAGTGTATTCCCAGATATAACTTCTTATACGCCAGTGGATGGATTACAGCCAATTTCTAATTTTCCCTTTTGGGCATGTCTTTTACTAAATGTTATTTTGTGTGGTGCCTATCTAAAATGCTTCCACAAAGAAAATATAAACAGGCCTTAATGATTTCTTATAGAAAGGTGTTAATACAGGTCTTTTTTTATGATAGTTTAATATAAGATTTATATGATTTGTACATTAGCAAATGTTTTATTAAAACTTTTTGTATATACTCAGTGTAAATTGGAACGGTCCTTTAGAAAGAAAACTTTTAGATGAAATAATTCTCTTCGTTTTGACAGTGCTGTATGCATGAAATCTTTCTCTCTTTTTTTTGAGGGCAGTTTTATATTTTATTTTTGGTAAACTGTTAATGAAGGAATGTGCTTTTCAATCACCTCCTATACATCAAGAGTACACCAAAAGTGCTCAGGTTAGAACGTCTCCATAGAAGTATCCATAAAAGTCATTGTAACGAATATTTAACGAAATTACAACGAAGATATACAATAACATGAACTCGAAATCTTTAAAAGATTTGTTAAATGAAACAAACCAACTGAAAGAAACGAAAGGGATTACTCAAGAAACAATTCCGCAATTGGTTCATGGATATGAATCCTGTCTAGGCTTGGTTCATAAGGCGCGTCTATTTTCTATGAATGAAGATATTGATGAAGTAAAAACGAGTGAGTTAAGGTACTTATTATTGGACTTTGAGCTAGCTAAATGTATGGAACAATGGATGCAGAATGATCGATTGAAAGTCATTGAATACTCAAAAAACCATTACGAGAGTTTCCTTCGTATCTGCGAAGGCTACGGGCTAAAGCCATTACCGGTTTCTTCGTTTACCAAAGATTCAGACGCCAGAAGCATTAAAATAGCAAGGTACAAGCTACGAAAAGATATGGAAAAAGAGATGAGTTCGATAACGGGAGAAAGTACACAAGATGAAGAACTAGAGCGTAAGAAGTGGACCAACAAAATACAAATGGCATTGGAAGACACAGTTGACGATCTTGGACATGTTGAGATGGAGATTCAGATTTTAAGGAATTCTGAAAAAGTATTACAGAGAAATGAAGATGATGAGGAAAAAAAAGATGATGAAACACTTAAGAAGGAAGAGCAAAGAAAGCGAGATCAAAACACTTGGAAACTGGATATGCTTACTAAAGACGGCCTTTTGGATCCCAAAAATAGACCCATACAACCATTTACAATTGTTTCAGATAGAAATACTAAGTCGAAAAATGTTTTTGGACCTGGTTATAACTTGCCGACTATGAGTGTGGATGATTATTTGGACGAAGAATACAAACGCGGAAATATCGTAAGCCAAAAGGATAATCCAAATCAAGAAGAGTTTGAAGATGAAGAAGATGATGAAATTTCTGATGCCAAAACTATGAAAGAACGATACTGGGATGAATATAAAGAAGCCAATCCTCGAGGCAGTGGAAACACAATGGTAAACCGAGGATAGGAAAATAGATCATTTGAAAGAAAAAGCTTACACTCATTTCTATGAGGCTTCTTTCTCTTCTATAAAAAAAAGGCGACCCTCAATTATGCGATTAACTGTTATAATAAGCATCGCAATACAAGTTACCTTGAGAATATTACGTTGTGAAGCAGTTTTAAAAATGTTTGTCTATTCTTTAACTAGACTTTTGAATCGAGTTAAAACGGTCTTGATTTTCTCGATTGTCAAACGAATACCATCGTTCATCTGTTCATTAGCTCAAATAAAATGTTTAAATTTGAAAATTTAGTAGAAACGAAAATTTACTATATCAGTACATGAAAATTCCATACTAGTTGATCCTTCAAATTTCATCAATTCTCTCCCATTGCACGTATACGCTCCGTAGTTAAACCACTCCTAGAAAGACCTTGCCATTTTCTATTGCTATAGACATTTATAAGTTTTTTGGTTGAATACTATAAAACTAAAATAAAAACAAAAAAGTTGTGCTCTAGTCTTTTTCTGTCTTTCTCTTCACCTTCCTTGTATACTTAAAATATATATATATATATATATATTGAACCCGATGGTTGCCGCAAGCTCTTCGGTTAGAATTGGAAACGATGCTGAGACGTATGTGTTTGACATAGCTCAACTAAAAGACCATATTGCTGCTAGTTGTTCTAATGGTACCTGGGCTTGTTATGATAAGACTACTTTACGAGAGGCATTCAAAGTCCCGAAAGCTCATTCCAATATCACTGGTATTGTCAGTTATGAGCAGCATAATGGAGTGTTAACGTGCGGTACTGATGGAAAGTTGCAACTTTGGGATATACGAAATTCATCAGCTAAGCCAGTTCGAACTTGGTCCTCAGAGTCGGTACCCTTTACGTGTTTGGCGACCAATCGAGCGGAACAAATAGCAGTTGGTTCTGAATTAACACGTTCGTTAGCTTCTATCTTCCTGCTAGATGCTAGAAGCGAGCAAAAGATCATTCGTCAATGGAACGATGCTCACAACGACGATATAACTAGTTTACAATTTCATCCTAAAGATAATAATTTATTACTTTCTGGGTCTGTGGATGGACTGGTTAATCTTATTGACATTACTAAAGATGAAGATACAGAGAATGCCGATGAAGATCCGTTGTTGCATGTTATAAACCATGAAGCATCTATTCATCTTGCTCGCTTTCTAGGTAAACGAAGAGTTTTGGCACTGTCTCATATGGAATCTTATGCTTTATACAAGTTGAAGCGTGATTTGGATGACAAAACATGGACAAGTAAAGAAGTCGCTTCTGACCAAGACTTACGACAGTCGCTCCCATGCAGTTATGTGATTGATGCTTTCCCTGGTAATGATAAGCACAGCTACATGCTGGCTTTTGGTACTTTTTCAAGTAATGAGACACATTTAGCTTCTTTGGATACGGATACTGGCGAAATAAATAAAGAAAACGTCGTGTTTGAAAGGATGAGTACTGAGATTTGTCGGGCTATCACTTATGATTCTAAAAATCACGTCTACTATACAGGTGGTGAAGATGGCATGCTACAGTGTTTCGCAGTATGATTCCAAAGTTTAAAGCTTAGAAAAAGAAACATATAAAATAGACATCATTATTTATTTATTTTTATCGCTACTGGTAGTTTTGAGTAGGAACATCACAATATATAATGTCATGTACTTTGGCATCATTGCCTTAAAGGGATCAATGGATCTGTTGGAGCATACATCTGTTTAACGCTGTATTGTCATATTAGCCTTAATAGTAATGAATATGTTTATTTGTCTAGGGGGCAATGAATATATTTACAAATATGTTTATACCTACATAATATGCTTATAACATAGTTGCTTATTTTTGTCTTTAGTAACTGCAAGCATAGTCTTTACAGGCATAAAGCGTTGTAATATGGTTACCCTGTAAGCATATTCTCAAACTTCATTAACACCATTTGACTGAGAGTAAGTAAACAAAACTCACATATTCCGCGTATAAATCCTGTATATAGTAATATCTTGGTTCGGTTTTGGGGGTCTCTACTTTTAAATTATGGCTAATTCTCGGTTTGAGTATGTGAAACAATACGAGCGAATGGATAGACTGTTGCCTGAAACATATATTGTGATTCGAATTGATGGAAAAGGATTCCACAAATTTACTAAGAAACATGAATTTGAAAAGCCCAACGATCTTAGGTGCTTGAGTTTGATGAACGCAGCTGCAAGAGTCGTAATGTCAGAATTTACAGACATCGTATTGGCATATGGAGACAGCGATGAGTATAGGTATGAATATGTCTGCACTTTTTGGTATCTAACAAACCATATATATAGTTTTGTATGGTCGAAGAGTACTGAATTATATGAACGGAGAGAAAACAAATTAGTTTCTCATGTGTGCTCCTTGTTTACATCGGCCTTCGTTTTCAATTGGCCTCAATATTTTGAGATTCCACTCTTGTCTCTTCCATCCTTCGACGGACGTGCTGTTTTATATCCTAATCTTAGCGTTTTACGGGACTATCTGAACTGGAGACAGGTCGACTGTCACATAAATAATTTGTATAATACTACGTTTTGGGCTTTAATACAAAAAGGCGGATTAACAAATACAAAGGCAGAAGAATACTTAAAAGTATGTTTTGATTATGCTCGGAACTATGATATTAACTTATCGGTCCTTTGGGACCGTCTTAGGGTACTATAAGTTCTCAAAAGCATGAAATTCTCTTTTCTCAATTTCATATAAACTATAATAACGAACGTGAAATTTATAAGAAAGGTTCAATCTGGGTACGCGAGGTAAGTTCATTTTCAGCTACACTAGTTCTTCTGCTTACTCTATCCAGCCTGAAGATGTATCAGCTCCTTCTAAAAATCAAAAGTACTCTACTAAACAAAAACGAAAAATGGGTTTACGATTACTTCATGTTAGTATTATTGACAATGAGTTTTGGAATTCTCGACCCTACCTCACCATTCTGCTGAACTAAGTCTTATATTTTTTATTAAAATAACCCAATGGTGACCTGGCGTTTTCTCTAGTTACTACAATAGATGTGCAAAATTAATTTATTGAAGCCATAGACTTTATGATATATCATGCGTTGCTTCTCTATTATCAATTAAATATAGATTAAATAATTAAAGTAAAAAAATATTAGCGGTAAAAACTGGAGTCATAACAAAATTAATCGAAATTCATAACGTGAAATCGGTTGGAAAGAGAAAATCTTTATAATAACGTAAACAAAGACAAGCGAATAATTCATGCATAATTCGTAGTAAGGGTCATATTAGCTAATCCTTCAGAAACCTTATCTGTCACATTTGGAAGACTTCCTTGTAGTTTACTTTGCAATAAGTCTAAACGCTTTGAAATCAACGTAGTTACTATGGTTGTTAGCTTTATAGCTTTCTCAATATATGAAAAGCTTACGTTTCTGAATAGTAAAGGTATTGTTAAAATCTTCAGTGCCGTTAGGAGTCGAAAATTCACCTTCAAGTAGCGATTCTAATAAATTACTGGCAGCCTTATAGCTTCTCAATGAATTAACCAAATCATTACCAGAAAGTTCAGAAGTAGCAGCGTTTCGAGACTGTCTTGTTAGTAAATGAATATTCTGGAGTTTTCCTAGTGACTTACTATGTCCAAAGCCCTTTGGTAGATAAGTTGCGATGCAAACGTGGGTTTAGCCGTCTGTTGAGTATTAACGAAGGTATATGAATTAATGACGGCTTTCAAAAATTGAGTTTTCTCGAGGCTTTCTGCGTATCTTTGTTGATACCAATTCATCGCTTCTCGGCACTCAGACGTATTTTTCTCATCATTATTAGACCATACGGTTGCGACAAAATCAAACGCAATTTGCAGAAGTTCAATATCCCTTTGATATAATGTCAATGATTCTTTCACTAAGGAAACTAATGATGCTGATGTGAGTCGAGCGTCTTTCATTGAATCAAACTGTGTATCATCAACTTCCAAAGATGGAAGTACTTGTATTAATTTCACCTCAGCCATATGGAAAACAGCATTGGATTTAGCGGCTAGATTTTCCAAAACTTCCATTAACGTTCTATCAATGGTCTGAGAAATAATAGGTGCGTTCGTACGGTTCGGTAAGGTAGCTTGTTTGGGTAATGACTGAATAGGGCTTTTGCTTGTAATACCATCAACTCCATGATTGAGTTTTGCATTAGCAACATTGAGTGCCCTTTCCAATGCACTTTCATGGCTATTACCAGCAGGCGCATTTGGTAATGTTATTGGCGTCTGTTCGAAAGCTCGACGTAGCTGCGTAACAGGTGTATGCGATAAGTACGCATTATGAGGCGGATAGGCATTAGCCTTCATGTAAGGTATAGGAATGCGACGGGGATGGATATATGTTTGCGGGTTGGATGGCAAACTTTCAGGAGAGAAGCTCCCATGAAAAACGTCTTCGTTTGGAGAAGCAGAGTTCCCATTTAGAGAAGGTTCCTGATTTTGAACTAGGTCTAATTCATCATCAGAGTGATGCTCAAAGGAGTTTACATTATGGCGATCGACGACGACATAAGTACTACTTTTATCGGATACATGGTTATTACGATGTTTATGCTCGGAAATTGGTATGTTCGTTTTAGAATTGAGATGATAAGGGTAGTTGCTGGCAGGAGGAGCACTTTCGGGCGGAAAAATAGCGGGGGCATGCGGCAGTGCTGTTCCATCTTGAGCATAACGTGTGGAAAGCCGTCGATTGGATATGTCTCCTGGTTGATGTACAGATCCTTGGGCTTGAAAAGCCTGTCGTAGTAAACCGCCAGGAGGATTGTTCGGATTGCTTTTCGGGAAAAAGTCGGTAATATATGCGGGACTGGAAGAAGGAATGTTTATACCCCTGACGGCGTCCTGGATGTCACTACCAGTTAAAGTAGAGTCGTCTACCACTGGAGTTGTTATTACCATGCTGGAAAAAAATTGGTCGTAGTCGATGCGATCTGCTGGGTTTTGCTTTAGCAATGCGCAAATTAACCCCTTGATATCCGGGTGAATATAAGCCTCCTCTGGAAATTTTATAACATCTTTTGCACGCTGGATACGGCGTAATAGTTCAACATGGTTAGGAGCTTTAAAAGGCGGTTTTCCAACGGCCATTTCATAGAGAACAGCGCCCACAGACCATAAATCCGCCTTTGCATCGTATTTCTCATATCTCAAAATTTCAGGAGCCATATATAAAGGAGATCCACATAACGTTTCGGCCATGCTGGATGTTTGAAGGTATCGAGCAAAACCAAAGTCAGCTAGTTTTAGCATTGGCAGTTTCGGGTTACCAATAAATTGAGGATGTTGTTTTAAGAAATCTTCGGTGGGTGGAGGTTGTAACAGGAGATTCTGTGGTTTAACATCGCGATGAATCAGAGACCGGGAGCGTAGGAATTGGAGCGCAGAAGCTAATTGCTTCAAAAAATGACGAACGAGCGTTTCGTTCAGTCCCCCTTTATAAACAGGAGGATGGTCTACATTAATCCAAGCTAGAGAAGGTATGCTGCTGAACTTTTCTCGTTTCCGAATGAAGTAGCTTAAATCACCCAAAGAGCAGTACTCCATCACAAGATGGATAAACCTGCCTACTTTGATACAATCTATTAATTCTACTACGTGAACATGTCGGATTTCCTTTAAAATTGATATTTCACTTTCCAAGTTCTCCAACAGTTTCTTGGTTAATTTCTTTGTCAGCACGCTCTTAATGGAGACCACGCGCTTTGTTTCCTAGACACAGTGTTAATTGTCTAATAAACCTACATCAAGCACTTATTTTTAACTTACTGAATGCTTTCCCTTGTAAACAATGGCAAAAGAGCCGCGTCCAATTTCTGATCGAATAACATAGGGACCGATACTTTGATTGTTGTTACTATGTGCGTTCATACAAAAAGAATTCCACAAAATCTGAATGAAAAAAGATCTCAATTCCCAAATAATTCAATCCTTAGCATGGGAGTTGGCAAAGACATCATGAGATTAACAATAGCTTTATCATCAATATAATTAAAGTAACGCGCTCGAGCTCCTTAAATTGCAACAACACGGATACGATTCAAGGTCAGTGCTGCATGCGTAGTCTATCAAGGCAGACAATACTAAGTGATTGAAGGTGTGTGGTTTGATAGTATGTCAGCGGTGTGTATCATTGTTGACTGACACTGGTAAACATTCCCATACTGTTATTAGACCCTAATTTTACTGCATATAATATTCTTTATAATTATATGTATGTTCATGTCGCGGCAGATATCTTACATCGTATAATATGTAAATCGAGTGGAATGAACAACTCTAGCTGCATCGTAATATGGGTATCGGAAGGTTGTACTACGTTTATAGTAGCTACTGTTGTAAAGGAATCTGATTAGATTAACTAAATGAGACGCTTGAAAGACAGTCTAGTCTCATTTAGTCAGACCGATCAAATCTTCCAATCTGGCTGTAAATTGATGCGTATATAGCTCTTTTGAAATAGCGAACGTAATATGCTTTTTTTTTAATAGTTTCCCAATGTGCTCAGGTTCCTTATCTCATAAACCATACTTTCCATAGCGATATCTTAAAATCACTGTGTACAGTAATGTTTATAATGTCAACAAAACACCTATCGTGACAATGACAAGGACTTCCTTTGAAGTGTGTTAAGAGTAAATATAATTATCATTTTCAATACGATATAGCCATTGTAAGCAGGAGTAGAAAACGTTCCATCCTTAAGAACAAAAACACTCATTAATAAGACATGCAGAAGAAACGTTCACAGATGGAGACGAGAAACGTATATTAAAAGCTAGTAAATTAGATGGATTGTCAATTTCATCGTTCCTAAATCATTCTATTTTAAGTATTTTCCAATGCCCGATATAGAACCCACATGTACATAGGCAAAATGAGATTGTCATTTTCCAATGAGACACCTTCTAGCATAGCAGTAAAAACAGACATAGCTAAGGTATTTTTTAGGCTAACATGAGGGCAAATATGCAGTCGTTGTGCAAGCTGCAGAACCATAAAGACAGACGCGGAAAAAGCAAAAGTACCTTCCAGTGTTTTTTTTGTTCTTCGAATCCTAAACCTTCCATATTTTTTCCCAATGATACTTGCCATAGAATCTCCACATCCAAGACAAAGTACACCAACCAAGAGCTCTGCAGAGGCGACCGGTCCACGTAGTGCATGAGAAAACCAAACAGGGATTGCGCATCCAATTAAAAGGTAAATGTGCGAAATAATTAATGGTCCACGATGATCTCTGTTATCCGTATACTGCCACAAAAATTTATGTATCATTTCACCAAACGGCTCCAAACGCAGTACACGGATGCCTTCAATAAACAAAAACAAAAAGAGCACCCCTGAGAATGCAAGATGTACGAAATAGGGGTCTGTACAATAAGTAGGAAGGAACATAAACACAATCAAAGCGTGATACGTTTTCCTTCTAAAATTTAAAAGTTCTCCTTTTGTGCCAAAATAGTAACGAAAGAAGCTGCCGTTATGAGAGCAAACAACAAAGCCTATATAGCACGACAGGCACAATACCCACCAAATCAAAATTGTTATCCTTTTCTTAGAATAAGGACTCAAAAAAATTTGAGCAAATACCCAATATTCGGGCTTTTGCTGGATACGTTTTGAAACCCAAAATCGAGAGACGAAAATAACAACAAAAGTACTAGCTGCATAAACTAGTAGAGAAGATTTCTCCTTTGTAAGTTTGCAACGAGAACATGTTTTGAGCAGGCATGAATTTAGTAAAACTAACGAAGGAACAGATACTAACAAAACACCGGCTAAAACTGATACCAGAGGGCCAGCCTCATTCAGAAAAGTAGCGTATGCTACGCTGCTAAGTCCGGTGGAGATCAAGACGACCTCAATAAATGTAAAGCTGTTTTTTGTGATTTCTATAAAGGCATTCATAATAGTAACATGAAGTTCTAAAGGAACAGACCCGGTTTGCAGTCCCTTCAATAAATATGAGAAGAAAGAGAATTTTAAGCTTAAGGCAAGCGCTGCATTGTAAAAGCAAACCATGTACATTTCATGAAAAAGCGCAGAGTCCCTTCCAAAACCAATGCAGAGGATCGCAAAAGGAAACGAGGAAAGCCATAACAGCGGCCTATTGTCAATAATTAGCGTTCAACTGTCTACCGCATACAAGCCACTTACTCATAAAAGCATTTTTCTTTGGGATTGGCAAACAGATATACGAAAGCTGGCAAAAAAAAGGCAATATTAGAGAAGCTCGGATATGAGACAAAGGAATCAGATATGAATGGGAGGAAGAGAACAGAGAAGATCTCCAAAATAATTTCAATTTCAAAAGAAGGAAGGTGCATGAGTAATAATGCTAAAAAGCTTTAGATACCAACAAAGAGAGCAAAAATATCTGTTTTTATCTATAAGTAGATTAGAGTGTACTTTCTTTATCGTATATTTAGAAAATAATCATTCATGTAATTGCTTGATCGACCGGCGTATTATACAAATCGAAATTTTTGTTAAAGTGCGCTAGAAGTTGTTCAACTAGGAATTAGAAATGAAAGATTGTTTGTAAAAAAGTACTATAGCATTCTATACAGGTTTTCATTAATAGTGTCAACTGCTTTCCCTAAGGTAAAGTAGAATACAAAGGTCGGTCGGTGAAACGAAGAAGATTCTGCTGCAAGCGGAAAACAACAAATTCATATCATTGTAGTTTTCACCAAATAAATCGATGGAAGTAAGAGATGATTAATTACAAAATAACACATGGATTACATCTTTGAAAGCGAAAGTAAGAAGACTTGGAATGCATACTAGGAACGGTTACGATTAGCTTGATACTACTACACGAAAAAATAAGACAAAAGCGTCAAGCGTAAAATAAAGTAAAGTAAAGTTGAGTAAATGATGAAGAGCTCTATGGAAAGTAGGTGGAGAAAGGATGGTAAAAGAAGAAGGAAAACAGCACATAAAAAAGGTATCAATCTTTTTTCAAGAACATGTCATAGTATGTGCTTGCACATTACAATAAAACAATTCAAACGAGCCAAGTAAAAAAGGTAGGCATTCATAAACGGAATTTAATCTTGACGACCCTTAACAAGTCGTTTTATGCATTTGTCGGGTGTAATGACATAGACAAGGCAACCCCAGCCACTAATTGCATCACGATCTTGAGCATTTAAAAGAGCTTGGGAGATAGTTTCAAACAAATCTTCAGGCTCGAGATTGGGCTCATACACGGACTCACACATACCATAAAGTTGTTCTACGGCTGTACCACTCACAATAAAATCATCGGCGAAATCAATACATCCAATGGAATCGAAACCGCAAATAAAAGGATTGTCGTCTTTAGAAAGACCAGCTACAACTGGGAAAGAAAAGTAGGGTCCGAATCTAGAAAGAAAGGTTAGTTTGAGAATAGCTATTAACCAGAGAATCATTTAAGCAACAAAAAACAAAAAAGTATAGAATCTATGGCAAACGGGAAAAGCCTTACCTTTTTTCGTAAAGAGAGGTGGACACCAGATTACCAAAGGTTTTTGGTTCAATTTGACGCTCCTCACGGAATTTGTACATGTTTACTTTATAACGGAATAGTTCATAAAGCGTCTGAACATCACTAGCAAAGCCTGTAAGGCCCAAATACGTCTTGTCAGTCATAGGGAATACTTTTGGAAAATTGTTCGCCAAGGATATAGATTGTACACCCAAACGCAAGTCAGATGCGATAGCCACGCAGTTTTTTCCTGCCATGGCTACGCAGGATCCACCATTATATTCCATAATACTCATTTTGGCAATGTTTCGTAAAGAGAAGAAGGATTCATACCTCTCTAAGGATGCAAGTAGGATGAGTGTACATAATATTCGGTAGCGCAGTGCACTCGGTATAATAGATTTCGAAGGAATAAATCAATACAGTATGCATTTTAATGAAACACAACAAGGTATGGATTTTATTTAGTGCAAAATGCGTTATGAGCATTCGTCAACATAGACGTTTAGGTCATAAAATTCCTCGTATGCGGTAGGTAAAGAAAGGTAGGAAGCAAGCTCATCTCGTCTTGTTTAAAAGGATTTGTTTACTTGCATTTTTTGGACTGCATAGAAAGTCTATTGGGATTGACTGATTTGTTCTGCTCCTTTTTTTTTTTCTTTTGTGGAAGAACGCATGTGGGGTTTTACGAGAAAAAGCTCAGTCATTATAGAAAGACAAAAGTACCTTGACAAACGCGGGCGACAGCTCAGCGATTCAATTTCATTCTATTCTATACTATACCGTTTTCATTCCGTTTAAGGTCTCACCATATAACTCTTTTCCATAAACTATCTTTTGGAATAGAAGAATCTCCAACGAACATTTTGAACAAAACATTTCCACAAACGTACATTGACATATGTGAACCTTTGAAATAAATTCCAAATAAAAATAGAGGAAACAAGATAGATGATTGGAATGTCTTTTCTGTGGGAATTGTTTTTTTCTGAATCATATAATACCCTTTAATACGTTTTGTTCTTCGTACATAGTCACGCTACACGGTTATGAATTGGATAACGCGAAATTAGCACAAATTCACTATAAGAGTTCAACTAGAAACACGTAAACGCGCAAGACAATTCCAGCTCTTGTCAGATCAACAGTCTTTTTTGGAAATGCAAAAGGATTATTACTCCATACTTAACGTTTCGCAAAAAGCAACCCAAGAAGAAATTCGGTTTGCCTATAAAAGAGCTGCTCTTGAAACGCATCCAGATCGAGTGCCTCCCAATGATCGAACACGGGCCACACAACAATTCCAGTTAGTGAATGAGGCTTTCTATGTATTAGGAGATTCTACTCGTCGTGCTCAATATGATCGTGAAAGTTCTTTTCCATCTTCCTCTTCACGACCGAAAGCCAAACAATCATCTTCTTTCTTCTCTGGTGGTCGTAAAGACGAGGATGCTTCTTCTAGTCAAAGGGAAAAACAATCTTATGGTTCCAGCTATGGATTTCAAGATTCTTTTTCAAACTCCCAATTCGGCAATATTTTTAACGAAATGATGAACGAGTCTTCCAATGAAGGTCTTTTGCATCATCTTTGGACTGTTGTGGGCGGTCTTGCTGGAGCTGCGCTTGGGTTCATTACTTTTGATTTCCTAGGCATCCCTTTGGGATCTTTTGCTGGTGCGAAATTGGGTAGAGTGCGAGATAAACATGGAAAAAGTGCTTACAGTGTTTTTATGGATCTCCCAGCTACTGAGAAAGCTCGTATCCTAAGCAAACTACTTGCACACATACTGAATACGTCTAAAACTTTTGCTAGTAATCCGCCTTAGTGCTTTGCATGTGCTGGCATCCATTTTGTTTTTGTTTTTGTTTTTTTATGTTTGTTGTACTCTTCGTCCTTACGTTTTATGTTTCATGTCTTATCCTCACCTTGTTATAAAATGTTTAACATCTTCTGAAAAAGAGAATAAAAAGAAAAATTTACGTTATGAATATCATATTGATGATCGCCTCTTCTTTTTCCATTTCCTGACATTTCATCCTGTTTTAGTAAGATATTGGTAGTAATTATAGCAATATTACTGTATTGGAAACTCCCCTTTTGATTAAACGAAACGCTTGTTTCTCATGTTTCGCTATTCTACGAAATTTTGATGTCATTATACTGTGTCAATATGATGTAGAATGTTTTTCTTCCCTTTCTGCTGCTCGTAAGAATTCTCTTTCCACCTATATCGACAGTAAAAGTAAAGGCAATAAATTAAAAGTGATTCATTCAGATCCTTTTCTTTGTATATATTTTAATTTCGAGGATTTTTATCGTGGCTTGTCGTCCAGTATTTGAATCTTTCCCATTCATTTACTGATATTGTCCTTTGTCTTACCGTTGTGTGAGCAAAGTGGAAAGCCCTTGTTTTACAATTGGTAAATCCGCTTTTCAGCTTTATGATTGAAATTGCTCTATCATGACTTCTTTGAATAACACATCTCCAACAACGCCCTCGGGCGATGAATTAACCGGTCTCCATTCGGTCGACCAACAAACTACAAGTACTACGGGTAATAAATCTCTTAAAGGTCATTATGGCCCTCATCCTCACCAGGATCATCCTTCTGCTTATGTTGCCGCTAAATCTGGATACACCTCACGAAATTTGACACCTAATTACCGCGATAATCAACCTTCTCGGACTGCAAATGACTATTCTACGGCCTCCGACGGTACAGCTGCTGGAACAAGACACCAAGCTCGCTCAACAAGTGCTGTGGAGAGTCCTGAGTCTGGTCCTGGCTCGATGGATGCTTCAGGTTCTTTCGACTATCAGCCTCATCCTCACGCTGGCAAGGCCGCTCAGTCCGCTCATGTTTTCAAATATATAAATTTATCAGAAGGTGAACCGAATGCAAATGCTACTGATTACGAGGAACATCGCAAACCATTACAATTTCTCAGTGGCCCTGTTTTCACAGGTTCTGCTCAACAACCTCCACCTACTGATCTTAATCCACAACCTTCGAATGAACATGATGAAGAAGCTTCTCGCAAAATCCGTCTCGCTTCTCAGATGGCTAAACATTCTGCAACTTTCGCTCATCAAACACCAGAACCTCAACCCGCTACTGAATCTGAATTACCCCATCGTATGGCTGCTTCTCAACTGGTTCATAATATTTCTTTACAAGGTTCCTCTTCCTTAAAACCAAAAGAATCTTCTTACGAAGTTTCTCCACCTGTAAACCTTAATTCTCTTGCTGCTGCATCTTATGCTGCCTCTCACTCTCGACCCTACGATGAATCGTCCGCTCCTCCTACTGTAGAACAGCAGAAGTCGTCTTACGATGATGGAAGAGTTCGCAATATGCATATGTTTTCCGCGTCCGGTAACAACGCTTTACGGGATCGTACACAACAAGATATGGTCGCACATGGAAATAGAGATGATGCTTTCGCTAACTTTTCAAAAAGCAATATTTTAAATAATGCGCCAGGCTATCAAGGCTCACGAGCTTCTGCATCTATTAACACTAAAAATGTTAGCAATGAGCGTCATTCAAAACCTATTTACTTCAGTCCAGGTTCTGGTGCAGTCACCAGTCCGTATCAGCAAAAACCAAAAGAACCATCATATGATTTCAGTGCTGCGTCCGCTGCTCTTCGTCGTCATCGTACTACAGATGTAAACACATCCCGTGACCAGACGTTTGAAAGCCAAGAGGATTCAAGGGCTCGTGCATTCATCCGACAAATGCGTTTTCCATCAAGTAGCCCGATTGCAACCAGTGGGCCAGGAAATGATCCAGGTTATCCAAACATTTCTGGTACTGAACGCGAGCAAATTCAATCTGAGGCAATCCAGCGTGTTCGTGATATGAATTTGGATCTCTCAAAAATCCAAAATAGGACAGACTCTCAAATTCGTGCTTACCGTCCTAGATCTTCTGCCGATTATAAGTCGGTTGGCCAATCTGTTCATCCTCCTCATACAGGTGCCAGTAGTAGTTATACACCCCATAGTCAGAGAAGATTTTCGCAGACAGGCCAATTCCCTAATAATGAAGGGGAAATCCCCGAGAATGGCTCAGATGGTATAAATCCTGTAGGCATGCAAGCTGCTGCTCAGCGAAGCAATAGAAACTCTATGGCTGCTGTTCCTAGGCGGACCGGTGTTGCTTCAAATGATGTAGATGTTGAAGCTCTACAAAGAAGAATTTCTAGAGCTTACATTGATCATGAACGTGAAGAAGCTTATGCGATTGATCTTGGTGCTGGTCGTCTTATTTCTCCGGAGGAGTTAGAGTCAATTGCCAGACGTAATGTAGATCCTATGGTTTCTGAACTAGCTGAACGTGCCACGCAAGAAAATCAAAGAAAGCAGGAGGCAAACGAAGCTAAAAATGCCAAAAAGCTTGCTAAAGAAGAGAAACGCCAGAAGAAAAGAGACGAAAAGGCGCGTAAAGCAGAGGAAAAACGACTTGCTAAGGAAAGAGCTAAATTTGCTAAGCAGATGTCCAAGGAGGCTGGTAAAACTGATGAAGCAGCCCCCACTGTAATTGCAGACCAAGAACAAGGCAGCACCTCTTCAGAAGTATCTTTTGGTGAACAAGAGCAAGAAGATCAATCTTTTGATCCTACTACCCAAGAATTTTTGATTCAAAAAACTGATATAGCAAATGCTACGAAACAACAAGAAATGTCTTCAACCGAAAGAGGAGCAGAAGAAGAAGTACAGCAGCCTACCCGCGCGGAACTTTCTGGCGCAACTGAACGTGATTTGAATGCTAACGTTCCTGATCAGTATCTTCATGATGAAGCGAATGAACTGGATGGTATCGGAAGACCTCCGGTTTCTACCGTTGAGAGCAATGAAAGTGATTTACAGAGACGAAATGAGGCCGCTTACACAACCTCACCTAATGGCCAATTTACTGATTCCAATCAGTTTCCTGTTGTACAAGAAACGGTAATCATGTATGATGGTCAAGAACAGGCTGTAAGTCCGAATCTTGATGAGGTCACAGAGGCTCCTATGTTTGATGATGCTGGCGAATATAAAAGAGACGTATCTCAGAAAGATGATTTGGACGAAAGCGCTAAAGTACTTAACAAAAACTCACCAAAGTCACCGGTCGCTTGGTTAAAAAAAAAGCTCAAAAATCATAAAGATAAGGCAGCTGTCAAGCGTATGTTAGAAGAAGATTCTTCTAAGAGACTATCTGAGAATGAAAAGGTTCATGTGAGTGCTCTTCAGAGAGATGTGTCGCCTATTGGTGATGGTATGACTCCAGCTGCTGAAAATGAACAACGACCGCCGGTTGTTGAAACCCATTACGAGCCTGGTTCAGTTATGAAAAAGACTGAGGGAGAGATGCCGGCTGTTGTGGATGCTCAACCTCATGTAAATGTTTCCTCTGTTCCTCAAACGAACGGTGGTGTTGAAGAAGCATTGGATGAAGCAGCTGTTTCAAAAACTGATGAGTATCCAGTTGAGAACGGGAACTTTGAACAGAAGAAAGAAAATACAGGGGAAGAAAAAGAGGAGAGTTCTAATCAAGTGGTAGGTCATTTCCCTATCCCCGGTAAAGAGCCTATTGGAGCCGCATTTCATGAGGATTTATAAGTAAGAAAACTACGGTTGTAGGACTGATTTCATTTGGTGCAATTATCGGCTCTAATTAAATTTCTTAAACCTTGACCGTGGCATGGGCCTTTTGAACGGGTTGATAAGTAAGAACATATTGTCTTTTTTCTGATAATTTAAGTTTAATTATTATTTTTGTTTATTACTGGAAAGTCAATATCCTGCTGAAGCTGCCACGCATTTTTTTACTTTGGTAAAGATAGAAACTTACGATTTTTACTTAAGACAGGTTGTTATTTATTACTGTATGACAGTCTATAAGAAGGAAGACGATAACTTTTGTGGTGAACGGCTGTCAGCGAACTGATCTTTTCCGGATTATTTATTGTTTACAAGTAATTAGTGTTATATTAATAGGAAAAGAATGTGACTTTCATACATATTATTAATTTTAGTAATTGTTTATCCTTGTATGATGGAGTTCGTATTGGAAGTGCTATCCTACGAGCGAATTGGTAAATAGTAAGTAAATGGGATATAGTAAATACTGACTAGATTGTGTCTTCACAGTGAGATCATCAGGCAATTAGCGAACAGGTCATTATGAATATTATCACCGATTGTAGTTGTGAATTAGCTATGAAGAAACTGATAATCATTTGCATGAAGAATTGATTGTTAACACCCAATTACATATATATGCCTTCATCATATCATCAGGAAAGGAAAGCACAGAGTATGTAGTTTGTAGTGTTTAAGCCTTCCCTTTAATATTTTAGGGACCAGTCTAAACCAAATATAATATATGAGTTATTATGGAAGTCGTACTTACAAATCGTGATTCTCGCAGTTCTAAATAGCATGTACCTCTCGTATAATAGTTGTTTGCTTTTACTTTACCTTTTCTTTGTTTACTCGAAACATGGTTAGGTGACAGTTGTGGTAACGATTATGAGGACAATATTACAAGAGGATTTACCTAACTTCGAAGATCCAACCCCCCCGGGGTAGCCTGACAAGTTTCCCCGGGGTAGCCTGACAAGTTATGATATCATTTACGTAAAGAGTTTATGAAGGATGTTTATAAACGTTACTTTAGCCAAACACCAGGTGGAAAGTGCAACAAGAGGGTATACCGTAAGATTTGCGTTTTTCGCGTATTTTAAAAAAATTAAGAAAAATCTATTCGAATATAAGACCAGGAACTATTTAATAAATATAATACTTATTATTAATCAACGGATTATCCCGAGTGTTTACATACATAATATACAAAATACGCGATTAAAGACACGAGCTCTTAAGAGCAAAGTCAGTCTTTTGATATCTCTTTCATTGTTAGTGTCTATTCTTACAATAAGATACTCCTTCGTTCGATTCTAGTCAGGTAAATCCTGTCGCATCTGGAAGTTTTGATCACCAACTTTTCAAGTACATTTATTTACCTGGCAATCCGTTACATTCTTGCTACGCAACTTGTTACTCTGTGAATAAACATCAAGCAGTGTGGAAACGGAATTTTTTTACTGTTAATTAATAGTATCCACATTGTTGTGTGATTCCCATCTTTTATACTCAAGATACATTTTGATTTTTTTGATAATTTCATCTTTAATACTTTAATTATTCCTTTATTTGTGAACGACAAGATGGTTGAACGTATTCATACTACACCTAGTCGTCCCCGCTACTGGGCTTATCTTTTATTTTTACTACCCCTTGTTTGCTTTTTAATGTGGACAATTGGGTTAATTGTCCTTTTGGGTCTTTGGAGTGCTCAAGACAAATGGCATACGCCTGGTGAACCTGATCCCGTATATATCAGTGATATGGGTGCGTATACCAAAGGATTTTTCATTCCCATGTGCGTAATAACAGGTGTTTCTTATTTATTTACTTTTATCGCCATTCGCCTGTGCAGACAATGGCGATTTCTATATCCTACCTCTGCCAAGATAGAGACCTTCCTTGGTTGGTTTGCAGTGCTGACGAGTGCTGCTTGTGCCGCTTGTTTAATCTCTCTGGCAATTCGTGATGATGTACATCACGATAGCGTTCACTGGAAATTCACCGCTGCTTTTGTAGTATTGGCTTTTGTTTCTGCCGCTAGCAATATTTTTGAATGGCTCTCTGCTTATCGCCATTATCGCTTTAGTAAGTTGTTAGCTTTCTCGTTTTATGCAAAGTTTATAATTATCGTCACGGCTATTGTTTGCGCCATCGCGTTTGCTGGTCTGCGCCATTACGAAGATCGTTCTCGATCTTCTAGATTTGAGTGGGTTGTTGGATTTTTATGGGCTCTCTATATTTCTCTTTTGTGTCTGGACGTGCTTCCAGCTATTTATCATGAACGTTATCCGAAGGATTCGGGTGACTTGGAGAAGGGTGTTCGTGGTAATCAAGAACCAGAGACTACTTACGCTCCTCCTGTCGAGCCCCCAGCGGCTGCGACACGAGAGACTGAGCATGCTGATCCCTCTCAGCCTTAAGTCGACTTTGAAGTTTCTTCAAATTCGTCTGCTAATCAAGGGTAATCTAATTCACCAATTAAAAAACAACCCTCAGGAATGCACTGCGCTGTTCCTGTTGTGACAACAGCCGTTTGGAGTCTGGTAAAAAATTACTTATGACAAGACAAGTTACTTGTCTTTCCTTATCCGTATCCGTATATCATTTAATTCACCTTACCTTCGATTGGTTTGTCACGAATGATAATTTTGGTAAAAAAACAACAGCACTTTTTCTTTCTCATCTAATATGTTATTCATATCAACTGTTTATAACCTCAAAATGAAATTTGTTTCTGATTATTTTCATATTTCATTGATCTTTATAGTAAGTTACGTATAACGAAATGAAAAGCACTTCGTTGGAATAAGGCAGTACGTTAGCTTGTATTAAGACAGAAATATTTAACACACTTGAACGCGAAACTTCCGTAGATATGCAGAAAGCAACTTTGTCTTTTACCCATATCGCTTTATGGCACCAATTGCAGAAAGGACTCGGTAAGTTGATTAAAAGCAAGAAGATTACTAATGCAACAGATTTGGTCTTAAAAGGAGCATTGAGCCCATTTATAGCGGTGGCCCTATTGGCTTCGCTTCTAATGAAAAAATCCTAGTCACCAGTTTAGGTGATCGGATTATGGGTAGCAATGGGGAGACTGGTGAAAAAATTTTTTCTATTAATAAGGATGAAGATGATTACGTTACTTCGATGATTATGACAAGTGATGGAAGCAAGTTGGTTGTTGCTTTTAGATCGCGCTTGGTTACAATATATGAAGTACCTTCAGGAAGACGCTTAAAGTCGTTTAAAGCTCATGAAACACAAGTAATTACTATGACCATTGACCCGACAAACAGCGTCTTGGCTACGGGTGGTGCTGAAGGCCTTGTAAAGGTGTGGGATTTAGCAGGTGGATACACGACACACGTTTTACGTGGTCATGGCGGCATCATCAGTGCTCTTCGCTTTGGAAAGTATCAAGAAAAATGGGTGCTGGCAAGTGGTGCCGACGATACTCGAGTACGACTTTGGGATTTAAATACCAGTCGGTCAATTGCTACATTCGAAGGTCATAGCAGTGTGATTCGAGGCCTTACATTCGATGAGTCTGGGTCGTTTTTATTGAGTGGCTCACGAGACAAGACAGTGCAAGTTTGGGATCTGAAAAAGCGTTCTGCTATTCGCACTATCCCTGTAATGCATGGCGTGGAATCCCTTGGATGGGTCAATCATCCTGGGAAAAATGAGAAAGTACTATATACGGCTGGTGAGGGGAACATAATTTTAGCCTGGAATTGGAAAACTGGAGCTCGTTTCAATCCCGATGTTCAGATTATTCCTAATGAAAACAATGCGATTATCCAGGTTATTTCTATGGATGATAATTCACTTCTGACTGTGCATTCCGATTTGAGCTTGCTTGTACAGAGCTTATCAATTGAAGAAGGTTTTTTGGTTCAAAAGAAGCTTCATGGATCTTTCGATGAAGTCATTGACTGTGCTTGGATTGGCGACGATCATTTGGCAATTGCATCCAATACTGAATATATTGATATTATTTCCGCTGATGGCACACAAGTTTATGGTGTTTTAGCAGGTCATACCGATATTGTTCTCGCAATGCACGCTTCTGAAGATGGCGTTTGGTTAGCAACTGGTGCTAAAGATAATACTACACGACTGTGGAATCTAGATGTTGAAAATAATAAATTTACTTGTGTACGTGTGTTTACAGGTCATACGGCTAGCGTGACAGCTGTGGCTTTGGGTCCCTTGGACGCACATGGTTTCCCCTCATATCTTGTATCCGCCTCTCAAGATCGCACTTTGAAGCGTTATGATCTAGGTTCTTCTTTGACTAATTCCGAAAGTCAGAATAGAGCTATCTGGACCATTAAAGCGCATGACCGCGATATAAATGCTGTTCAAGTATCTGCTGATGGACGTATCGTTGCTACTGTTAGTCAGGACAAATTAATCAAGTTATGGGATTCATCTCTTGGTGAAGTTATCGGAGTTTTGCGTGGTCATCGTAGAGGTGTGTGGGCCTGCGTATTCAATCCCCATAGCCGTCAATTAGCTAGTGGTAGCGGTGATCGAACAGTTCGTGTATGGAGTATTGATGAGCAACAATGTCTTCATACATTAGAAGGACATACCGGTGCTGTCTTAAAGCTGGCTTATATATCAAGGGGCACACAACTTATTAGTGCTGCCGCCGACGGTCTTGTAAAGGTTTGGTCCATAGCCTCGGGTGAATGCGTCGCAACATTGGATAACCATGAGGACAGAGTTTGGGCTGTAGCAGTTCGTGATGATGGTGCTCGCATCGTATCTGGTGGTGCCGATGCTGTCGTAAGTGTTTGGCAAGATGTCACAGAAGAGCATGCTGCTGAGGAAGCTGAGGAACTCGAACGTCGTGTCGAGGCCGAACAATCACTGGCTAATTACGAAAAGGCTGAAGATTGGCGGAATGCTATTGCGTTGGCATTGTCATTGGATAGACCTCTCGGTTTACTACGCCTTTTTGAACGAGTCATGAATTCTCCACATCAAAAAGGAAGTATTACAGGTAACGCCGACGTGGATAAGGTGGTATCAGATTTGAGTGATAATCAGTTAACAATTTTATTTCAACGCATCCGTGATTGGAATGTTAATAACAAAACTAGCATGGTTGCACAGAGGCTGCTACATCTACTTCTACACGCTTACCCCCCTAAACATCTTTTGGAAATTCCGGGAATAAAAGGAATTTTTGATAGCATGTTTCCATATACCCAGCGTCATCTTTCAAGGATTAATGATTTGTTGGAAGAATCCTATATTGTTGATTATGTTATGTAAATTAAAACCGAACACTTTAATTTGAGGTTAGTACTTTCGGTACTTAACTATTTTTCAAAGGTCAATTTTCAGCTATTGATTATTTTCTATGTTTCAAAATCGGGTTAAATAAAATTTGGGTCTATATTTTTGGAAAACTTGCAACCAATAGCAATTGTAGCTTTTCTGGAGGGTAAGGGTAGTAGAAATTAAATACCTTCAAAATTTAGGAACCCAGACATGAGAAGGATACGGTAATACTTTTTCTTAGAAATCTCGTTTGTCCAATTCCAAGCGCTGGTTAACCGGCCGTCAATACAACTTCCAGCGTCGTACCAATTGTCAGCACCACGTCCATCGAATGCATGTTTGAAAAAATCCAGTAGTAAAGTCTGCTGCAGACCTCTAATGCTTCCATATTCTTCTTCAATGTATTGTACCAAGAAGGGATCTCTCAAATATTCCAGTTGTTGTAATACCTTTACAAGAGGTGTTAAGATGTGAGGGACTTGGCGGTATTTGTCGATGAACATTAAAGCGTTAGGTACGGCACGATCACCTAAATGTACAACGGAGCTACCTATCCAAGGCAATTCCTGCTCATGCTGTACTCCGGACAATATTCTATTAACCGTCGTACGGAGCAAAGGGCACGCCTGAACGCGGTTCAAACCTTGTCCAGTATCAGAAATGAAATATCTCGTATCTTTGTCAACAAGGGATGCATCGCTTTGAAGCCATAGCAAAAACATTTGGTCCATCATACAAGACCAAAATTGCAAGCTTTGGTCAACATAAGAAAATTGCGTTCGGTGATCATGTGTTAGACGGGCACCATTCATAAAACCAATTTTCAAGTTTCCACCTTTCTTTGAATCTTGTGGTGAAAAGAATTCATACAAATAAGATCGCATTTTTTCAACAGGAACCCGATTAGCCAACAGAAATGACTCATGATCTGCTAATGAAACCAGACAGTCTTCCAAAATTCTCTTTTTTCCATCATTCCCCTTTGCGTATTTTTTGAGCAAAACATCACTGCTTTTTTTTCGTTCCTCATTTATTTTGGACCGTAAGGAGGTACCAGCATAGGGATCTATTTGTTGGAGAGCAGTGTCTAGAAGCTGCTTTTCAGAAAGAATATCTAGCAAACCATTCTCTTCTAAAACACGAAAAACGGTTTTTACAGGGATGTAAAAGTCAAAGCCCATTTGCATACGGACATCAGGTATCATGGAATCTTGGCACATGTACATCATAGCGCCATAAGTAGTACGCATTTTTTCGGGGTTCATGATTTTATAACGTCGACCTATTTCAAATATCGATTTGAAGAAATCTGCGTTCGTGGCATGGTCCTTTCCTTGCAGTAAACTTCGACCAAGTTTTACGTCCATTGCAACAATTAAGCCTGTCAAAATGCTGCACATTTCCGATAGATAAGTCACCATCAATTTTGTCCTTGATGTATAGGATATAATATCGACATGATCGGTATACTCAATAACATTTAGCCTGAATGTTAGATGAATTCACAGAAGATAAAGAAAGAAAAGGAAATGGAACAGTAAGTCTTTATTGATTGAAAACATATGTTAGACAATCTTTTGGTTAAATCCTCTGCCGAATGCCTCAAGAAGCCCATAGCAAAGCAAAGCAAAGGAAAATTTGAGATCCAATAGAGAATGATATAGCTATACAAGCTCGTTTGAAATTACCAAATAATATTTTATCTAAAGATTTTGTGGATGTGATTCTTTTCGCTCACAACCTTTTCTGTCTCTTACGGTAATTTTACTTACGCTGCTTCTAATAAACCCAGAATACGACGTTCATCTTCGCTTAAACGTACAGGAACAAATTTTGATTTTTCGACCCAGCTTTTTGTGAATAATCCGGTTTTTGACATGGTGGTATTAATCGAGTAGTGCAGCGTAAGTGCATACACTTCACCAAAAACTTAGAATCCACAATTCTTTATTTTCGGTGATTAAAGTTGTGGTACAAAGTTCTCTTAAACAACGTTTGCATATTTATTTTTTATTACTACCGTCCATCATCAATTCTATCGATTTGCTGAAGATCGCGCATGTTGACTTGTGATTTTCGTAACGCTTTGAATCCAAATTGCTTTCTTTGAAAGAAGAAATTATTTTTCTTACTTTGGATAGAGAATTGGATCCTGTAGGAGGTTAATCGACTCTACACGGTTTCATATATTAAACCTTTGAAAGTCGACAAGGATTTTTCTTGGTAATCTACTTCTTAATCTTCTTTTCTTAGTTAAGTATTTACCGCTCTTTTCTGTTAGACATGCTATACTTTGTTATGATAAGTCTCTAAATCGTTAGTTCTGTTAATCGTGTCCATACTTATGTCCCATAACCTAAAGATTTATTTTCTTTTTGCTCTTTGCAGTTTTTTTATTTGGGTATTTTTTCGGAGTTTTGTCATAAAAATTGTCTACTTATGGGCGACTGGTTATTTTATTTGGTTTCATTTGCATTCAAAGCATCTCGGTACCTTCACTTCAATCAATTCGGCTGAGCCATTTCTCGTGGATCCTACAGTTTTTCGGAAACGGAGTCAAAATCTACTAAAATCGAGATTCCTACTGAGGCAAGCTTTATGTCCAGGATATCCAGAGATTTCAGAAGAAATAGAGTTCATCCTGGAAATTTTCATGGAAAAATACGTGAAAAAATGGTCATCTCTAATTATTGGCGAACCTACCATTCCTAATAGTATTGAGGATCATTTTCGAAAATGTATTCATACCCTATTTTTGAGTGTTGAGACGGTTGACTTTGCAGATGTTCTCATTAAGAAAATCTTACCACTGCTTACAAAGCACCTGCGTCTTTTTATCGAAGCAGAGCAACTCGTTGTTGGCCACAAGGCTGTTTCTTTTACTGACCATTCTGAGCTTTCAAAAGAAATAGCTGCGAAATATAATAATGGATCATTACATAAAGCTATTCTTTTGTCGGGAAATCCGATGGTTGCTCAAAAAAAGTATTTGAGAAATTGGACCATCCAGGTTTTATCAATAATACTCCCTAATTACTACCAAACAAGCCCTCTAGTAATCTCATTAATTACGGAAATAATAATTAATGCTGCGCTTCTTCCGTTAATATCCTACGTTTCTGACCCCGATTTCTTCAATTACTTGATTATTCAAGGTAGTGGAAGTATTATAGAACGACGCAGAAAGATACGTCGCTTAAAGCATGCTATACGCAAGTTGTCTTCAAATTCTCAAATTGGGGCACGCAGGCTAGGACTCAAAGATAGCCAACATGCTTTCGACCAATATATTAGGGAAATCCGTCGTATTTCTAATATTTCTGATGCAAGGCGTTTGCGATCCGAGTTGTTAGTGCAAAGGCGACAATTAGATCAACACACCCCCTTTAGTTCTGAGCTTCAACAATATCATGAACGTTTACGAGTTGCTATAAATACAACTGAAAAAAGAATATCCGTTCTTTCTGGATTCCCTTTTCAAAGGAGGCAGTCTGCCCTCGTTGAACAAGCTCAGTCTTTGCAGCAAATATTGTCTGATTCCGCAGCAGTTTCATGCTTCTTGGAATTTATGGAACGTAGGCATAGGTCCCATTTACTTCATTTCTGGCTTGTAGTGGAAGGATTAAAAGAATCACAAGATGATCCTTTGAATGCACACATAATGGCTCCTTTTTCTGATATTTTTTCAGATTATACTGATTTTACAGCCATTGCTAAATCTTATATAAAAAGAAATGAGAATCCCTTTGAAATACCAGATTCCTTGGTGAATTCTGTGTACTCTTTCATTAGCCAACCCGAAAATAATCTCTCGTCTGAACTTTGGATTGAGGCCAGGAATGCTATGCTGGCCGCTCAGGAGCATGTTTTTAATATCATGCATAATGACGATTACTTGGAATTTGTAAATAGTGATATATATTATCGCTTTCTTGCTCAAGACGTTATTTCAGACCAGAAGTCATTAACATCATCCACTGCATACAGTCCTATAAACGATACTCTAGATAATCCTCCAAATTCTTCCAGACAAGCTTCGATAAAAAGCATATCTTCTTCTTCAAAATCTTTCAATTCTTCTGCATCAGTTCCATTGTCCATGCCTTCCTTGAGAAAGGATACTACTTTGAACGATGTGGATTTAGAAGACACAATTAGTAGTGATGAAGAAGAGGTGCTTTTTGCTTCCCCGGGTGATCTTCAGTTATCTGAGGCGATTGAAGAACTTCACGCGGACATCCAAGAGTTTGAAAACCAACTTCACGCCTTGAGCACAATGATGAAGAAAGCCGAATTAATCTCAGATCAAAAACAGTTTAAAAGTCTGTCTAAAAGCTATCAAGCTATAGAAAAGGCCGTAAATCGAAAAAAAAGACAAGTGGATCAATATTTGTCACAAGAAGAAGACAGTAAATTGTATAATCGTTCCAGGGTTTCCATTGATTCTTATAAACTTTGTAAGGATGAGAACGAACAAGAATATGCTGTCTATACGATTCGTATTGAACGCCTGGAGGGAGATATAATAAGGTCAGGTTGGATGGTCGCTAGAAGATATCGAGAATTTGCTGAATTGCATAAGCAATTGAAGCAAATGTTTCCACAAGTACGCTCGCTTAAATTTCCCAATAAAACCGTTATCCCTTCAATAACTAAGTCGATTTTGGAATATAGAAAAACGGCCCTTGAAGAATACTCGCAAGCTATTTTTCAGATGCCTGACGTTTGCGATAGCAAAATTTTAAGAATGTTTCTATCTCAACAGAACGTTACTGCACCTCAAATGTTCAATCCAAAGATAGTCGGTGAAAGATGGAAGCGCTCGTTGGAGACACTGGGTTTTGAAGTAAACGGTTCGTTTAAATTGTCACAAGCCGATAGTACATCCTCTTTTTCAGCTCCTATATGTGAATTTTTGATTGAGCTCTTTTCACCAAATAATGATATAAAGCAACAGTGGATGCCGAAAAAAGCATATATTTCCATTCTAGAACAACTATTCGGAGGTGCTCTGGAAAAACGTATACGAACACAAATGCATCAGTGGGTCAATCAAGAGCGAATATATCAGAAAGTCCACCAGCTTCGACATGAATTAAGTGGAATCAAGAAACCTGGACGATCGGCAGCTGGGTCTAGTCGTGCTCGTAAACCAGCTTATGCTGATCGAAATCAACTGAAAGCTGAGGCTGGTATCATGCTTGCATCTATGTTTCCTGGATATACGCCTGACATAGCCGTTAAAAGAATTTTCCGAATCTTACAAAACCAAACACTTAATGCACATATAATTTATACCTTGCTAGATGAAGCACTGGAAGGTTTAAAGCAGCATAAAGAGGATTCAGCAACAAAACCATAGCTTACGAGCTTTCTCCCGACTCCTTCCGGTTTAATAATCATCGTACTAATTTGCTACGCTTAATATTTGCTCTAATCGTGATCAATTTACAGATTTTAATATTGAAACTTATCTTCTTAACATTTATGATGCCCTATTTCAATCGGTAGCGACGCTGGATTGCACCAGGACATAGACCTGATAATTATTTGTAGATTTTGGCCTGAAAATAAGAGCCATATTAATCTTCATTCGCCTACAGTTTGTAATCTACTAGCCTTTTTCGTTTACTGGGGTGTAGACCAACAGCTATATTAGACTAGGTACAGCGCAAAAGGACCGTGAAGCATTCAACATCCAGTGTTCCAAACCCCGTTTGGTGCCTTAACATATAAATAGTAAATTTACAAGCGATTAATTAGGGAATGACATGTATGCGACCACTCCTTTACTCTGGCTTCTGTTCAATTGACGATGAAAGGCAGTGAATGCAAGACTCTTGACATGAAGTTTTAATTTGTAATGATATCTTTATTTCTTCTACTCTAATGGGATCAACTTTAAACGATTGATCTTTTAGGAAATTCTAAACAGAAGAATTGATCTGGGAAGTTGAATTTTGAATTTTTAAAAATTCGTTAATAAGTAACACGAGTAACACTGCTAAATAGTAGTGGATAACATTTCAATCAATTGAATCGAATTGGAATAGAATGTAAAACATATTAATAGTAGTATTAAAATTGTAGGTCAAAAGATCTACTGGGTCAGTAGGAGGATAATGACTCAATCTTCAAAAAGCATTGTAATTGAGTCGCTGAAGACAAATGTCGTGAAGGATGCTAAACGGATGTACAATTAACAATGATTTCGTAACAAGCTGAGAGGAAAATTTACTCTGCTCCAAAATTTTCAACTCAAGCATTGAGTTATACAGGAGAACCTGCTCACAGGTATGGTAGGAAAAGCTCCGCGACGATGGCTGTATTAGATACTTTGTTTGATTGGCAAGTAGTCTTCAAGTAGGATTGTAGTTAGGAACAATCAACAAGACTTGGTAGTCTTACAAGTAGACGGGACCACGAGCATTGATTTGCATTGTGAGAGCTTGGGTCTCTCTTTCCGATCGTCTTAGAGTATTCCGGGAGCCATTGGATTTCCTAAGGCGTTGATTTTTGCTTGTTATAATTGCCGTTCCCTATCTTGCCTTTCCTTCTCTTTTCTTGGTAAGCGTGAAGAACGGTTTTGGTTAAACATAGAAATAAAAGATATGAACCATATAACATAGGAAATAAAATGAAACAATGCGACGGGACCAAATTTCTTATGGTATTTCAAGGTTAATGACAGCACTACATTAACAAAGCATATGAACGCAAGACAGCAAATATGCATAAACACCTTAGAATGATAGTTTACTATCTCTTGGCTGACTTTCTCGTATGTATCACCTGAATCATCTTCAGGGCGTCGATAATCGTACACAATTTGAGGCTGAAACATGTTGAATCCACAATTTTTGATGAGGATTCGCTGTGAAGTTTCAATGGAAAGCGAAGGAGGATGATATTCGACGTCAGTCGGAAGGGAGAAGATGGATGGCATTCAAGGCAGCCTATTCCATTCAAAGTTACCACCATCTTTTTTTTTATATCTTTAAGAATGAGTCAACCTGAAGAGGCTTTTGAGGAAACTGCTCCTTTAGCATCTGAAATCCCTCCTCAGTATGAAGAGGAATCAAGCAAATGTCTTTGGCAAAGTTTACGAAACAGAGAAATTTCTTTTCGCGTTCTATTAGGGACTTTCCTTCTCACCTATACTTTTGTCTTTTTCATTCTTTTTCTTGTGTACTTTATTAATATTTTGGTAGATGATAATAAAAGAGAAATTAGTGAAGGTATCCCATATTACTTTACATCTATTTCTTGTTCGATACTTGGCCTTGTCTGCTTTATTTTTATTTGTGTTTACTCTCGACCTGTTGTTGTCAAGGTTGAAATGGGTTCGATTCCCATGGAAGATTTGTCACGAAAAAATGATACAACGAAAAGGTAGCTTTACCCACATTTGAAGTATAACCCAATCAAAAAGTTATTTCTTCCTGAATATCAGATATTCTAAGGATGCCTCCTCAAGTTTCCTTCCAGTAGGTGAATATTAACAAAAAAGGAATTCTACGGAAAACTGTGCAAATTCTATCTGACAAGCGAAGCGGCATGCCTACTGAACACGAATGGTTATAAAAATACAAGGAGCTTCTTAGTGAATTCAACATTTGAGTTCCTTGGGCGTTGAGAAGCTTTCATTTTATCGTCTAATAACGATGTCGTGTGGAATAGTCTTTAGGTGAAATAACAAGACCTTTTCCTTTTCTAGCTCCTCTAAAAACCGTTTCAATAATATCAATCATTTCCTGTTTATCTTCCAAAGCCCAATTGATTTTGTTGTTATTACCGGTACCCAGATCAATCATCATATGCTTATTTCGGTAGAAAAACATAATCGTAGTCCTATCATAAAGTTCGTACATCTTTAAAACGTTAGTATGGCCGTCTCAACTGTTGGCTGAACCAAATAGACAATGCCTTTGCCTAAAGTCTCATACCTTGTTGAAGTCTGGAACTTCGTCAACGTCAACCAAGTAAAAAACAGCCATATTTATAACCTTTTCTGCAATTCTATAAAGGACTTCATCTTGTTTCATGCACTCTTCATCCTATTCCAGCTAAATTAGTACACCGGTTTCCCATGATCCTTAGACGTACGTGATCACGACCAAAGCGTATAATTACAAGCCTTTCTTGCTCTTCCAAGATTAATTAGTTAATGAAGCTTAAAAAAAGAATTCAACCAACATGCGTGTTCATACCAGAAAGAATTGCTTGGTCCACATGCCTAATGCACAAGTGTTAGAACGGCATATATAAGTGAAGCTTTCGTACCATCCAGAATGAAGATGAGGAAGAAAATAACTCATCGCGATGTTTCTCAAACTTTTGAACTTTGCTTTTTCGTCAAGAATAGAAATTGAATTAAGGACACTTTGGAATGCATAATTGAGCTTACTGAAGGCATGTTACAATTCGCTACTTTGTTAAAGTGACATGTATCCTAGATTTATACAAAAAATGAATAAAGGGGAATAATCATTGTGTAAAAGAAAGGAAAACAACAAGCATACTTGGATGTTCATGAAGGTTACTTTGTTAATGAAATTAAGGCTCTTCATTTAATAGTTGAGAATTGGAATCGCAATTTCTTCGTTGCTTTCTGGAAAACATGGAGTAGTCGGTATAAACATCAGATTGTAAAAAAAGATGAAAAGAAAGAAAAGAATCTATCTCTATATGAGCGGTGATCCATATAGAATTGAGGAATGAATTGATGTCATAAACATTACATTAGAAGGAAAATAAAAAAATATATTCATATGCGAAATTCGTTATCATTCTTCGTTCAAAGATTGGCTTTGCTTTTTGTAAACAAGTAAATCACCTCGTCGCTCTTCACTTTCTGGAATCCAAGAGTTAAAGTATGTTGCGAATTCTGTGTATAACAGTCCTCTAGTGTTAAAATAGTTCTCGAGTAATGGTAAACGTTCTTGGAAAAAAATCAAGTAGTCTGGAAATGTATCTAGTTGATCTAGATAAGCAGGCATGTCCGAATAAAATCGATCTGTCTCATCCAGAGGGCGCTCAAAAGGTTCGCAAGTAAGGAACCGCCAAGTATGATCTGCGTTTGGAACGTGAATATGGGATTGCCAAGGTGTGGTATGGCAAGGTGCAAGGATAATGCCAGTTTTATTCTGGGAAGCAAGAGAGTGAATCAACGGCATCACGTCTGCAGCTCCTAATTGATGAAAACGGCAAAGAACAATTGCAACACCAATATGTACAGCGCTGATGAAAAGAAAACCACGGCGTATCCATTTGGAAGACACGGAAGCCAATGCATTCCCAATAGCGGAGAGAAGTATAGGAGATAAAGGGTACACAAAACGAAATTCTTTATGGGAAATAAAGGAGTAGGGAAGTAAAACAAATCCAACGGCAAGAACAGCTTGCAAGTCCAACGACAGTAAGAGGAAAATAAGATACCCTCCACAAATTAGTGGTATAGCTTGTGAAAGATAATAATGCGAGGAATTTACCCCATACAGGGAAGAGAGTCCTGATGTGACATTAAAGTTAAAGAAAGAAAAAATAGGAAATACGAAATGGCCGTAAACATATCGGTCTACTAAGACATTTAAAACAAGAATCATGCCTATGACCGTAAGGGTAGCTGGAAGATGATACAACACTTCGAAAAATAAGAGACGCACTCTTGAAAATATTTTGCTAGGGCTAAGAAAAGATTCTCTTGGTGATTTCGTCCACAGCAAAACAGGAACTACCCAAACAAGTAAATTGGTGGGTCGAATGAGAAAAGCAATTCCAATAAAAGTTAAAAACCGTAAAAAAGATCGAAATCGTAGATTTGGATTATCGATGGCATTGGTTCGAATTTGAGATGAATACTTCAAATATTTCTGCCATTCCCAAAGAGCAAGAGCTGTCAGCGGTGTTTCTAAAGAATTGGCAAAAGTTCGAACACCGACATACGCATTAAAGAATGAGAATAAGGAACAAGCAAGGGTCCATTGTGCAGCTCTTCTCCCATAGCGATTTAGGGCAAACTGATAAGTAGCATAATCCAGAATAGCAGCAAAGGTTCCTTGTAGGATTCGAGGAGCACCTACCATAATTGTGTAATTGGAATCCCATCCTAGTAATTTTAAAAAGCGGTACAAGAGCGCAAAAACAAGGGGATGCAGACCAGAACGAATGTACTTTCTCCATTCCCAAGTTAAAAATCCATATCCAAACACTAAATGATGAGCGACCTCCAGAGACTGGTAAAACTCATCGGGTTGAAAAAACGTCTTTACCCACAACGCATTCCACCATCGAAAAGCAAATACCACAAACCACATCCAAGTCTGCATGGCGTTTCGAGGTACGTTGCAATGTTTTGAGTGCTTTCGAGCATCCAAGCTGATGCCGTACAAACCTTCGTTCTTGTTTCGGCTGATTAGTGATATTGATGAGTATGAGCGGTTTGTACCGTTCTGTCAGAAGTCAAAAGTTACGAGCAGAGATCTTACAACAGGACTGCCAAATAAAGCGGATTTAACAATTGGTTTTGGGAATTTTTGTGAGACTTTTGATAGTCGAGTGGTTTGTGATCCAGTTGCGAGAACCGTCCTAGCAGATGCTTCTCATCACCAGTTGTTTCAACATCTAAAAACAAACTGGGAAATTGTGGAGGCTTCTAAAGGAAGAGTGCGAGTAGACTTGGAGGTGGATTTTGAATTTACAAACAAGCTTCATAGTGTCGTGAGCAAACTGACAGGTTCCACGGTAGCTACAGAAATTATCAAAGGATTTGTGAATCAAGCAAAACAAAAGTATGAACTTGAACAATCAAAGAAACCACTCGTAGATGATGCTTCCAGTGACCTATGAAATTGGCTGATTAGGAATCCTATACTATAAGATATCGATACTTTCATCCGAACAGAAAATGGAGTTACTGATTGAACGAACGAAAAGCTGTAGCTTATAACAGGTGTATTTACAAAAACGGATTCTTCTTATCCTCAAAATCCAACTCAACAAATCTACGAACTGTCTACATATTTCTAAGTTGAATCGGCAACAATTTTGAATGTTTTTTTTTTTTGATGGATTTGCTAAAAGTTTTGGATACCTCTGGTGATTCTATTTCATGACTTTTTCATACTCTCCATTCTGTATAAAGTGGAAGCTTTCCTGTACTACGTGTGAATGTTCTTACATATTGTGACTGGAAACATGATGCTATGATTATAGAGTAGCGACAAGAGTACTAGCTTCAACATACCTTAGTTAATGAATTGCTTTCAAGTCTCTCTTTTGATATCAAAACCTATGTTGATGTTTGACTAAAGGGAAATTGTGGAGATGAATCCATTGATAGGTTACTTTCAATTTTTTTATCTTTTAATAATGTCTTAGATGAATATAATTCAATGACCATTTTCCAATTTCTATTCGATGGTCATTAACAAGTCTCTATGCTCAGTAGGAACATCAATAACTTTCATAATAGATATGAGCGTCTAACAGAGTACGAAATAAAAGGAATAAAATTGTTTTAATCCTTTAATTGAAAATACACAATGCAGCAGGTTTGCAAATAAAAACCAACCAAAATACAGACACCCTAAACATAAACTTTCTTCATGGATTATTTGAGTTTGAAAAAATGAAATATATATTTCGCTCTTTTTATTTTATTTTATTATCTTGTATCTTGTTTGTTTTTTAAAATCAACGGTTTTTTTACATTCATGAATATTGAGATAAACAAACAAAACAGTAAGCAAACAAGTAACAACCGAGTCACTGTGCTCCAGGATTTCAGTCGTTACGTCAACGTGGTGGTCCCTTGTACAAACGAACCCCCTCATATCAGTAGAATAGCGATGCGCTCCATTCTACCGGAATCATTTAGTGCTATCCACTAATATTCGCTATCTCCATATTTATAGGGAATCAGAGACCTGTCGATAACCAACCAAATATCTGTTATGAATGTAATAAAAGAAGGAATATATAAAGAAAGATCATCGTTAGACTCACCTGAAACTTCCGAAGGATTGGATAGGAAGGCCGATATTCAGATTGCGATTGTCAGCACCGTGACATCTTCAGATGGATCATATGTGGAATACGAAATTTCGCACCATGTACGTTGTATAAATGAATTTTTCAATTTGAAAATTGAATTGCTTGAGGATGAATTGCTAATACATGCGATTGCTATAGAAGCGATCTGTTTGGAGACGGTATTCAGATTTCGAGTCTTTGGTAAAGTTAATGCATCGACGATATCCAGCAGCAATTGTGCCACCAATTCCAGGAAAGCAATCTTTATGTAAGTGATGAATGAGCAGAAGCTGTTCATGGACTGTTTTTTTCCAAGTTCACTTGCTAACGAAGGGTTTATGGGCTCTGTTGTGAGCCCAAAAGCCTTAAATACAGTAAGTTATGCAAAACATCCTAGAAAAGCAAAAAATGATGCCGATTTTTTGAACTTTCGCTCCCGTATGCTTGAGCTTTTTCTTCGTCAATGTTTGTTACATCCATTGCTTCGTGTCGACTCTGACTTTGACAAATTTATCAATTCCAGCATTTCGTGGCACGTTATAATATCCTCTATGAATTTATCAAAAGATTCTGGTATCGATCCTCTTCGCTTGCCTCCGATTGGTACTGAACCAGACCCCTTTGCGCACTTACGTTCTTCTATGCCTTTAGTAATGTCTAATACAGTAAGTCCCCCGTCTTCTAGAAGTAGAAAACCAGCAGAAGTTTCTACTCAATCAGTTCGCCCTACCAGCAACCCTTCCACCACCTCTTCTACGGACGGACCTGTCTATCCCGACTCCGAAGACGAATTTAAACTTCCACCTACATCTAGCGAGTTACTTTTAACACATGACTCAGACGATAATACTTCTTCTGCTTCTGTCCAGGAACCCTCCCCCTACCTTCCATCAGCTATTGACGGACTTTCCGTAACTTCAAATCCCAAAGACACGACCCGCCCTGAATTTAAAGACTTAACATCATATACCAATGAGGTGATATTGTGTCGAAAGTTTTTGCATCACAACCTTAGTCCTTCCATTCATTCTACTTTAAGTGGAATTTCTAAAATGGAATCATCTCTCTCCAAATTAGGATCTGCTTTTCATTCCCTAACTGCTTTAAACGAAATCCATTTGGCAAACCATCTTCAGGTAATTGCTAATGCATTTGAATTTAGCGGAATGTATGCGAAAGCTTTGGAACAAGAGTTTAATTCCTCTGTGTACGAAAAACTAATTCAGTCGATGCAGCTGGCTCGTTCAGCTGTTAGGGCTCTCAAATACAAGAATTTAAAAATCCAGCAAAGAGAATTTTTACAGGATCAACTAGTTCATTCAAACTCTATTGATCCAGTAGATTCATCGTCTCCCTCTGCTTATCCATCTAATCGGTTAAACTCGATTCAACGCGCCGTGGTATCACAAGCAAAAAAGGGATACACAATTTTTGGAAGACTACAGAATGCAATTTATGACTTTGTTGATGGAGAAACATCAATTAGTAAGGAAACGTTGCAAGAGCATAGAACAACTATTGAAAACCAATTGACCGCTGCGAACTGGGATTGCCAAATAATAAATAAACTTATAGATGAAGAGTTAGAATACTATAAGGTTTGTCAGAGCACTCAACTAAAAGAGATTGTGAATGCAGTTCATGCTTCCTTTTCAAAATGGGCGCAGTCAAATCTCCATCGATGGTTACGGACAAGAGAAGAACTAGAAGAATTGTCAAGAGGTATGTGACAGCTCGTCCTTTTTGATCGTTTGTTCATGAATATCACCGCATATATCTATTTAATGTCAGTTATGATTTACGATGATGACTTTTTTTTTTTTTCTTCAATCTTTTTAATACCTGTTTGCCATGTATATTATTTATAGTTTATTTTTTCCAATAAGCTTTTTTTTTTGTTTCATTAAAAACTTTGCAATTCTTCGTAGCATCTCGCGAAAAAAAATTGGATTGTTTGAAGCTGGAGTTCTCATGTTTTCGCCTACTATTATTGAATATGGTCAAAGATTACGCATAATTGCATGTACAGAAGATGTGGAATGAATTTAGTAGTAAAGGTGAATATACTTTGGGAATTTTATTGATGATAAAGACATGCATAGTTCCCAAAAAGGTAAAAATAAGGATCAAGTAGAGAGTAAAGATGGTTTATATTTTTGTGGGCGATCATTAAGCAAAAAAGCAAGGTAAAGCTGTATATTATCGCATCCATTGACCAAAAAACGTTGGAAAGAATGTAAATGGTCCGCCAAACGGGACTAGACTAGACTTTACTTTCTTGCAATATCGATTTCTCTCGTATTATATTTAAAAAGTAAGTAAGTAGAAACAAGGTGGAAAACCAGCATCCAAGAAGATAGGCTGAAACCAATTAAGAAATTAGAATCAAATGTGATACAAACAAGAGAGATTTCTTATTTTATTTTTGTTGTTGTCAAAAAAACCAAGGTAAAAAAAGTACAAAGATGAAACAATGCAGTTCAATTTACGGTAAAAGAGATGAAAAAAAGGAAATTCTCATAACTTGTAAGAAGAAATTACACGCAAACCACGAGGAATTATAAACAAAAATCATAGTCAGTCCTTCTTGCTCGTCAAAGCTTTCTTGGCAAAAGCCCAAACACCAGCTGCAGAAGCCACCAAGGTACTACTGATGGCCATTGCACGTACACCACGAGTGGACTTGAACAGAGCACCAGTTAAGGCACCAGCAGCAACACTATTTTCCCAGCTATGCTTTTGGCGTTTGTAACCGATGAAGGAATTAATTCCGTTGTACACAATGGCGAGCACACCAAGAGAGTTTCCGACAAAGGGACCACGACGTGTGACACCGTTCAAAACACCGTTCAAACGAAGTCTAGAGGAAGAGATGTCTCTGGTTTTCTTTAGGCCTTCATTCAAACCCCATACGCCACCAACCGCTAAGCCGGTCAAATACGATGTACCGGTTCCGTAGCAAAGATCGTCTTGCCAACCACGAGAAGGGATTGCCATACTATCACCAGGCAAAGCACTCAAAGCATCTTCTTCAATAAGCAAATAATCCAAAGGCTTGTCTAATTCCGCCAAAGGATGAAGCTTTGCAGGATCAAACTCTGATTGAGAGAGGATATCCGAGGCAGAGGATCCCGGGGAGGCTTCATTTTCAGAAGATTTTACCTGAGTATCTTGATTTTCTTTTTTCTCTCTTGTAAATAACCAAGACATGTTCAGTTTTGTGATTTGGACCTACAAAAAAGATGTTGGTTGTCAGTCGGTGAATACCGCCTCTTAGGCGTGCTAGGGACTTAGGGCCAGTTTCATTTGATGAATAATTTTGATAATTTCTACTCATAAAAACCCTTTTTTTAAGAAAAAAAATTTACAATTGATATTCTATATAATACTTCCCTTTTTCATACCAAAGAGAATAATGATCGAAGTAAAAATGTAGATTTTATAGCGTCTTTCGTCTGCTTGTTTTGCGGTTCTTTTCTTCAAAAACACATTTTCAAGAACTGCTTTCAAATAAGAAAACGAAAAGATGGCAAAGAGCGAAGACAAAGCTCAGACACTGTTCTATGGTAGATACATAATAATAGCTAATATAAGTAAGAGACGAAGGGAGAATGAGACCAAAGTTTACAGATGTTTAAAGACAAGCGAGTGTTATAAAATAATTTAAGATAGGTAAAGTAAATAAAAAGATCGAGAGGATGGGCCTTCGGGATCAGACCCATTCTGAAAGAAAAAGAATTCGTACAGAAAAGCCATCCAAAATAATTCTAAGTGGAAGGAAAAGGGGATCTAGGGATATTCATTGCCAAATAAACACAAACAGATATTTACGAGAAAGGAAAGGAAGCAAAGGTGAGGACAAGAACAATGAATAACGTATGAAAAAAAGAAAATGAAGAGGTATTACCATCAAAGACGAAACTTCAAACCATCAACTTCATCCGTAGCTGGAAAAAAAATTGAGGATTGTTCCTATTTCTTCTTTTTTCTTGAGGTTATGAATTGCATTTCCATGTTGCTTACTTGATAAAATACGTTCGGAAAGCAATGTAAGCACCAATCATAGCAACAACAAAGATCCACATTGCTGGATGACTAGAAGGCAAAAGGTTAGTCAAAGCTTGGCCTAACAGACTTGAATTTTTGTGTCTCAAAGGCAAAGCATCAACTATATCTTTCTAAATTGACTATTCGTTGCTTTGCCTTTGGAGACCTGTGACCACTTACATAGGCTGGGAAGAGTCATAGCACTTGCTGTCAGAGAACGCACCCTTTGTGGGCAATTCGGGACCACCTTCAGTCTAAAGCAAATGTTAGTTAGTAAATGTCCAAATAGGTGTTCTGCAACCAACCTTAACCAACTTGCCGACGTGAAAGTTTTTGAGCATTTCTTGAGCATCTTCCGAGTGACCGACATCCTCAAAAGGACCGCTTGCATCTTGACCTAGAAGCAAAAGAATTAGCAAACAAGAATGACAAGGAATGGGTATAGGTTTCAGCGGAAAGAGCTTCAGCAGGTACAAATACAAAGGGTTCCGCAGGATCCAAGCAAAAATAGATTGGCAATTGAGTCCAAATTATTAGGAGAAAACACTTTTCATGTTACCGTTTTGTATGGTATAAACAACCTTTCGACGCGTCGTCAACTCAAAAAACGCGTTGGTTTCAGTTTTCTCTCCTTTTCCCTACGCGAAAATTACCGAAACAGTATCCTAGTCCTTTCAACTTCGCCCTTGTTTAGCCGCTGATGTTGACCAGACATATAGACTCTTGCTTTCACCTATTTCCTCTTCAGCAATCAATTTCTTACCAGCAAGATCAACCAAGACTTCTTCACCACCAGGGTGGGCCTCAATGAACTTTGTAATGTCAAAGACATTATCCTTGACGACGATCCACAAATCCTCGCGAGTGTTGTGTTTCAACACTTCTTCAACAGAAACGGTCTTTTCAGTCATTTTCTCTCAATTTCTTTCGATTCTTTATGGTCTCTTTACCGTAAACAGTGCCTTAGAAGCAATTGATGTAGGAAATCAACGAGTCGCGGTGCTTCCAATAAGAGGAGCTATATATTCCAATAACGGCTTTTAAGGATTAACACAAAGTGGTCCGATTTACGAGGTCAAAAGTAGTCACGCCTTGGAATTTGCAAGGTGCACCCAGAATACATGATTTAACAACAACCAACCTTTTGCCAGTACTACTACTTTTTCTACTTTTCTTCTTTTATGGTTTGAGAGTTTGAACAGACTGTAGTCTTAAAGAAGTTAATTCACATTTGCAAGATTTTTGATCAAGATCCGTGTATCTTTTTGTCTTTCAGTTTTTTGGTAGATCCGCTGGAATTACGCTTCTTAAAATATGTTTGGCCCTTTTCGCAGTACGCTTGCCCGGTTTGGAGGTTTAGTTAAAAAAGATCCCTGGAGGTTGTCACACAATCGCAAATACCGTCTCCGTCAACGCCTTCGTGCTGTTGATCAAGTGGTCGATGTGCTACGATCTGCTTTGTCAAAACAAGGTCAGTCGGTACGTGCTATCGAAGACTTTGTTGCTACAAATCCAAAAGAATCCGAAATGTCGCCCAAAGACAAGTACACTGTATTCACCAGAAAAACACAAGGTGCCGGCCCTGGTGGATTTCGCAAATCTATTCACAAAGTTCCTAAATGGACCAAAATTACTCATCGCACCAATCCTGAGGGATTTTAATCATTAAATTTTTACGTTTCTTTTATTTCTTCTATTTTGCTAATGATAACTCTTCAACCTTTCTTCTCCTCTTTGTTTTGAAGTCTAGTATGCATTGTTTAATACCTCGTTTATTAATAATATACAAGTCTTTCGTTTACAGGCTTTTTAGAACAGGATCTTTTTTTTCGAATATCCTTACCTCTTATTTTTTTTCTTGGTAAAAGAGCACATATGCCGCAGATGTGACAATGGAATCGTCTCCAACGCTCCTAACGTATGCATCTATAGCACAAACATTAGTAATCTTTTAAGTTTGTACAAACTTTCATTATTCTTACCATCGTAATTTAAAAATTTACCCGTCAATGCATCCTTAGCATACGAGGTATAGTGGCTATTGATCATGTACCCATGATGATTATCAACAGCGTACAAGTCGTATGTATATGATCTTTTCTTAGCTTCTTTCTCCTTTAGGTTTCTTAAAGGACTAATATGTGCTTGCATGTCCAAGTTCATTGTAGGAAAAAGTACATAATCTTTTCTTTTCCGAAGTTTTCGCATCCGGTTTGTGCAACTAAAACGGTTCAAATGTATAATTAAATTTCTTGGTAATTTCCAAATTTCCATTTGTTTGGTAGCCGCCCGGAAATCCTTACAAGATGGACAATACCATGAATCTTCCAACGAAAGCTGTTCAGGCCGGGAAAACTCTTCAAGACAATCATCCAAAGTGATGGAACTCAAATGGTATTGCTGGCCTTCGAAAATCCACTCATTTTTTATAAATGCTTTTTTCTGACTGTCTTCCTTCCATACACACATGATAATCGTCTGGTTATTTAAAAGGACACCTTCTTCGCTTACTGGGGTATATTCATAGCTTTCAAACTCTTTCAATCTATTCCACACATCCACACCAGGTGGAACATTCTGAACACAAATTTGAAACATATCGGGAGTTACAATAATGTCAGCATACTTATGATATAGTTTGCGTACTCTTCTATATAACTCTTCTTTGGAGATATAATTCTGGGAAAAAGAAAGTTGCAGCGGATACCCGAAAGGGTCACAACGTTGAAATGATCCAGGTAATTGAGGACGACTTTTGCAGTGGACAATGGGCGTAATTATCTTCTCTTTTGTAGTTTCATACATGAACAAGCGATCATAAGAATGGATTATTTTGGAGATTTTCTCGTGTTCGTTTAAACACTTATACACCTTTCCATCATAGATATCTACTGCCTTCACCGACTCTGTGCTGTAACCAAACTGTTGCAAGCGCATTACAGCATAACACTTGGCTTCCTGCACAGTGTAGTCAGAAGGAATCTTAATGTCGAACTTTTCGGGGGAATCATGATCTGATATAGGCACAAAATTTACAGTATGTCTCCACTTGGGTAACTTTGGAAGGGGCAGAGTAAGGTACATAAAAGGATCAAAGACCACGGACTTCAAGCAGCAAGTTGAACATTGCAATGTACTTTTGTACATTCCTTGAAATAATTCAACAATGATTGAATCATTCCTTTTGGAATAGGTCTCCCAGCATTCATCTGCCACCTTTTGAACCTGCACCGGATTTTCACTGTACAAGTCCGGTCTTTCAAAATATGGTTTGTTGATAACTCTGTTCAAATCTTCATGTAAACCGTCAAGGAAAAATGCAATGAATTCTTGTGAATCATTTTGACTATAGCCGGCGAAGGATGAATTGAATTCACTAACAATATATTTTAAAGTGAAAGGAGAAAGTGAGGGTCCAGAAACCCCATTATTATTTGCTTGTTTTAAAAGGTTAGCATAAGCAAGAGCAACCTTTCCTTTCATTCCTAAAGGATTGGTGGAATTAATTTCCCCTTTATACCGATCTTGAATAAAATATTCTGAAAGCTCGTAAGTATGAAATAAGCATTGGAGAGCAGAATTCATATAGCAAGTATTTCCAATATTATTTATACCACAGTAACCCCGCTCAACCATACTCTTTGTGTCAACTGTCTGAGGTGAATCCATCAGCCATCCTTGAAATTGAGCGTTTAGAGTTTCAATAATAAGGCATCCTTTCTCCATATTCATCTCAAACATTGTCATGCAGTCGGCAAAATCATTTAAGAGAATAGTTCCCTTAAGGCTTCTGGCATAAGATATTGGTAGAAAACGGTTCGATGGTAATAATCGTTCATTATACCATATACGGTATTTTAAAGATTTTAGTATATGAAAATTGGTACGAACAAATTGAAATAGATCTTTAAGGGTATGACTTCTTGAGAAATGGAATTTATAAGGACCTTCGTAGTGCAGAGTTGGCGGAAGAAATGAGAGTTCTCTGTTTATCGAATCGGCGTAAATGAAGACCGTAGAAAAACTAATGGGGTATACATTCACGAATGGTTGCAAATTGTGTTCTGGTCCAGTGCGTATAACTTTTCGTTCAATCGCGAATCCATGGACTCCAAACCTAAATGAATTGTTAGCAAGATTAAAAAAATGAAGCGTAAACACTTCAAGTCTGGCTCAAATTATAACTGCACAGCACTACCTATTATTTGTTTGTAATTTGTGCAAAGAATGCTATGGTTATAAATAGTACAAGCATGAAAAATGAACCCTTTCAAATATACAAAGCATTTACTAGAGAAAAGTAATCTTTTGAAAGACCTTACCATTGTGCTAGCTTTTGCCAGGCAGAAGAAGATATAATCGTATAGTCAATTGATTCCTCAAGCCCAGGTAAAAGCTGGTGATTTTTATCCAGCAATTTTCTTTGCTCTATTGGTCCAGGGAGATGGCTTTTTCCACTCAAGAAGTCTTTATATGCTTCGAACCATTCGTACTCAATGAGATATGCTGAATCATCGGTTTTCCACTTATCTAGATCGCCCTCTAACGTGGAAACAAAATCTTTAACCAATGTTTCACAAAAAATATCTCTCCAATTTGCTGAATGTTGTAATTCTCCGATATGAGCAGCAGTTGAAGCCATTCTCAACCATGGCTTTTTTTTTTTTTCGTGGCTTCCAACTCTTTTATTAAATTCTAATATTTTAGTGACCTTTTATGCAAAGTATTCTGGTATTTTGAGGGTTTTGGAATGATTCAAGATTTCGTTGAAATAGTAAAGTCGCTTTCGATTTCACCAACTTCTTATAGTTGCCGCGTTGGATTTCTTTCTCGTTTTTCTTGCATAAACAACTATAATTATTAATTATTTATCTTGCAAACTAGCTTTTATTATTTCAGGGATTCATTTCTTGCTTCAGCATTCCTTGACAGAAAGAAACATCTGTGAACGTTTTAACGGCATTATTATATGAGACTCACGTTTTATTAAAAAAAGTTGAAAAAAAAACAATTTAATATTTCTTTAACTTTTGCATAGTCGAGTGGACAGGAACGGGGACTTAAAGAAAGAATTTAAAATAAAAGTTATTGTCGACACAGAATAGACTTGGATTGAATTTGACTATTGAGTTGATTTGAATTAAAGAATGGCTGCCGAACAAAGAAAAATCATTGAACAGCTTATGGGAAGTAACCTTTCCAATTTTACAAGTCGAGGCCAAGTTCACTTTACTGATCGCAAAGTATGCAGAAGTTTCTTATGTGGAATATGTCCTCATGATATTTTTACAAACACAAAAATGGATTTAGGCCCATGCCCCAAGATCCATAGTGACAAGCTGAAGTCAGACTATGAGCGAGCCAGCTACTCGCATAGTTATGGTTACGAATGGGACTATTTGGAAGATTTGGAACGACATGTAGATGAATGTAATCGAAGAATTGATATTGCTGAGGCAAGAAAGGAAAAAACCACAGAGGAAATTGAACGAACGGATGAACTGATGCGTGAAATTGCTCATACAGACCATTCCATCGAAGTTTTGATTGAGGAAATGAAAGCCTTATCGCAGAAAGGACGTGTCAACCAGACTATGAAACATTATATCGAGCTACGTCGTCTGAGAACTCATAGACAGGAGTTGCATCAAGAAGTGATATCTATGAATGAAGTCCCCAGTCAAGCTGGTACGACACATCAAAAGCTGCAAGTTTGTGATGTTTGTAGTGCATATCTGTCTCGATTGGATAATGATAGACGATTGGCAGATCATTTCTCTGGAAAGATGCATCTTGGATATGCAATGCTACGAAACCTGGCTAAGGATCTTCGTGACCAGTTAGAATTACAAACTTCTGATAAAAATGAAGAAGAAGGAGGACTGGAAGCTGAGAATCAAGAATATGGAGAACAACATTCAATGCTCACGTAACTTGATGATTCTCTCCTAGACACTGCTACATCTAATAGTATCTTCACGTTCCTACTAGTAGGGCCGTCCTAGTACCTATTATACATGATATTCTCTTGGTATACTTTATGGATAATATAGGCATGCATCTTTCCTTCGTTTTCTCCTTTAGACATACTCCGAAGTTTATTTTATTTTTCTAATATTTAGGGTTTTGATTTTTTTTAAAAAAAAGTAGAAATTTATTCATGGCAAATATGAAATAGGATCAATGATGCATTCACACCTTGTGAAAACTCCTACCAAATGTGTACACATAAAAGTTCAGAAATTTTTAGCTTTCAATTCTTTTAGTCATTAAGTTTAATTAAGGGCTGTGAGAATACAACGGTCATATATGAACGATGGAGTACGGGCCACATGGACAGTAAGACAGCATCAAAACAATTAATGGGATAAATTGCAAATTAGGAAAAAAAGGTTTAAATAGTTTTTCTTTTTCGTAAAATGTATTCGATCGACTCAGATTGATGTACTCTGGAAGACAGTTTTAACCCTAAGCATACCACAAAATCTCATCAACTTGATGAATCAAGCTTGCAAAACCACATACCATGCTCGACTTCGAACGGGGAATACTTCTATATTACAAAAAAATGTTACGGTCTCAACACGGTCACATACCTCGTATACAGGGCGAAATTCTCTTCGAAATGTACCAGTAGTTAATTACGCGGCTTTTGAGCAAGGTGATGACTTCGAGCTTCCTTCTGAGCCTTCAGGAAAGGAAGAAGAAGAGGAAAATTTCAAGGTAGATGAAGAAGGTTTCCCAATTGAACGTCCTAAAGGAAAAAGAATTGTTCCGAAATTTGCAACAAAAACAAGACATACATACTTCACAGATGAACAACTACGCTTTGCTGCTGAAGAAAGGGATGTCTATGTTCCAATACGACTAGATATTGAATTGACAAATGACTTTCGGTTGAGGGATACGTTTTTGTGGAACATGAATGAACAGGTGATGACACCGGATACGTTTGCTCAAATTCTATGTATGGATTTAGACATTCCAGCAAATTCATTTGGACCTCAAATTAGTTCAAGCATTCGGACGCAGATTGAAGAATATGCACCCGTAGCTGAAGTACCTATGCCTCAAGGGCAGGAAATGCTGGTCGTGTTTAATATTCAACTACAGCTGTCGCAGCATGCATACAATGATCAGGTTGAATGGAATTTAACAAGTAATTTGACACCAGAGGACTTTAGCACCCAAACTTGTAGTGACCTTGGACTGGCAGGTGAGTTCCGGCCCGAAATGGCACATGCAATCCATGAAAATTTACTTAAGTTGAAAAAAGATGCATGTGAAGGAGATTTACCGGATTATGATAACGATTCCGTGCCTGGAGCGATGGCTGGACCTCGTCAGGACATGGCTACAATGGGAGCCTTATGGCAACCTACGTTGGAAACAGTAAGTTTGGAAGAAGCAAAACGAAATGAAACCAACAAAGAAAATATGATTCGACAATGGAGAAGAGATGCTTCGAAGTTTGGCGGAAATGCGGCAGATGTTTCAGCGGAGCGTTGGAGAGCAGCAGCTACTGGAAGTATGGTTGCTCAGACGGCTACGACAAATCTTCCTAGCGCCTCTGTTTCTGATGCGCAGACTCTGTTGGACCAAGAGCGACCACGTTGGCGATGTAGATGGTGCAATGTTTTGGGAACAGGAACTTTTTGCGTGCGTCGTGGCCCGGAAGGAAACAAGTCGCTGTGTAATGCCTGTGGTGTTGCTTATGCTCGTACAGGACAGTTACCATACTGGAGAAAAGGATTGTATACATAGAGTTTCTATAAGGTAGATCGCTATTTCTGCTGCTATATCTCCTCCTTCTCCTCTTATTACTACTACTGCTACTGCTACTGCTACTGCTAGTCTGGTATAAGTAGATCTTCCAAAAAAGAATTTAATAGATAAAAAAGTAGAAGGATTATAGGCAAAAGAAAAGAAGCGAAAGGTGGATAACTTAATATGTGATCACCTGTTTTACTGGATGTGGATCCATGACGAATAACTTTTGTTAATTAATTATTGGTGGAATGAATGAATGAACTATTAGAGCTGCTGTATGTGGAAAAGTATATGAGATGAGATTATATACGTTATTGAATATTTCTTGAGTGTATCATTCGTTAATTTTTTGTTAAAACGTTCACATCAAAAGGTCCTTTCATTATTCCATAGCTAAAAAAGGAGTTCAATCATAATTCTTCATAAACATAACATCGTAGCGCAAAGACTTACAAAGAAAAAATTAGGCGGCAGCAATCTTTATAATTCATCGACCGAAGGAGGACTCTTTCTGTCGTTGACGGATATATTTTCAGAACGTTGATGCTTGCTCTTGATGGCAGTCTCTCGCTCTAGTTCTTCGATGGGCGTATTATCCCAATCGGAGCGAACATAAGCCTCTGAATCGGTAGTATTATCACGACTAGCATTATCTTTTGGAGAAATTGCGTCCTCTTCAGCGGGTATGCGATGAAGAGGCTGATCACTGCCTGATGTTGTGGAATTATTTGAATACCAGCGATTTGGTAAGGCACTACTTTCGAACAATGGATTTGTGCGTAAGACGTTACGACACGATTTGCTGAGAGGAAAGCTCTTGAAAGTGGTAAGACGTTGAGAAAACATGTTGTATCACAATAAATGCTAAGAAACAACCACGTAGAGGAGAAATTCACACAAACACAAAGCAAAGAATTGTATAATCTAATCCCTAGTTAGTGACTTGAAGCAAGTTCCTACAACTGAAGAGCGAAGCAAAATCTGACTACTTTTGTCAACGTTTCATTAGTTTTTTTCTTCATACCTGTGAATAAATTGAGTCCGCTAACGGGTGATTGAGTTGACTCTATCCTTGGGTTCAGTTCCTAAGTAATGGGAAAAGTTAAGGAAACAAAGCTGGAAAAGCGAGCCTTTTCTATCTGCGTAACTGGCTACGGAAGATGACACACATTGGTGAGCCTTATTTCCATAAAATGATTCACAGATAGTTTATTTGACGATTTCACTGTCTAGGGTGATTTCATACTGAGCAAAGTTGCTACTTGAATCGCGATTTAGAGTAGCTTAGTGAACTGAAACTGTTAGATGTGGCGATCCAAAAAGCAGCAAATATTCTTAAAAAAGAAATAAATATTCATCAAAAAAAAAAGAAATTCCTGTAAAATGCCTTTTGCTTTTGTCCTTCTCTGATGTCATTTCCCGTTATCATTCGAAACATTGTTGATTAACGATACGGGAAGTGTAAGACCGTAGGTTTCAGGAGAACGTAATTTGATTTTCATAGGTCATTACAATTCGCTAAAAATATATGCACTGTTGCACTGTAGCTTGGTAATTCTTTTTATGGGTTCTATCTTCCAAACCTATCAATCCCATATGAAATGGATATAGATTCTTTTTATGGAACAAAATAAACAGAAAGTTTCATCTTAGGCGACTTAAAGAATGTATTATTTTCAAGGACAACTGAGTTGGTGAAATGGTTTCCTTCAAAAAAACAAGGATCAAACGAACCTCAAATTCCTCACTGCATTGCACTAATAAACAAGGTGCTGGCATATGAAATGGAATACAATATTAGGTTGAAGACTTGAGACATTCAGGGTTTGAATTTCTTTTTTTTTTCTGTTCCTATCCTTGAAATTTGCTACTTCGGTTGTTCCTTTATGGACCACTCTTGTAAGAAAACGAAAAAGTTTCAAGATATCAAGAGAGAATACTTATTGCCAGTTAGCGTAGTTAGCGTCAAAAACCCAAAAACAGTATTTCGAAAGAATTTCATCTCCAAAATAAACAGTGAAAAGGCTTCACTGAAAGAGTTTTGTGCTGCAATATTCGATTCCCATACTCTTAGACTTATTATTGATTATCATTGACAACCACCAAAAATACACAGTAGTTCAAATCTTCTTTTTGTTAAGAATTGAAGCAAATTATTCAAGGAATTTTTCGTTTCTATAGTGAGAATGTCATGAAATTGTTGTCGATAAAAGTAATGTTTTTTATATTCAAAGAAGATACCTGCAATCTTGATTTTTCTGCAGAAATGAAATTCCACATTTTCCTATAAAATGGAAAACAATCATACGACAGTAAGAAATAGGAGTAAGGAATAGAAAATAAGTTTTGCTAAAATGCAATAGCGGGAACCCAAACGCATACATACGCTATATACAAGGTAAATATACATACTTGTAAGAATAAGGATAACTATACAAGAGTATATTGTCATAGAAGCAAAGCTAGAGTTTTAAAAGTTCTGTGGGAATACATAACCAAATTTGATAAGTGCCTGTTTGAAAGACGACTTATTACCCCAAAACTATCCATCGCATGGACATATAGATAAACGTTACAAGCGAATCGTCATACAAAAATCATTGATTAAGATCTCTCTTCCATTTCCAAGTCCTGGTCTTGGTTACGATCGCCACCCCCTTCACTATCACCAATGCTATTTCCATCTTCATCTGTGTGGGTTATACGAGTAATTACAATTACACCTTCAGCGACCATGCGATCATAAATCGATTTCAAAAGCTCCTGAAGCCCATTAGGACCAGAAATTTGATCGGATGAAATTTGCAAACGCGAACGCAAAGACTCAAACTCTGGTTTTACAATTGCATGTTGTAAAGAAGAGAAATGCTTATAAAAATCGCGATTTTGTGACAATTCATCTTTCCTAGAATCCCGTATAAGCTCTGGAGGAGCATGAGGGAACAACTTAGGAGAGATTCTTGGGTGTGTAACCACCCGATACATCTCATCATCCATTGCAAAAGGTTCAACCGGAGTCGTACTATTCTCTACAGAACCAGATAATTGTTCAAGCATGTCTAATGTTTGAGAACGAGAGTAATCTTCATTCACATCAAATGCAGGTCCCGAGGTATCCTCCATGCTTGAAGCTGTTTCGCCTTCTCTTCGTGGTTCAGTAGCAGAGTCATTAGTAGGTTGGAGTTGATTCACAGATTCATTCATTGGCGAAAATCGAGGCAGAAACCCAGGTGCTTCAGCAGTAGGCGATAACACCTCCCAGTTGAAATCCTGAAGAGAATCTTGACTAGTAGCACCAAATAGCTGTAAAAATTGGTTTGCAGACGAAGTGTCATCCATACTACGACTACGGCTGGATGCATTATTTCTAGCATTAATGCTTCTAGTAACATTGGAAGGATCAGCAATCAATTGGTTTACTAATGAAACCGTTTCTTCATCTTTTTCATCACTATATTCTTGCATCCAATAAAAATGAATTTGAGATGATGATTTAAATCTCAGAGCATATACACGACCCGTGGTACATTGATCAATTTTTATGAAATCGGCCTCATCCGGAAATATAATAAAATCCTAACCCAACAACTGTTAATAATTACCATAGACACAATTAAGCAACTTGAACCCTCCAGAGTGCACATTCTATAAAAGTTCAGTTGAAAATAATTAATACTGGAAATATCATTCCGTATCGCATTCTTCCTTACATCTTCTATATCCGTAGAGTTTCTAGATCTCTCTTTCCAATAAAAATGAAGCAATTCATCTGTCTCTAGCTGTAGGTATAGGATACTGATGGACTATTAGTATCGTACTTATAAATGACGATGCTGGCAAAACACAAAAATACACAGAACAAAGATAAATTCATCTTCAACTGCTTTTTTGTCAGTGTCCTTACCCTTTACGATGATCTGCTTGCAGGATTTTTGTACCAGGTTTGCGATTTAACTTGCCAGCTTTCATGCTGATAATTCCATATTTTCTTGTCTCTGCTTGATCATTCCTAACTCTTCCAAAAACACTTTCCATCTTTGGTTTTGATATCAAATATATTTTTTTGTCTGTCAATATTTGTTTTGTTGAGGTTTCGCAGGTGTTGGCTTTTGGGTATTCCAAAAACATTGAGCATGGAGGCATGTATTGACCACGAAAGTACATTCGTTGAACTACATTGCTAAATGTATCTAAATATATATTTCTATGGTTATATTTAACTATCTATGGTATTCTTCTTTTCGACTCTTTGATGTCTCGAGTTGGGTCCAAAAGGAACAGGTTTCAGCTATAAAAATATAGAAGCCGTTAAGTTATTAAAGGAGATTCTACTGGATTTGATGCTCTTAAACAGAAGGCGGATATTTGAATCCAACTGTTACGAAAGTGCCTTTTCATAGAGGCAAAGAAGCGATCCTAATACAGGCTTGTTGGTCAAGTCGATGAGTCAAAGACTATTGATTACTTAATAGTTAAGAGCAAATTGCTTTCAAGATACATTCTGTCTCTGGGTTTCACTCTACTTACTTTACTTCGCTTCACAATGATGCTGTTCCCATTATTAAGGCTTGCCACGGCATTAAGGAATACTCATAAAGGACTATGTGTACTCAAACTTTTCTCAGACGCATAATGAAACTTTCACTCTAACCTTTCTTACTCTGCAGCTTGTCAGACTTGAGTACAACTGTCTTTGTTTACTAATACATAAACATTAGCAGAAAGAAAGAAAGAAATTAAAATAACAGAAAAATTTCTTTTAGTACTATTTATTTTATGAATTCACGAAAATCCTTTGAAGCTTTTCTATTAGGTGTTCATTATGAAGCATTTGAATAGCATTTCGAATTATTCCCAAGTCTGGAAAGAAATGTGTTCAGCTTGAAATAGTAGTTTTACTTAAATTAATACAAGAAATTTATATCTCTGAGCGTTACTATTCCATTTGCTATAACCTTTTCTTGTATATTTCAGCTAAAACGAATAACCTGCATGTCAAAAAAATTTTTTTTTTGAAATGAAATTTATGCTTGAACAAAGCAAAGACCATTCACACGTCTATTAACTTCATAATTGATTCTTTTCATCGCTTTTGTTGACATTCCTTTCTATCCACTACCAACATGTCCTCGAGCCAGCAAAGCAACCAGGGCAGAGGAGCAACAACCCCCAAACGAGCTAATAGCTCTTCTAGGGAAGCAATGGACTCATCTCCACTGTTTTTTCCAACTTCCTCCCCCGGTTCTACTCAGCATACAACTCCTAAAACCAAAACGCGTACATCTCGTAAGTCTTTATTTTTCTGCCCGGAAACCTAACATAGCTTTAGTCGCTTCCTCTCCTTTATTATTTGAATCTAGTTCACCTGCTCCTCAGGCTCCTCATAGCTCTCGTTCTATCCCTCTTTCTCAGCATAATGATTTATTTTTAGCTGGGAGCTCACAGCGAACTCCTAAATCTTCAAGGCGTGGTGATATTCATTCTAGTATACACTTGAAAACGCCTTCCAGAAGAGAAGTTGATCCTCAGAAAATTGGAGCTGCTACTCCTAGCAGTCTGCTGTTCTCGGGTTCAGATGCTTTAACATTCAGTCAAGCCCAACCTACCAGTGAAGCCAACGATGATACCATTCGTGTCATTTGGGGAACAAATGTCTCAATTCAAGAAAGTATTGCTTCTTTTCAGGGGTTTCTGCGCGGGTTCAAGAAAAAGTACCGACCTGAATACAGAAACGATCCCATGCCTCCTCCTGATGCTGAACAAGCTGTTTATATAGAAGCTCTTAGAAATATGCGTATTATAGGTTTGGATATTCTCAATTTGGACGTGCAGGATTTGAGACATTATCCTCCTACGAAAAAGCTTTATAATCAGTTATACTCTTATCCTCAGGAAATTATTCCAATTATGGATCAGACTATTAAAGATGTAATGCTTGATTTATTAGGAACCAATCCCCCTGAAGATATATTAAATGACATTGAACTAAGGATCTACAAAATCCGACCGTTTAATTTGGAACGAACCATTAATATGCGCGATTTAAATCCTGGTGACATCGATAAATTGATATCTGTTAAGGGTTTGGTAATACGATGCACCCCTGTAATTCCTGACATGAAACAAGCTTTTTTCCGATGCTCGGTTTGCGGACACAGTGTCACAGTGGAAATCGATCGAGGTCGCATTGCGGAGCCAGTGAAATGTCCAAGAGAAATCTGTGGTGTTACAAATTCTATGCAGTTGATTCATAACCGCTCAGAATTTGCTGATAAGCAGGTCATCAAATTACAAGAGACGCCTGATGTTGTCCCAGATGGTCAGACACCACATTCTGTTAGCCTTTGCGTCTACGATGAACTCGTAGATTCTACTAAAGCCGGTGACCGTATAGAAATCACAGGTATATTTCGTTGTGTCCCCATTCGAATGAATCCTCGTCAACGAACAATAAAGTCTCTTTTTAAAACATATGTAGACGTCGTCCATATCAAAAAGCAAGATCGGAGGCGCTTAGGTACTGATCCTTCTACTTTGGAAAACGACTTAGCCGAAGACACAGCTGCACAAATTGACGACGTCCGTAGAATTACCGATGAAGAAGTTGAGAATATTAAGAAGGTCTCTGAACGACCGGATTTGTATGACTTACTCTCTCGTTCACTGGCCCCAAGTATTTATGAAATGGAAGATGTAAAGAAAGGTATATTACTACAGCTCTTTGGAGGTACAAACAAAAGTTTTCAAAAGGGTGCCAGTCCTAGATATCGAGGTGATATCAATATTTTAATGTGTGGTGACCCTTCAACTTCCAAATCTCAAATCCTTCAGTATGTTCATAAAATTGCACCTCGGGGTGTCTATACTAGCGGTAAAGGTTCTTCAGCTGTTGGTTTGACGGCTTATATTACTCGCGACCAAGATACAAAACAACTAGTCTTAGAAAGCGGTGCCTTGGTGCTTTCTGATGGCGGTATATGTTGCATTGACGAGTTTGACAAAATGTCAGATTCAACACGTTCCATTCTTCACGAGGTTATGGAGCAACAGACGGTTACCGTCGCTAAAGCAGGTATCATTACCACTCTCAATGCCAGAACGTCAATTTTGGCAAGTGCGAATCCAATAGGAAGTAAATATAGTCCTGAACTTCCGGTCACAAAAAATATTGACTTACCTCCCACATTGCTTTCAAGATTCGATTTGGTTTATTTGATTTTAGACCGAGTGGATGAATCTTTAGACAGAAAACTCGCTAATCATATTGTCTCAATGTATATGGAGGATACTCCACAGAATGCTACGGAATTTGAAGTATTATCTATCGAGTTTCTTACGAGTTATATTACCTATGCTCGCAATTGCGTACATCCGATTATCACAGAAGAAGCATCAAAAGAACTTGTTAACGCCTATGTTGATATGAGGAAACTTGGAGAAGACGTACGTGCTTCAGAAAAACGTATTACAGCTACCACTAGGCAACTGGAATCCATGATCCGTTTATCTGAAGCGCACGCCAAGATGCATCTTCGTGAAACGGTCGAGGTCGAAGATGTTCGGGAAGCTACTCGTTTAATTAAGACTGCTATAAAAGACTATGCTACCGATCCTGCTACAGGAAAAATTTCTCTTGACCTTATATACGTTAATGAAAGAGAAACACTTGTTTCTGAAGATATGGTTCGAGAACTGAGTAGTTTGGTCTCTACACTAACTGCAGGAGGCAAAACGATTATGGTTAGTCAATTATTAACTCGATTTCGCGAGCAAAGTACTACACATGTTGATGCTTCTGAGTTTGAAACCTCACTGGCAGCATTAGAAAAGAGAGGTCAATTGAAAGTGATAACGAGCGCTGGACATCGTCTAGTAAGACCGATTGCTCAAATTGAGTGATCAATTAAGCATGACATCCTTAAGCTGGTATTATGGATGAACCCCTTTTATAGAATTTACTGATATAATCACCGTACGATGTGGATTCTTATTTATATTTATTAAGAATTTGTTACAACTGAAAAAAGAACATTGGAAACTAGTATGTAATTAATTAAAATTTATTTTGTAAAAGCAGCATAGAACTATAAGTTAATTTAGATAGGATAGAAAATCATTAGGGATCTGTTCACAAGAAAAAACTTTAAACCAAAACCTGTCGACAACCAAAAGGGGACCCAAGAAAAGAGAGGAATATATACATAAATAATACAAAGGCTGGTACATGTAAAAATTCGTAGATCATCACATCCTCATAACGAATGAGGTACACAAACACGAAAAGGAAGGTCCAAAGGTACCTTTCCAAAACAAAGTAGAAGATTCAGTCTACAAATTTTCGGTAGATTCACGGTTATAGGAATTCTCAGTGATATCAAACTTATCATCATGCATGTCTTTACTAAACACCGTACTTTGTTTTCTAGAGAAAGGTTTTTGTCTTTCTCGCACATTCCATCGCAATTTATCTTCAAGAACCTTTGTCCATTGCTTATGTGGGTTTTGAATCGTGGTGAAAGGATATTGTGAAGTCACGATGGACAAGTAATCACCGGGGGTTATTTCTGTTTTGCTGTGACCATCGACAGAGAAGAAAGCAGTAGCCCGAGAATCCAAGGGAACTTCAATGTTTATAACTGAATAATCAGGAAGGATCACTGGCCGGAAAGATAGACAGTGAGGACAAATAGGAGTAATCAAAATAGCGTTTAAGTTAGGATGGACAAGAGAGCCACCGGCATTCATAGACATATTAGTCGAACCGGTTGGAGTAGAGACGATTAACCCATCAGCTTGAACGATCGTCATTAACTCTGAGTTGTTGTAAAGGTTCAGGTTACTGATGTAAGGATGCTCACCGCGTGAGACCTGAACCTCATTTAGAACATAACTGGTAGATATGTGAGAGTACTGTTTTGTTTCTGAATCATACTTGTGATACGAACATTCCAGTCGAGAAGAAAAGCGTAAAGAAACACTGCTGCTAAGCATGTGGTGAATATGCTCTTTATATTCGGTAACGGGAAAATGAGTCAAGAATCCAGGAATATCAGAGTCTGAGAAAGTCAAGACAGGAGGACAATGTTTTTGAAATAACCAAGAGGTATACAAAACAGTTGTATTATCGCCAATAGTGATGACCATATCAAACTTTGTTGGTTTCACTAGGCAAATAAAAGGCGTCCAATAACCGATTCTGTCTTCGTGCAGCTCCAAATCATGCAGGATATCGCTTGCGGAAAACCGTTTGGAGTTTGCTAATCGTTTGTCTACATACACTTTTGAGTCAGGAGAGGTTGAAGAAAGCAAGTATTTCGTAATATCTGCGGTGAAATATACCAACGAATGGTTCCTTGGTTTGGTGACAATGATAATATTTTTTGGATCCCCAGAAAATATACCATTGATAGCTTCACTGTACATAGATTTCAATCTCATAACATTTTCTATACGAGAGTAACAATCTTCGTTATTGATTTGTTGTGTGAAGCTGCGGAAGTCAGTAATGTCCAGGCTCTGCGTATTTCCACTACTAAACTCGTCCACGGGAGTATTTAATCCAGACAAGTCAAAGTTTGCAGGACTTTGCAAACCTTCATTGCTTCTCTGACGAAAATGTAAGTTTTTCATTTTAATCTTGTTCAGTTCCTCCAACGCACGATCCCCTCGAATGTCAGAAAATTCAGACATGTTCGTAAGATGTCTCGAGTTCCAAAATTAGACCTACTTTTCCAAGCCCTTAATTTATCTACAAATTCAGTAAGAATTTCACAAAAACAGCCCTCAAATTTTGTCTAAATATACGCTTTTCTTAGATATACGCTGTGTTGTTTTTACCATGTGCATACGTATGAATTTGCTCTCTCTATATAATGGGTAACATTGTAACCCGGAGCATTAAGTCGTAGTTATTATTGTTGACTTTTACTATATACGAAAGGATGTAAATATGAACGAAAAAAATACCAAGAAAAGTTTTTCATTAACATTTTTGGCATATCTTGTGATTTAAGAACAAAATTGTAAAAGAGAGCGTGAAGTGTGAAGTATTGAGGAAATTCTGAAAAACATGGATTCAATTGTAAAAAAATAAAGGTAATGAAGTCGAAACGCGTTCAGCCAGACGGTTTTATCTTTTTTTTTCTCATTTACACGTAAATCTGCTGAAAAACGGTCTAAGAAAAGGTAATTTACGTGTATTCTCTATTGACTATGCATTGGTATATGTTGTATGCTGGTTTCGTTAGTTGGAACGATTGAAGTTATTGTTTTCATATACTAAAATGCCAATTGTCATTCAATTATAAGAATTTACGCCGTAATTGCAATTTCTTGCTCAAACAGAATTTCAGCGTTGAGAGAGCTAGCTGCCATTTGGTAAAGATGAGCTCATCTTTCAATTTAAAACAAAATCAGCAAAAATACAGTCAATGGATTCACTCCAGGAGTAAAATTACCTTCAAAGCTTACAATTTCTGTCTAATTATCCTGGATCTACGGAAACTTTGACACAAGCAGAACATGGTTTAAATTTTCATTGGCTTTAATTTCTTTCTTATAAGATACTAGATTCCACTTGGACTGAAACTTTTCATTGATGGCCCTTATGACAGAAACTCTCATAAAGGCCACCAAATATTGAGTGTTGAAACAAAAATTTAAAAATTTAAAAATCTTATGGTTCACAAAATGCATCTTAATAAGTAAAAAAGAACGGGTTCTTTTTTTTTTGGCGATTTGAATCATTTTGGAGAACATAAACAAACTACTATCGCTCCTCTACTACTAAACTCTTTCTTACAATATGGATCCATTGAAAACAGAAGAAAATCATGAAACGCAATCAAAGAGTTTTAAAACAAAGCAAATACGAATGAATGAATGGAAGCATCCATCAGAGAAAGTGGATGGTCGATGGTTGCAGTTGGATGCAAGAGTTAATCGTACTGTAAGTCAGACACGAAAAAGTGTATCAGCAAAGGAGAAGCTGAGTTAAAAGTTCCTATAGTTTATCTCTATTCTCTTGAGATTCCAGAAAAAAAAGTGGCTAATTTTATTGCGATTTTTGTCGTTTGAATGAGATTGAATGAAATTACAAAGAATCACTAACAAAAATTAGGTTGAAGATCTTGAAATTTCGAACTATAACTTGCAAATAATCAATGAGGGCTTGGAAAAAAAATTAGAAGAAGCTACAACCCAATCTTCACCGGAAGAAAAGCAGGCTCCCAGTAGCCTATTGCAAACAAAAGCAGATGAAGAAAAGGTTTTGCTGCATTCTGTCAATAATGTACTAGACAATTTCATTTCAATTGTTGATGGGATGGTTCAACAAGCAAATGATGTCTTGGATGACTAGTAAAGCAGGGTAGATCTCCATTTTACCAAACAGCATAGCCTTTCCAAAATCTGAATCCCGGCTTGATTTGCTTCAGGTTGGATGCTTGAGCCCCTGTACTTAATGATACAGTGAAAAGAGACCTGTTCTTTAGCAGGCCACACATTGAGATATCTCTCACCTTAAAACACACAAGAAAACATCATGCTGAGTTTCAAAAATTATAGCATTCAAATATTGAATTTCATCTCTTGATTAGGCCATCTACTTTGAGCATTTACATATTTATTGTCAAAACAAAAGACAGAGGAAGATTTAATTGTATTTATTCTTTAAGTTAATATTTCAGAAAATATTTTTCTCATTGTATCCGGGCCTTAAGAGTGGAATTTCACCTTGTCCTTGGTGGTCCCTACTTCTCCAAAGTGTTGCCAAGTTCCTACGCGAGCCATCATCCAAAATCGGGTGTTCTTACTTCAAATCACCCAAAAAGAGGGACTTTTAGCGTTTGATGAAAAGAAATTGATTCTTAATGATTTTTGGAAAGAATTTGCGTCTTTTTCGGCCACAATGTATGGGTTTCATTCCATCGACTCGTTCATGGTTTCATAATGCCAGTGTTCAACAGAGTATTTTAGGAAGAATCAAAGACATGTTTGGAAAAGAAAAACAAAAAGGAAAAGAACAGATTCCCGAGAAAGATCTCCCTACGTTAGAGGTAGTATTTCCAAAAAAAAGAACGCGCGACTCGAAATGGAAAGGACAGCAACTTTTTGAGAAATTTGCCGGTGAAAAACTTAATAAAACTGAGAGTCTTGCTGTTATCGAGGACCTTCGTTCTTCCGAAAAATTACATGCTCCTTGGTCTCCAGAAGATCGTTTGCGTGCTGCAAAGTTAGCATATAAAAAGACTGGACACATTGTTTATGATTCTCCATTACAAGGACTTTCTAACTGGGATGATATGTATCGGTACTACGATCTTCATGTTAAATATGGAGATACCACTGTGCGAGGACGCACTACTTGGAAACCTACAGAAGAGTTGATGCATCTACCAAATGTTGTTTTGCATGTTGATAAAAATGGGTTTCCCACTGAAGATCAAACAACAGGAAAGCCAGTGAAGGCATCTGAGTCCATCTAAACAATATCCTTTTTACTTCTAACATTTTGTGTACTAGCATATTATCTTTACGCTTAATAATTTCTTCTCTCGTCTGGTTTCCTTTTTAGCCTATTTTTACTGCTTATAAAAGCTAATCCCTCATGTATCCCTCATATGTTGTTAAGTTTTCGTACTCCCATCTCCAGTGAATTCTTCTATTAATTAAAATAAAATTGATACTCGAGAAGCAAAAGTTCGCCATTGTATTATTGCTAGCAATGCTTTGAGATTTCGAGAATGAGGTAGCTCAAGGTTAATGTTTCCATTGCAAAGTAGAAGGAAGGCTCTTTTAAAATCCATGAATATAAAATAGTTTAATAAAGAGGAAGACCTCTGATGTTCTGAAATATGACAGCTCAAAGCTCCAGCTCAACTCAAAGCTCGTGTTCTACATCTTGTACAAAGTAAGGACAGAATCAAAAATAAACGTTTTCTTTTTTCTGTTTAACATAAAATTAAAAAGTTTCAATATGATTATAAAATTCATTCTTTTGCAAGGGACTTTTACCTGGAAACTAACTTGACTTCTCTACTATACTGCTTTGAATCTACCACCCACCTCACTTTCAGCGAAAGATTTAAATCTGCAGCCATGGAATACTTAAACCAAAAAGAACAAGAACAATTTTCTCAAGTATTAGAAGCAAAGCAAATTAAAGATTATACGAATGTAAGTTGTTGATGACTAGCAGAGATTACAGAATGATGGAAGCTTTCAATCGATGAAGAATTGACGGTAGAAACAGGAAAGCCATCATCTAGATATGTTTTTCTTTAAAAAAAGGGAGTTTAACTGCCAAATGATAGCGAGTGCCGCGGGATCCTAGTTGAAAGTGAAATTTCATATATACTGACCAGCATATAGATGATGTTTAACCTTAGTCAAGGATGTTTCAATGACTGTATTCTTGATTTCACCAGCAGTAAAATTGGTGAAAAGGAAAGTGCATGCTTGACTAGATGCGCAGACAAGTTTTTCAAGCATACCCAGCGTGTCGGTCAAAGATTTGCAGAGAATAATGCTAAGCTTATGCAATAAATGTATCATATCTGTCAATTGCACAGAGTCCGCTCGACTCCTGATTCCCTGTGAGTGTCTGGTGTACAGTTCATTAGTTTTGCTATCAGGACGTGATGAAAAACCTGAATGAAGTATCCAGCATTACCACAATTTCTTAGTTTTTTGATCAATTATTAGGGAAAAATGCAGAAAACAGGATTCGTATTTTTCAACTTCACTGTAATGTACAATTGTGTCACTAATCCATTCGTTTGATGGTCCTGTAGCTAAACAATCGCCAACACATTCAAGCTCGGATTTATGCGAGTCTTGCTCGTCTTTCACTTGTGACTTGTCCTTTCATTTGCTATTCAGAGTGAGTTCTGCGTAAATGTCAACACTTTTTATACGGTCTGATTCAAAAAGACGGAACACTCAAGCACGTTTCTGAATAGCTCAAGTTGTACAAGAACAGTATAAGTACGTAGGACGCATTGCTCAAGAACGAGAATGCTCTCTTTCGTAGGCTTTGCAAAGTTTAAAAAAATACAACACGGCACATGCGTGGAACACAAGAAATCGACATTTTGAATACTGAAATCTTTCATTTGCCTTTTCTTTTTATACGTAAAATCGTGTTCAGTTCCTTCAAGGTAGTGCTCGCTGTATAGCAATTGGTAGCAGCTAGTAGCTTTCGAGAAAGGAACTGGCTCTCTTCCTAAAGTCAAAAGGGATCCAATCAATTCTTCTTCTTTTATTTACTTAACATTTAACATTCGAAAACGAGCCTGCTTCATTTGTTTATGGTCTCTAATAGACGTAACATGTTACTTGTAGTTGGTGTCGGAGAGCTTTTACCTTCTGTACAGACTTCACGTAGCATCAGCACAACTCTCGTTGTTCATTCGAACAGATCTATTGGCTTTTCTCGGCATAATTAGCATCTTACTCCTCTAGTTTTTTCTGTAGCAGTCTCCATTTCCGCTAGAATGTCTGCCATGAACCAAAAATCGCTTTTGGTTGCTTTGTGCTCCTTTTTCTTGCTTTTCTCTTCGGCAATCGGTGCTTTGGTTGCGCCTATCGGAGATGTAAACAATCTTCAAGGTGTTCAACTTATGTACAGTATGTAAATGCGTTCTGGTCGCTTCTACCGTGTCATATACTAACGAATTCCTTAGCTGAGCGTGTACTAGCAACACCCGCTCCTGATTTTAAACGGGCGAAGCGTGATGATGGGCCTAAACCATCGTATTCTACTACTGAAGACAACGTTGTCATTGTTACCGACAAGTATTGGTCGTATTTTTCGGGAGCCAATAGAGAAGTCCATTATCCCTATAGTTTCTCTGAAGCACATCCTTCTACGACAGTAACAACAGCGCCTTCGGGATCAATCGGTTATGGCGCGAAGAATACAAACCGCAAATTGATGGAAGGTAGCTCATCCACTCGCATCTCCTTCCCTTACATTTCCTTTGCTTTAGTAGCTGTTGCTAGCTTATTTGCTTTGAGCATATAAAAAATCTCAAAGTGTCATTATTGTTTTGAGAGCTTTCGCCTTGTTGGCATATTTATCGATATTTTCATGATTGTGATATTTGTGTGAAATAATCTTTCTTTTCTTATTCACTGTCTTTTTATTCATTCACTTGTATGATTTTATTTCAAACAAGGAATCAATATTGACATTCATATTCTTTTTTCCTAGTTTTAATGTTCCAGAACGGTTTTCTGATGTTCTTTCTTATTTTTTTTGTTCACACTCTTTTATTAAAAGCACAGTATGCTCTTTTTTTTCTTGATGAGTGCTTAATATGAATTTTATTGTTTTATTTCTATTTCTATTTGTTATTGAAATATTTGGCTTATCGTAAAGACAAGATGAAATCCTTTTAAATATAGCTGGTTATTGCGTTTCTGTTGTCACTATTTGAACTTCAAGGAAAAGTAGTTACTAAATGTTAGTGCTTTTCTCTAACATAATTAAATAAAATTAATAAATTGGATGATGAGCGGATCCATCTAAGATAAAAGGCAAATGAGTAAACTTCATTTGGTTGTTCCATCATGTAATTTCGTCCTTCAAATCACAACAGCAGGAAAGAAAAAACAGATGCTTGGACAAAGGCGGTTCAATCATCCTTCCCTTCAATTTACACTTGTAAAACCAAGTTCAGAGCAATACCAAATACAATACTATTTGTTTACACTGCCCTATTTTGTTTTGTTTTCATTTACGTCTTTTCTACACTAAACCTTGTTATTTCATATTGTGTGCTCCTTAAAACTCATTAACCTACATAATGCGCCCAAAACGACTACCGCAAACGGGATATCTTACCATACAGCTAGCTGTAGAAAGCAAAATAAACTGGCCACACCAACAGTCTACCGGCGGGAAAGGAGAGAACATAGAGAATTGCTGAAGAAACGCATTTTCGCAATCTGAAACCATTTCAGATCAATTCCTCGAAAAATTGGTTTCGATTGGTACCCAATTTATAGGCATTTTTTTGATTCTCAGCTGACTTAGAAAAAAGTCGCCATAGCTGAGCGACGAATTTGTACTGGAAATCTATTATTTTTTAAAAGTCCTTTTGTTTTTTCTTACTTTTTCTTTAACTAATATAGAAACCCCTTTCAATTCAGTCAGTTCCCACTGGAAATCACAAGGTACTTTTGCTTTGTACTTAAAATCACTTGCTTTGCTCCATTGCTTGTGACTCAACATTTTTTATTAGCATACAGGCGAAGAGCGTATCTAAAGAACCTTTGTAATAGTTATATATTCGTTTGCGTCCTTTCCCTTGTTTTTACGCCCTGTCCTTCCTTTTTCCTGTACCCAGCGAGTATCTAGTTCTTCACAAACTTTTGTTCTTTTGTATAATGTCTTGGAAATTGACGAAAAGTATGTGATGGTTTTTTCTTGTTGAATTTGTTTTCTAATCCTTGATTTTTCAGAATTAAAAGAAACACATCTTGCCTCCGCGATCGGATTGAACTCGAGTGGCTCGATAAAAGGTTTGCGAAATAATGCGCATTCTTCAACATCTTCCCAAAAATCTAGCGAAGAAAAATCTTGCAGAAGCTCAGAAGACCAACAATCCCCTCAAAGTACCGTGGTTCAGCCAGGTTTGCTTCAAGTCACAATTATTGCAGCCAGAGACTTGCGCTTGCCTTCTGGATATACTCCAAGTAGTTATACAGCATCTTTCGGTGCTACTCCTAGTACCAATGGCTTGGGTCACTCTCGATCTCGAAGTCATGCATGGTGGCTACCTTACATCGTTGTAGAATTTGACAAAAATGAGGTTTTGGTGGATGCTCTGAATACTGCCACTCTAGAAAACCCAAGATGGGACTATCAAGCAACTTTTGATGTTTCCCGATATTCAAAATTATCTCTAAACATTTATCTTCGGTCTTCTTCGAGTCGATTGAGAAACGGGATGGGCAATGACGTGTTTTTGGGAGGAATAAAGCTTTCTCCATCTTTTATTGTTAATAAACTTACTGATGAATGGGTTCCTTTGCAGGGAGGCAGCGGAAAACTTCGTGTCCAAATGCTGTACAAACCGAACCAAAATACCCCTCTTACCATCGATGCTTTTGACCTTTTAAAAGTTGTTGGAAAAGGCTCTTTTGGAAAAGTTATGCAAGTTCGAAAGCGCGACACGTCACGTATCTATGCTTTGAAAACTATTCGAAAAGCACATATTGTTTCAAGGAGTGAAGTTGACCATACTTTGGCTGAAAGAACTGTGCTGGCACAGGTCAATAATCCTTTTATTGTTCCGCTTAAATTCTCTTTCCAATCCCCTGAAAAGTTGTATATTGTTTTGGCATTCGTAAATGGTGGTGAGCTATTCCATCATCTACAACGTGAAGGTTGCTTTGGCACTTACCGAGCAAAGTTTTACACGGCAGAATTGCTGATAGCTCTTGAGTGCCTTCATGAATTCAACGTCATTTATCGTGATTTAAAACCAGAAAACATCCTTTTAGACTACACAGGTCATATTGCTCTATGTGATTTTGGTTTATGCAAATTAAATATGGCCAAAACAGACCGCACAAACAGTAAGTTTTATTCTTAGCTTTTTGATTCTGCATACATTCTCTAACGTAAATTTAGCTTTTTGTGGCACCCCAGAATACCTTGCGCCGGAATTGCTTTTGGGTCACGGTTATACAAAAGTAGTTGACTGGTGGACTTTGGGTGTGTTACTTTATGAAATGATTACTGGACTTCCTCCGTTTTATGATGAAAATCTAAATGAAATGTATAGAAAAATATTACAAGATACGTTACGCTTCCCTGATAATATTGATAAAGACGGCCGTAACTTGCTATGCGGCTTATTGACTCGCTCGCCGGAAAAACGACTAGGTAGTCGCGGTGCCCAAGAGATAAAAAACCATCCTTTTTTTGCGGATATTGATTGGAAAAAGCTTTGCGCCAAAAAGATCCAGCCGCCGTTTAAACCAAGTGTCGACTCTGCTATCGATACGAGTAACTTTGACTCCGAGTTTACTTCAGAAATCCCAATGGATAGTGTTGTCGCGGATTCACATCTGTCGGAAACAGTCCAACAACAGTTTGCAGATTGGAGCTATCAACGCCCTACAACGATAGATGCATCTGATGACATTTCAACAATTGGTCCTGGAAGCATAACTCGGTAGTGACTCGTATATGCTGTACCTGTTCTTTTTTTTGATAAGTATTCCACTCTTTATTGTTTTTATATCATCTAACTATCGAAAACATAGCTGTCGCTTCAGCAATCATTCGTCTCAGCACAGCTATTTTTCTTTCTTAACAACTTAGAATCATTTGTATTTAAAGATTATGAAATCTGTACCTTGCAATTACATGGTATTTTTTTTTTATATAAGGAAGAAACCTTAAAGTAGCATTGATCTTACACAAACGTCGCTTAGAAAGATAATCGTGCATGAAATCTATATGCATTGTGAAAGTGAATTATTTAACAGACCGTAGAAGAATATAGAACTAAATATACATGGGAAGTTTTTGCATCCAAAAGAAGTTTAACAAGTGATTAGTTGCTCAAAAGAACGAACAGAAAATTAGAACATTAGAGAAGGGGAATGTGTTCGAGTTAAGGTGCAGTGATCCAATTAAACCGTTTAAAAAAATCGTATAATTGTTCTACCTTTGTGTGATCGACGTGCTTTAATAGTTGAATAGCATCGTCTTTAGAGAAAGGTTTTTTTGAAATAAGGGAAGCAGAAATTAAAGCGTATTTTAAAGCCAAAAAGGGTTTTGGGAAAATTTGCAATTGCAGACATAATGAATGCTCCTCGTCGGAGAGAAGATGACGGTCAGCAGAAGTAGGAAATGAGGGAACAGGAATAGGTTGTTTGGCAAACTTTTGAATATCCCGAATCCGAAATGGAATTGGTGGGTCTATAGAAGTTATAGGTTTATTTTGGCGTATTAAACCACTAGTCGCCCTGCTAATCAACATCTATGAAAAAGTTAGTCAATATAATGGTTGTCAAATAAAAGAAATCTTACCTTTTGCGTTTTATCGCGTTGGTAACGAAGTCCTTGCTCAAGGGTAGTAAGTCCAACCTGCCTCCATTCCTGTAATTCTTGTATGCGTTTTACAAGAGCAACTTGTTCAAATAAGCCCTGTAAAAACGTTCGATAATCCTCTCCTGAAAGTACTCGAGCAAAAACTTTTGTTTTATTTAGTAGCAGACGTTCTTCTTTAGAGAGACGCTTTTCATTAGCTTGCAACCTCCGGTAATCTAATAAGTTATGAGTGAAGATGACTTGTTTCCTGATTGCACGACTTGTTAGACGAGAATTATAAATATTCATCATAGTAAGCTTTATATGTTCTTCTTGTTGTTTGGATTCTGACGCATCTTCCTCAAAGTTCATATCTTTGACAGAGACTTCGGCTTCATTCATGTACTCTTGATCAAATTCCAAGCGACCAGGCATGTATCCTTGAATTTCATGGCACTGTGGGGTTGATGCTAACGGTTTTGGGGGAATCGCTGGAGGAGGTTCGAATTTTTGTATGCGAGCCCGCTTTTGTTCAGCAAAGGCTATTCTGTCTATGGATCCATTAAACTCACTGTTGGAAAGGGGATAGTTTTCTGTTTCAACATATGTGTTTATATAATGATCCCTACAATTTTCCTTCGTACGGCCGTTTCCTACATATTCGGCGATATCTGACCAGTTCCCCAAACCCAACGTCTCACATGCATCAATCAGCAAAAGCTCTTCATCTGCACCCCAGTCTTCTGTAAAGATAGGATAGGAATTCGTCTCTATAATACGATATGGATGACTTGGCTGGTGGTTGCCGAAGGAAGCTCCAGAAGTGTAGCAGGGAATGCACAAATCAAAATCGGCACATTCCGCGCATCTAATGTGAATCATCCTTGTTATATCTTGTGCACATACATTACAATGATACTTTTGAGGCGGCATCCTGCAGGGGAGCGAAAATTTTCTGTTCCACTATGGTGGAGCAAAATCCCGTGGTACGGTCAGGTTGGGTAGGAGAGATGAAAACCAAATAAACTCGATAAATTGTAAGAACCCTACTAGGAAAAGTAGATAGAATTACTCAAAAAGAGCTGCCGAATTTTTTGAAAAAAATCATGGTGGAAAACCAGAAATTCCGATATCGGGAATTGTCAACACCACAAGGCAATCCTGATCAGACTTCGTCTTTAAAAACGGCCAAAAACAAGTGATCCCTAACTCTATCGTTTTTTCATGAAAGGCACCAATCTTCAGACGATATTTTGAGGTTTACCAGAAATCTCAAACCAAGGTTGAGGAGCCCTTCAACTTAAAATGAGTCCGTAGTTTGCTTACGCTTCCAGTTCGCATAGAAGAATTCTTGATTTTTTAGTTTTTCATTTACCGTATAGAACTGAAAAAAAAAAAAAAAAAAAAAAAAGAAATGCTAAAAGAAAATATTTCCAAACCATACTTTTACGACGATACAAACCTCTATAGGAAGATATTTACTGAATTAAAGCACGTTGCCGTTCGTTAATGAGTTTCTCCGTGGGCTAGCGTAACATAACCCTACCCTATGTGGAATGGTCAGTAACAGCAGTCACGTACTACAAACACGAAAAATCACAGAAACGAAATCATCACAGGAACAGAAATGGTAAGGAACAGCATGCTCGATTTCTTAGAACGTTGAAGTGCTAACTATTAAATAGGGTCGTGTACGTACCAAAACTACGAAGAGAGCTTCTCGCGTAGTGATCGAGAAATACTATCCTCGTCTCACGTTGGACTTCCAAACCAACAAGAGAATTGTCGATGAGGTCGCTATTATTGCTTCCAAGCGTCTTCGCAACAAGATTGCTGGTTACACGACTCACCTTATGAGACGTATTCAACGTGGACCTGTCCGTGGTATCTCCTTCAAGCTTCAAGAAGAAGAACGCGAACGCAAGGATCAATACGTTCCCGAAGTCTCTGAGCTTGAAAAGGAGAAGCTTAACGTTGACCAAGACACTAAGGACATGCTTAAGGCTCTTGGCTACGACTCTATTCCCACTCTTGTCGTCAACCCCTCTGCTCGTCCTGAGCGCACTTTCCGCTACAAGCACTAGAGGTTTTCTTAGATGTTACAAATCAAATTTGTTTTTGAATGTAATCATTGATTTTCAAGTGTTTTTGATTTGTATTTTTAAAAAGTCTGTAAAAAAGTTGTACCTTTGTATGCTATAGAAAGTTTTTTGTAAGCATTAAAAACATTTGTATGCAGTAGCCGTTTTGTTGCTGCTGGATGTGTATATAATTGTATGTAGTAGTCGATACTAATCCATGGTAATTATGAAATTCAAACATGCAGCGATATTATTGTCTAGAGCTTATTCAACGTCTATTGACAACCCTTCTAGAGAATTATGAGCAATGAAATCTTCTGTTTTTAAAGGCCGCAGTCCCCCGTTGTCAATTTCTGTTTTGATTCTATCTAAGTCATTTCCAAAAGTAGCAAACAGTTCCCGTCGAGGAACAGACAAAGCGGAACGGCATGCTTCTTTGATGTAAGAGCCCGACAGGCCTGCCGTAGAAGCAACAACAGCATTCCAGTCAAAGTTTTCATCCAACTTTACACTTTTGAGATATAAGTCCAAGATCTTTCTTCGCTGACTAGCTGTGGGTAATGGGATGGAGTAAACCTTTGGCATTCGACGACGAATCGCTTCATCAATGTCTCCAGGGCGGTTCGTAGCACCTAGCACCAGGACTCTAGTATCACCTGTTAAAAGACCATCCCACATGGACATAAACTCAGCCTTAATTTGAGCCATGGCTTCATGGTCGGTACGCTGTCGTTGCCGTAAAAAGGAATCAATTTCGTCGATGAAGATTATAGAGGGTTCTAACTTTCTAGCAAGTGAAAATAATGCATCCACAAGCTTATTCGACTCTCCAAACCATTTGTCGGTTAGAAGGCCTACACTCACGTTGATGAATGTAGCATTGCTTTGTTTTGCCAAGGCCTTTGCCAACATGGTTTTACCACAGCCTGGTGGTCCGTACAATAGGAGACCCTTGGGAGACGATAAAAGGTCGCCATGTGTATTAAAAACTTCTGGATATTTTAGTGGAAACAGTACGTCTTGGAAAAGATGATTCACATGCTCGTCCATCCCAGCAATGTCGTCAAAAGCTACATTAATTTCACTCGGCAAGACTAGCTGAGACGCCACCATTTGTTCGTACTCATCCAATTCAACTGTCTCAATTTCTCGGACATGTTCTTCTGCCCAGTTATCCAATTTCTTGCGACTCTTTGAAACAGTGTCTTGTCGTTTTTGTCGGTAAGGATCTAACGAAGAAAGAAGCTTACGAGCTGCATACCAAGAACAGCCGAAAGCCAAAGCATAAACAGCGATTTCTTTGATCGCGCTTTTCGTACTGGGGTTCATAGGAACTTCTGGAGTTAAAATTGTTCTATTATATTCAGAACAGGATATTATAAACGCAGAGTGATGAATTAAAAACCCTCTTTAAGATGGAATCCAAAGAAATGACACAGAAATATGTAAATAAATAAGCTCAATCTTCTTGTTTTTTCTCTTCTCTTTTTAAACAAATAAAAATACGCTAAATTGAAAAAAATGAATTGTGTTGAAATCCAGCTCTCTTTGGTTCATCAAAATGCTAACCGACACTCTTCACTCTGTTCGCTAGCACTAAGTTTATTTGAAGAGCTGTGGGGTTTGAAGACGAGTTTGAAATAACGTATGTAGAACATAAACACATAAACAGAAGCTTGACTTCCTTTGTGAATCAATAATACAGAGTATCTGAAAAGAAAAGTGTACTAGTATGGAAGGTAGTAAAATTAATAATTCTTATTGTTTCTAGAAGATTGGATTTCGTTTATGGATCTACTTGCTTTAATTCGTATGTTGAAAAGGTTTCATGAACTTTTGGTCTCGTTTCTGCAACGATCGTAATTTGAAGATGTACTTTCTAGTAAAACCAAATTCATTATGTCTATAAAAATAAGCATGAACAATAAATGATGGATTCGTTCCTTTGGATAATTGAACAACGAGAATATTCCATAACGCTTTAAAGTGGAACTTTCTGAGAGGAACGAAAAAAAGAAAAAAGATAAAAATAATACACGTCTGTTCAAATGCAAAATTCATCTCATTCATGGCAAATGTCATCTTCGAGCTTCAAGGACAAACCGATTTTGTCATTTGATCAAACAAACAAATAAACGTACAAATAGAAGCCGCCGTATCTACTTAGAGCCAGAGATGGACGAAGATGGAGTGTCCCCTTCACTGGCAATGCCTTCTTCAGAATCGGAATCAGCATTATTGGATGGGTGAAGAACAGCTCGAAATTGTTGGATATCTTGAACGATCTTTTCAAAATTCTCTCTTCTGTGATTCCATTGCAGCTCGTAATCTTTATTTTCCTTCTCTAATTCCTGAATAGCACTTTCTAATTTTGCAATGGATCTATTATCAATGGTTAATGGATATCGTAATTGGAAAGCAACGTAATTTGGCACATACTCTAATTGTTCATTCCTCGAACGTAATCCTCTTGCCATAATAGGCTTTGCAAGATCATCATATTCTTCTTGTTTTTTCTGTTCCTGCTGCGCAAGAAGTAAATCTTGCTCCAAGTGTGAAATTCCTTCATTCTCTTGCTCATAATGTTGCTCTTTACCTCCGTTAGATAAATCTCAGAAGAAATAAGATTATTACGTACGGGTTTGTTTCAATTCATCCTGATAGAGATTGACTTCTTTGTTGTGAGTGTCCAATTGCATTTGTAGACGAAGCCAAAAGGCAGACATGGCAGCAAACTCTACGTCCAAATTTTTTAGACTTGCTTCATCAGACATCTCGTTTGTGAAACCCAAGCAGCGGTTGATCAGGCGCCGTAAAGGCCTTTCTTCAACATTTAAACGCGAACGAATTGCAGCTTCTGCTCTTGTTAACCATGAATTCGTATGAAAAGATAAGTTTTACCCTCCATTTCAAAAATAAACTAGTAAATTTAATAAATTGAAAGATGCAAACGAAAAAGAACGTCCAAACTTTGGAGTCGGTGACTATTTTCGGTGAAGTAGAGACTCCACCGAAGTATATCTAGGAAAAGCAAAAGCAAAGTCTAACGTTTCGCTAGAAACGCCTTTTTTTTGCTTAATAATGTATTTACCATTATTCCAACAAACACCTGTGAACGTATTTGTCTTTGAAAATGTTGAGAATGCAGAGAAAATGCGTCAAGAACTCATTGGCAAAAATCCTGTATATGATTATGCCTTCATTGACGCTTCTAGTGTATGTTCGAAGATTCACACGAAGGAAAAAGATCCGATGAATGATTCAATTCCTAATGTTTTCAGCGGAAACTAACTTTCGGTGAACGCAGATTGTATCCGTAAAGCAGATTTATAGTGCTATTATGCGTGCTTTGCAAGCTCAATTGGATGGACAAATGAAATCAAAGACATTACATACAGAAGTCATTTTATCACTGAGTCCTAAAACAGAGGTTTGTTCTTACGATATATCGTTCACTTCATACAACTCGGCTGACACAACGAACAATAGATTTCCAGCGCTTTACGTCAATTTGGCATGAGTGTAAAGTCCACAAAGGTCTTGGTTGTGAAGATCAACGGCACCCTTTCAGAGGTATGGCAAAAATGTTCATATCAAATCGAATAGGTCAGGCTGAGAGCCATTCTATTCTGGAAGACTCATAGTAGGATTCTAACTTCATCAATTTTAGGCTGAAGAAGAGGCACACGTAGACGAAATTGTTCAAGGCGCTCGTCTTTCTTTTAGTGATGAAACATTTCAAAAACTAGCTGACATGAAGGTGATAAAAAAGGTGAGTCAGTGAACCTTTTTGTTTGGAATCTTTCTAATTTATGGTTTAGAACTACAAGCTCGACGCCGCTGCTATGCAGCAACCCTTAGGTGCCATCTTGTCTGCTATTGCTTTACGAGGTTACTCTTAGTTTTGTACTTGAAGCTTTACCTATAGAAAGGTGGATTGCAATTTAAAATGACCTCTAAAACGGAAACCTTTATACTTTTATTTAACTATATCTTGTGTGATTTGTACCTGCGCTGACTGTTCTTTCCTCAGTAAAGCTTTTGCGCGCAAAATTTGGGAGTGTTCGTTAGGAGACAGAAGATTGGAACTAAATGGGAAAAACAAAAAGAAAAAAGAAAGGATAGCAAGAAGGTTTAGCTGTCTATGCATAATTTGTTTGACAGTTTCTTTACTTTATGTTATTTTATACAATAACCACCTTCAATTTTTTTTTCTTCTTGTAAATTAGAATTTTCTTAATGAAATCTATCTAAACTATTGTTTGTAAAGAGAAAAAGTGAGTGCTGGTTATCTGAAATTTTTCCAAACACATTTTCCTTCACCTCTACCAAACACTCGTTTATGTTTTCAAAATCTTAGTTTAGTGGGATTTCGGCTCATTTTTACATTTATTTTTGATTGTTATTTCTCCATGAAATATCAAAGTGGTTGGCTGTGATCCTTTACTCTTTGATAGTAAAAATCTGCTTTGTTATTGAGTGATTAGTCGCGCGTATGCTGAACCTCATAGAGACTTGAGAGGTTAAAGCATCGTCAATATTTTTCGCCTGTTTTAATCGCTTGCAAAAGGTTGAATTTTATTGAAATTGCGTCGCAGTGCGCATCACCGTGTAGGTGAAGTGCAGAAAAAAATATAGCATAGTAACTTTGCTATACCTCATACGCTCTCTTTTCACTCGTTTTGTTCGTTTGTCAAATATTTGAAAGTCATTTATTATATGTGAGAATCGTTTGCTATTCTAGTCAATGACTGAAAGCGAAAAGAAAGATCCTTACTCGGTTATCGGGCGAGATTACCTCTATCCAGTGGGTCATGAACTGTTTCTCGGATTCCATGCGCGAGTAATTGAGAAAGCTGAAGAACAATATGAGGACAATGAACATGTAGATGATTCAGAAATTATAAACGGAGATGCTGATTCTATTAAATCTGAAGTTGAGGATCCGGATGATTCAAACACAATACAAGCTGTTTGTGATGCTATCGCTCTTTATGATTTTGAACCTTTGCATGAAAATGAGCTTGGTGTCTTCGAGGGTCAAACGTTATGGATTCTTTCGGAAGCTAGTCATGGCTGGCTAGTCGCTTATGATGAGCTTTCTGGAAAAAGCGGCCTAGTTCCTGAGTCTTACGTTACTTTGATCCAATAATTTGTCTACTTTTTTTTTGTTGTTGTTCACTTATGGATGTCTATGTATATTAGTTACTTAATGCACTAATCTGGAAAATATATGTTTGTGCTATCCCGTTCGTCTTTTTCCTCTAAAGCAAGTCACTCTTTTTCGGCCGTTTTAACGATTCGTATTTGTCGCTCTTTTTTGGTTTATCCGCGGCATCTTGTCATTTCTGTTGTTATCAATAATATTAATAGATTGTTTGGAAAAATGATGGATATTTGCATCAGTCAATCAAACACGAGAAAAAGCAAGTTTATGTTTTGTTGCTTGTTTTGTTGCAACCTTCTAATAGCTTTACATCTCCTAATCTCAAGGAGAAGGGTTAGAATGTACCGTGTTTTACGGGAGTTCTTTTCCTGTAGAGTTACAATGGTTGCTAGAATAACCGTAAGTCATAGTACATATCAAGGCTGAATTACCCTTGGTGTGTCTCCATTTGAGAACGGACATAAAAAATTCTGAAAGTGTTTTGAAACCGTAGATGGTTGGATTGTATTTTGGGTCCCGCCATAAGAGTAGTAAAACTATAATTGATACATGTGAATCATACAGTAATAAAGTGGGAAATTAGCCTTATGGCTATGAGCGTTAACTAACCAATAAAATCATAATTTACTCGTGAACGTTTAGGAGAGATCAGATCTACAAAGGCTGAACGCTTTCTTGGTGTAGACGGAGTGGACCTTGCTGAGCGTTCTGCTGCCGCTTTGTCAATCCAAGAAAGATCCTTAAGTTGATGGGATCGGTCTTGCACAATAGAAGTTAAGGATCCCGCAGAAGAACGAGTTTCAGAGGTGAGTAAGTGATATGTGAGTGGGAACCAAATCAACTTTGACAATGCTTCTGGCGGCTCTAGTCGGAGTGACCAGGTCCAGTCAAGCTGGATGTCTTTGGTTACTTTGGCGTTGCACGTTAAAGAAAGAGATTCATCATTTTTTGTTTCTTCTAGTTTAATGGTGCTTTCTGACGAAACGTTCATAAGCATCTCGCCGAGTAGTTCAACCAATGTATCGAAAGTTTCAAAAGGATCAATTGGACATCGTTCTTTCTGGAATTGTTAGTTGCATGTCTTAGGCAAAAATTGAGGGTTGGTATGGCAATCCGTTTACTAAAGAAACACAGGTTCAAAAAAAAAAAAAGAAAAAAAGTAACTTACCTCTGCTTGGTCGATCATCTGGTCCTTTGTATAAGAGCATGTCCAAACCCTTGTTAGATCAGTAACAGAAATTTTCATAACATAATCTGAACCTTCAGGATCAAAACTAGCCTGAATGAAATGATATTTATGGCCTCGTAATTGAGTCCACGTAGACATTAAAGGCAATATAATAACAGGACAAATAAGAAAGAAAAAAAGAAAAAAACAACAGCCTATTCAGGACCTGATTTGAAATCAATCAATCTTTGGATCCTCTAATGATTTATTACGTTAACGCACAAGAGTTAACTTTTTAAAGATGTATTCAAATTTAATCATAGGTTCCTTTGAAAATTTTAATATGCGACCAAAAATAAGAAAAAAACAGAATATTTGAACGCCAATGCTTTATATCGTCCCAGGATAGTGGCCATTCTAGGAATACGTGAAACCAAAGGTAGTGTAAACAATGGCTTGAAGGGAAAGAGAAGATTTGAAAGAGACACTAGAGGGTTTCAAGTGATGAAAACAATGAAAGATGAAGAAAATGAGTTGCCGTGGTAGCATAAGATTGAATGAAATCATCAAAATAGAAAATTACAGGTACTGTTCTTTTCGTTTCAATTGGTGCTTTGCATTTTGCTACTTAGCTAGCTACTTTAGTTATGTAAACAAACTGAGGAACGATGTTGTTTCATTGAGTTAAGAGAAGCATATGGAGGAAGATAAAAAAAAAGTAAAAACAGTAATAATCAAGTCATAATGCTGAAATATTTCGAGGTTGAAAGGTCCTCTGCGTAGTGTTTACATGTTCATTTACGTCTTCAACTATTGTTTACAGATGTACACAAATGTTTGACTTTTTTATGGCTACCGAAATGTTTTGTTTAAATGTTGGAACGTTCTTTTTCTCATATTTAACGTATTCTTACTGCGTTTGTTTCATGATTTACTGAGCTTAAGCTAAGCACTTTCTTCTGCAAGGCAACGTAAACAATACTAAAATTGGAGCGGGTTTTCTTGTAAAGATGTAGAAAGCGAAGCAGTCTCAAAGGCTTGTGATTTTTTTTTAAATAAACAAATAAATACAGCAGCATTACAGCAATCTAAAAAGAACAGTAAAAAATAGAAGCAAAAAGGAAAAAAAGAAAAAACTATGACCCCGCCAGGAGTCGAACCTGGAATCTCCTGATCCGTAGTCAGGCGCCTTAACCATTGGGCCACGAGGCCTCTTGTTAGTATACTTGAAATGCTATGCAACCTGAAGCAGTTGTGGAGAAGAGGTAAGAAGTTCCAGAATAAGCAGGTTTTATGAAAGGTTTATAATGTCATTAATGAACATCGCTTTCAATTGAAAGCACAAGGATTCTTCTGTGAATTGAAATGAATTGAAATAACTATGGGCACGTATACGGACCCATTCTTCCAATTTTGGTAAACTAGTGACAAGCTGCTTCAACAAATGAACTTGATCAGATAATCTTCCTACTAAATTCTTTCGCGATCATCTTGTCTTTATTATGAAGGGCAAATTTATTATTATATATAAGTACGATATAATCTTGTGTTTCAATAGCGATGCTACTTTTCCATACCCACAATACGTACAGAGAAGTACACGAATGGTAGGATGCTATGAGGTAACAATGTTGTTTGACTAGTCATAAGAATATCGAAAGTATAATTATGTTAATTGCTATATTACAGTCTTTAATTTATGAAACAAATAATGACATCTTTTAATGCAGAAATAGCTCTAAAAGGGTTCAATTCCTACTGTGCTCTTTTTCTCGTATTTTTGTTCTTAATTTGCTGTTTCTACAACCTTCTAGTCTGTATTTTGCATATCTTGTGCTTCAATTGGACGCGGTAACAAAATTTGTTAATCTTTTGGCTAATTGCAATACTGTCTTTATTGTCCTTCTTCATAAGACTGAGACGAAAACACAGTTGCCAAATTCACTCTTCAATTTACAGTTGTGGCCCATTTCATCAGGTTTTCGTCGCTTTTAAGATTTGGGTATCGTTTTTTGTAAAGCCTTAGCATTTCTTGGAAAAGGTTAGGTTTCTTTATTTTTAATTCTTTTCATCTTTTGTTGTACTCTCTTTACTTTTGCCTTGGCCTTGCCTTTTTCTTGATTGTCGTTTCTAAAGACAATATGGTTGTACCGTCGCTTTTGAGCCATGTAGAGGAGATCAATGACCCTATGGAGATTGATTCCATCATTGATTCTATCAATAAAGATCGGTCTGAAAATAAATGGGCTTCGTCTCGTTCCCCATCACTATCACAAGTCTTACCCAAATTAGATTCAATATCGTTTGCTTCTCCCAAAGTACAAGAGATCCTACGACCTCAAGGTTTATTCGTAGTGGATACAAATTTCCTTTTGTCACATCTTGTTCTCTGTCAAAATCTCTTAGAAGTACTTTCCACGCGGTTTCCTAACATCGTAATACTACTTCCTTGGGTGGTGCTTCAAGAGCTGGACGGTTTGAAATCAGAAACTTCAGCAGCTTGTGGGTACTTGGCCAGACAAGCTCACGATTTTCTGCTGCAATGCTTTCGAGCCAGCCTTCCTAACCTACGTGGTCAAAAAATTCACGAAAGATGCTCTCCAAATGAGTCGGGAGATAATGCAGTATTAGATTGCTGTCTGTATTTTCAAGATGAAAAACTCATCCCTGTCAATCTTTTGTCGGATGATAAAAACCTATGCATTAAAGCTGCCGTTCATCATGTTTCATCACAAAATTACTCCAAATCCATAAATGCGATATCTCTAATCTGTAATGCTTTCCCCACCATAGATGCGTCGGTTCCATCCGCCATGTTGGAGCATCCAACTATGGAAATCGACGCTTCTCTCGCCGCTTCAACGCAGCAAAAAAGTCTTTCGTTTACTGAAAACATTCAACCAAGCTTAGCTATTGACATGCCCATGGATGCATCTCGCGACAGGTCCACTTGGGGGTCTCGGTATGCGCACTTTCCGGCTGAACAAAACCAAAGTACACGACCAACATCCCCTTCTCAATACGTTCCATATACTTATACATTGCTGACAAAGGAACAAATTTTACAAGCCGCTCATCCCCGAGCTACTAAATTAATTGACCAAATTACAAAACTTCTAGTGGAAGAAACAGCGTTTTTATTGACAAGGATTTTGACCAAACTATGGGACGATTATCGTCTGGCTATGAAAAAGTTACTAGCTTCTCCCAGTTTCCCACCAGAAAATATTCATGACGTCGTAAATGAACTCTATATCCACTGGTACACTTGCTTCGACGGGTACCTGCCATCAAGTGAGCGAAAATTCCTAAAAGCGAAAGCAACCATGTGGGACGAGTGGTTCATGTGGGCAGAAACTGGTTTGGGGAAAGGACCTAGATGTCAAGAAGAGTTGACTGAAGCCATTTTTTACTGGACAAATATCTGGTCGATCCTGAGTCGCAAGGAAATCTTGGAAGATAAAGCTTCCGAATATGTTGTTTTTAGAGAAGAAAATATAGAAAAATGGATTCAACGATCTATGCGACCCGCAATTTTATCGTGAGGATGAAAGTTTACTAAAACTTAAGCATTTGAATTTTTTTTTTGCTCCTCAATCATACTTCTTACAGCACCCATTACCATTGTAAAAGCGGATTGGATTTCTGGATCATTTGGAAACTCTCCTTGAAGTATAACGCTGCAGAACGCTTGGATCTGATAACGTTTTGACAGAATTCTCGACATTCTTCTTGACAAGTCGTCGATAGATCCCACTCCTACTAAATCGGTGGTAGCCGTGTCCTTGCCGACGGGAACGGCAAGTGTTAGATTTCCAGATGGACAAGATCCACTGTTGCTTGCCCAAACGTAAATTGAGGATGAAGGAAGCATTTCCACAAGCTGAATCCAGGTATGAGGAGCTCCGTGAATGTTTGTTTCAATCACTTTTCGACTTACTTGAAACATTTTTGATAGTTACCAATTGGCTTATTCTTCTTGCTAAAGTGAATTTTGGTTACACGTCCAATGGACCCTTTGTATTTTCACCTGTTTTGACTTTCGTTAATCGTTCCTTAAACCAATGTAATAATTTCCTTTTTTAAAATAAAAATAGTGTATTTCTCAGCACGAATCACTTTCCCAGTTTCGTATCTTTAACCAAAGTACACCCAATATGGAGTAGGTTTGGTAAAGGAATACACTTAACGAATTTTAACATATCGGTTAATTTAAATTACCGATAAATAAAAAAGCATCACTAAAAGAGATACAGTAAAGCACTTGGAAATGCTAAATGTCCTTTGTTTACATCTTCTACCAAGTGTCAGTTTCCTTCTACCAACAACGTTTATTGAAAAAGACAAATCGTTGCCTTTTATGGTGAGGAAGATGGAATCTTTAAATATGATGAAACTCATTTTTTGGGTTTCTCTTTTTTCTATTGTTTTTGGACACGGAATCCATTTACAACCCCATCAAAAGGGTATGGTGGTACATTTAATGGCTGTTTAGTCCAGTCGTGCTAACTTTTTAAGAATGCTTTTATGAAACTTTAAGGACAAATGATAAAATGTCGGTTACATTTCAAACCAACCTTGGTGGTGATCAGCTTGTTTCCTTAAGTGTCTATAATCCTCTTAATCAACTTATGCAAAAAGAAGAACCTAGTTCTATGTCACAGTATTCGTTTACTGTTAAGAACCCAGGAAAGTATACATATTGCTTTGAAAACGTAAGTAATGAATGAACAACTTTGACGAAAAAAAAAAGTGGCATGGATATAAAAAGGCGTCTTTTCTTTTTTCGGGAGTTTTGAAGTCATTTATGGCACTATGAACTAACTCTTGATTTAAGGATGCTTTTGATAATGAAGCTAAAGAAGTTTTATTTAATGTTCATGGTATCATTTATGTTTCTGATGAGGATTTAGAAGCGAACAATCCTTTGATTGGAAAAGTACGCAAGCTTCAAGATACTATTTCCCAAGTAAAGTTTGAACAAGAATATATCCTTGCTCGTGAACGTGTTCACCGTAACACCGCCGAAAGTACTAATGACCGTGTTAAATGGTGGAGTATTCTTCAAACTGTTATTTTACTGTCTGTTTGTGGTTTCCAAATTATCTACTTGAAACGTCTTTTTGAAGTGAAACGTGTTGTATAAGCTCTGATTTTTACTTACGCACTAATGCAAGCTCGTCTGTTGTGTCTAAAAATCAAGCAAAAAAATACATTTCTTGAGAAAAGGATTATCTATTCCATCTTTACGAAAAGAAACTGAAATATTGTGGGAGGAACAGTATGAGAACGCTGGCTAAAGGAAATGCCGAATTTCTCCTTCACATGGTTGTATAGGCGTTGATAATTATGTTCATCCTATTAGCATCTTGTGTTCATTTTTATTCTTCTTTCTTCTAATTATGAAACTTTTGATGTGAGTAATACATATATCATTTTTTTTTCAATCTCATTTGCTTTATTCTCTCACCTCATTCTACGAAACGCTAGCAACACATATGGAGCAGTATTGCAGTTTTCTTATAATACATCCCGAAATTCGGTTCTTGGTTTTTTTTTTTTAATTTGTTATGTGATTTGAACCATGTCTATTGACACTCAAACTGAATATCAAACAAGTTGTCCTTATCGAGGATAAAGACTGACAACAAAATAAAAATAAACATAGAATACCTTCTTTCCTATATGATTTTCTTCTGCTGATTCCCTGCATTCCAATGCCTTCTTATGGGTATTCTTGATTGTTACTTGGTAACTGTTACTCCTGTAAATATAGATGGCAAAACTTTTCTCGTATGTGAATTAATCCAATTACAATATGCCTCAAGGAGAAATCAAGAAAAAAGGTCCAAAGAATACTAAGAATGCACACAAAATTTCTAAACAGAAGAAAAATGTAAAGAAAGGAGGTAAGTGTTCCGATGTTGCTATATAGTTTTTGTTGGCAAAAACTATGTGTAGTTGTAGGTAGCCATTGCTTGTTTTTATGAAAAATGTCGTATTGATTTCTATATACGAAAGAAAAGAAAAGAGGATGGCTTTGGTGCTGTACAGCTCAATACTACATACATTTTTTTCTACTTCAAAAACCTTTGCTCGTTCAAAGCTTATAGAAATCATATTAACATAATCTAGCCCGTTATTATGCTCCTAGAAAAGCTGCTGCAGTTAAAGATCATATTGCCAATGAGGTATGTACTTGGAAGTTATTCTTCGGCTGTCTAGTTGAATGTTTCTGACTTTTTTCAATTAGGGTATTAGCAAGACTATCAATTCTCGCAATGAACGCATGGCTGCAGGACTTGCCAGTCAACAGATGGGAAAATTAACAGTTACCAAAAGCTTGGGAGATGCTGCTGTTCAAGAGTTAAAAGAGCAGAAGCATTAATGAGCTGTTTCAACAATGTTTACAAAAGGTTTTTGGGACTGGTATATGGTAATAAATTATTGATTTCATATTTCGGTATTATTTAAACAATCTGCCAAAGGAGAAAATACATATATTTCTTGGAAGGACAACTATGTACATGATTCACCAAATATATAATAATAATAACAAATAAAATCTTTTTAATCTGTGATATATGCCAATGAACCTCATAAACGCAAAAGACAAAGGTATAACATAATATCTCATAATTTCGATCTACGACCTCTTGTTGAACCAGGTGGCCTACCTCTTGGGTTCGGGTGAGGCTGATCAGCAGAGCTTTGTTCTGCATTATTGATTGCTCGATCGAGCATTTTCCATTCTTTTTGCCAAGTTTCAAGGAAATTCCGAGCCTTGAATAATTTTTCTCGTTGGACTGTTACTCCTTCGGAATCCCCTTTCCTATTCAGAAAGCTGAGCAGCTCCGTGAATTCTTGTTCTGAATCAGAAGACTCATCTAGTCGTTGTTCTTCCATGGCCGGTTCACTTTCAATTTGCTCTTCTTCAGTGCTGTCGTTCGATACAACATTTTGCAAATGCAATTCTTGCAATATGGGAGGTTTTGTAACTTGTGAAGAACCGTCGTATTTTGGAGATCCTGGAGACCTTGGCGATATATTTGTTGTTGTGATAAAAGCAATGTTTTGTAAAACATTTTGATCGGATCTGACAGGAGAGGAAGATTTCTTTGTAGGATTTGAGGGAAGTGGGTTAGAAATATTTTGTTGGTCCAACGGATTTTGTAAAAGGAAATCGGGATCTTGTTGAATTCCGGGAATAATTTTTGGAAGTGAAAAGTTTTCGGGACTGAGAGACTGGAATCGTTCTATTGATTTCCTCATAGAAATACTAAATAGATCTGGTAATATTAAAGCCCGTTGTGTATGGATAAACGCAGCTAAAAGTAGAGAATTAGACCATATCTCATACGCATTTCTGTAAGATGGATCATAGTAAATTTGGCTTCCATACTGAATACAAAGGTTGGCAATGTATTTACGACCGCATGTTAGCTTCGAGACTTGGCAAAGCCAATTTGGGTCGATTGCTAATAGGGTTGCACGAGTGCTGTTTACGTCTAGGTCGGTTTCCAAGGAATCTAATAACTGAACAACTATTTGGTTGGAAAAGTTTTTTTCGTCAATTGGAAGAACTGTTGACTTTTGGTAGTTGTTGAGATTTATGTAACGACGAGTAGCAGGGCGATCTTTATAAGCAGGTGTAATAGTTTCTATAGGAGTAAAGGATAACTCTGAATTTAATTTACAAACGTATCCTTCATTATTGGCGAAGCGTAACGTCCGATACGGACGTATTAAGACGGGTCGAACATACGGTTTTCGGATCGCCAGTTCGTGAACACCTAAAGGAAGAGCTTCATATGGTACTGAAAAAATGTGTTAGTAAATACTGTGAAGAAACTAGTAAGAAACACTTCCATCCTTGGAAATCTATTCGCAAAGACATCAAGTAATCGTAAATTTTTCAAACGAAGGACAGTTCGATCTAGTGTTATAGTCAAACTATGTTAAATGCCTATTTTTGGAAGGATCACAAACAAGCAAACATGGATTACAGAGGGAAAAGTAGGATGAAGCAAACGAATTCTCATCTTTTATGAAAGAATGACAACGAAACCATTCAATCCATTCAAATAATCGTCAGTGATCCAAACATGCTAGACATATTGGCGAACTTTTGCAAAGACCGCTGTACAGAATGCACAGTATATGTATTACATATCTTTAATTGTACTTACCCAAGGTGATCAAGCAGCGAAAGGGCCCTCCTTGTCCGTCATGGTCGAAAGGATTGCGAACATAGGAATCCAATACATGTGCCTCTAGAGGTTGGAAAGCATTTTGTAAGAAAGAGAAAAATTCTTCAATATCGGGCTTTTTATTATGAACATCCACCATTCCCTATACTATACAAGGGCCTCCTAACATGGAGCATGAAGTGATAAGGCTGTCTGTTTATATTCCACAAGAAAACGAATAATTCTTAATTCTCGGGGTTTTCACTAATTTCTAAGCCAATTTTCAATATAATGTTTTATTAAAAGCAATGTTTATAAATCATAGAAACACGTACTTCTTTTGCATAGATTGTTGAATTTGGTAATAGGTGGTTCAGAGGTTCTTGTCTACGTACTTGAATATCGTAAATAGATATTCCTTTTCGACAGAAAAATGGCTTGCCTTAACAAACAAAGCTTCTTAAAATTTTAAAAAATTGACAAATTGCGATGCACAAAGCTCAATATCTTTCCTTTACACCGAACTTCAGGCATCATAACGATCATTCTGTAAAAAATTGGACGATCCATCAAGGGCAAATGGAGTAATGGAAAGTGAAGCAAAACAGTTTAGAAAGTTTTTTAAATAAATATATCTTTCAGTTTCAATTGGTAAATCCTTCAAAATAGCTACTATTTTCCAATTAAATGGTTTATTATAATATCATATTAAATGGTAACTTGAAACGAAAGATATCTGGAAGAGCAGCCATCGTTTTAATTTGTAAATTACTTTGTTTTAATAGAAAATAAAACAACATTCTATTTTATAATACAGGGAAGTAGCATCTTTAGCGCTGTTTCTAGTCATTTGAAAGGTTTATTTTAAGATATGCGCGTGGTACTTTCACCAACACATTTCGTCTAAAGATTTGGTTTTTAAATTTACATTTTTGCTTTGATTATCTAAAAACTAAAACATGTAGGGCCTGTTTCTATTTACGAATCCGGTTTACTTCTTTGTTTACGGTCCTGCTTGTTACTCACAAACATATTACCGTACCAAAGTAAGGATCGCTACGGTAGCACAATTAACGATATCGTACATATCCATATATATTTAACGAGAATGCGGGACAGTTTGCAATCTAAAGCGGGCTTCTCTGGAACTTTCTTTAGATCCGCGCCAAAACGTAAGCACATGTAAGTTTTTCCGCACAACTAAGGTAACAGAGTCATTACGGATTAAACAGAGGCGAAAAACTGTAATCAATTACCGAAATATCCCATACTTACTTGAATTGCCTTTGTTTCATTTCATTTTCGGAAAACAATAAGGTACTTTTGTGTTCTCATACGCAAACTTTCTCTTTATGTAATTGCATTATGATGAACATATCATCCTCCATAAACTCTAGCCACTGAGCGTCTTTCGGCGACGACGCGTTCTTTTGTTTTCTTTTTCGTGTTTACAATAATCTTGTGGTTTGTCTATACTTTATACTTTTCAAAAAATGGCGCTTGTCGATCCTAGTAGAAGCAGCTAACATACTGTACCCGAAGTCGTCAGGGGAACGTAAGGGTGGTTCGGAGGGAGCATTGATAGGTAAAAACGCAATAGAGTCGTTCTCTTCCGAAGAAGACTGTCGAATGAGCGGAGCACGTCTCAAGGCATCTCCTTAATATGTGACTGTCATAAAATTTATATATAATAATGACGGACATTGACAAAGTTGTTTGCTACCAAACATTAGACACAATAGTAAATATGGCTGCTCCTCGTACATTTTTCGTCGGTGGTAACTTCAAGATGAACGGCTCTCAGGAGTCTATGAAGAAGATTGTTGGCGCTTTGAACGAGAACAAGCTCAACGTTGGACAAGTCGAGACTGTTATCTTCCCTCAAAACTTGTACCTTATCCCTACCCGTGAGCAAGTCCGTAAGGATATCGGTGTTGGTGCTCAAAACGTTCATGACAAGAAGAACGGTGCCTACACTGGTGAGAACAGCGCTGAATCTTTGATTGACGCTGGTATCAACTACACCTTGACTGGTCACTCTGAGCGTCGTACTATCTTCAAGGAATCTGACGAGCTCGTCGCTGACAAGACTCAATTCGCTATTGAACAAGGTCTTACTGTTGTCGCTTGCATTGGTGAAACCTTGGCTGAGCGTGAAGCCAACGATACCATCAAGGTCGTTGTTCGTCAATTGAACGCTTTGGCTGACAAGGTCAACAACTGGTCTAAGGTTGTCGTTGCTTATGAACCCGTCTGGGCCATTGGTACCGGTAAGACTGCTACCCCCGCCCAAGCTCAAGAAGTTCATGCTGAGATCCGCAAGTGGGCTGCTCAAAGACTCGGCGCTCAAGTTGCTGAAGGCTTGCGCATCATCTATGGTGGTTCCGTCAACGGTGGTAACTGCAAGGAGTTCCTCCAATTCCCTGATGTTGATGGCTTTTTGGTTGGTGGTGCTTCTCTCAAGCCCGAATTCCACAACATTGTCAACGTTCACACTATCTAAACGGAATGAATTTGTTAGTACAGTTGTTTAATTATTTTTAAGTAAGTAAATTCGTGCTTTGTATATTTTTGAAGCTTTAAATAGAAATGGTAGCATATATATCCGATTGATGCACATATCCTTTTGCTTACATAATGTTTATGTTGAAATGTAACTTCTTAAACCTTCAGAGAGCTGTTAGTTATTGTAAGTATGCGTGCATTAGTCTTCTAATAATTTTTCATGAAGAACTGTCCTTTCATATGTTTATTTATTTGTGAATCCTAAAATGATTACCGTATCAAATATATCGTAATTGACCGTGCACGTAATTCCATTCCTACTGCAAACCAATAATTAAACAATAAGAAAAGTGAAGAAATCGACCACTACAGTTGTTGACCATTTGTATTGTTTTTCAGCACTTTAAACAATACTTGTTTTTAGGCTCATTTCATCGTTCGGCTGTCGTATGCCACGGCTTGTTTGCTGAGCCCAACTATTACAGCAAGTCCCAGGAATAGCTTCTTGTTTCCCAGTGAGCCATCTATATATGTATGGCCGCCAAAATCGATGTCTATATTCTTAACTTTGAAAGCTCTAGTACATGCCAGGATACGCAGCCCGTAAACTTGTCTCACGATGGCTTTTTGTCGTTCAACCAAAGCTAGCTTGCCATAGATTCTGTGTAAATAGTCGCTCATTTTCAACGCACAAGCTCACGGATGATGGCGCATTACGAATCAATCCGGTGGGGATTCAGTACTTATCACCAGCCTTACAATCGCAGGTATTTCCTGGAAAACCTCATAAACCACCTGATTTGTATGTGGAGCTTGCAAAGCTTCATCTGCAAAAGCATGATCTCTTAGGTAGAGAGACTACAAAGTTACCATCCTATAATTTTCGTCTTCCTGCTTTACAAGGGAAAACCCTAGGGGAACACTTTGAAGCCATCGGTCACGAATGTGCCGAACCTTATCTCACAAACGCAAAGTCATTTGGCCTTTCTTCTTTGCCTTCCATCCCAAAAAACTGGCTTCATCAATCTGGATGGACCAGATACGGTTTCGATGATACCGTGGAACAAGTCCCTTATCCTAAGGAAGCCATGATTGTTTTTGACGTTGAAGTTTTGTATAAAGTTTCAGATTTTGCTGTCCTTGCCGTTGCTGCATCTCCCGAGGCATGGTACTGCTGGCTGTCGCCGTGGCTGTTAGGCGAAACAGAGCAGGATCGACACCTTATTCCTCTACGACCAGAGGGACATCTCATTGTCGGTCATCACATCAGTTTTGACCGCCAAAGAATTTTGCAGGAATACAATTTGAAACGGTCCAACAATGCCTTCATCGATACCATGTCGCTACACGTAGCTACAAATGGAATGTGTTCTCGACAAAAACCGACTTGGCTTAAGGCTAGAAAAGCTTTCAGACAAAGTGTGATTAATGAAGATAACGGTTTGGACGAAAACTCTTCTCAGATTGAGTCTAATTATCATGATTATATTGAACAGGAACCTTGGTTAAGACACAGCTCTGTCAATTCTCTCAAAGACGTAGCAAAGTTTCATTGTAATATCGAAATGAATAAAGACGTGCGTGATATATTCTCTGAACTTGATAAAGGGGTAATTTTACAGCATTTGGACGAGGCCATCTCTTATTGTGCTTCTGATGTCCATGCCACACATAAAGTCTATCAGAAGGTCTTTCCTCAATTTCTTGAAGTTTGTCCACATCCAGTAACATTTGCAGCTATGCTTCTCATGACTACTAGCTTTCTGCCAGTAAATAAATCTTGGGAGCGTTATATCAAAAATACTGAAGATTGCTTCCAAAGCATGTCTAATGCAGTCCAAGAAAAACTTTCTTATTATGCTGAACAGACAAAGAATTTACAGGAAGATGAAAGCGTTGTTTCTAAAGATCCATGGTTGCGTCAACTAGATTGGAGTCCTTGTAAGTTGTATCGTAAGCCGGCTAAATCAACTATTATACCTCCTGTTGTCCCAAAATGGTACAAAGTAGTATACGACAAAAATTTACAGAAAGCGGTTGTTTCTGACAAGTCTCGTCTTGCACCTATACTATTGCGTTTACAGTGGGAAGGACATCCTTTAGTGTGGTCACACGTTCATGGTTGGGTTTTTGGAGTGGAAAAGAAGTCTCAAGAACATATTGACAACTTTGTGCGCCGTAAATTCTTCCATTGCATATGTGACCCACAAAAGGACCCGAAGTTGGAAGCTGAAAGTTATGTATACTTTAAGGTTCCACACAAAGATGGCCCTGAAGCTAGGTGCGGTTCTCCTTTATCTAAAACATACCAAAGTTATTTTGAAGAAGGGATTCTTACCTCAAAATTTGAAATAGCGAAGAAAGCCTTAGAAATGAGTACGTCGTGCTCTTATTGGCGTAGTGCACGTGATCGAATTCAGTCTCAAATGGTAATTTGGGAAAAAGATGCTGATCTTGGACTTAAGTCTCAGCCCGATGGCTTTGGGATTATTCTTCCAAGGATTATTCCCATGGGTACTGTTACTAGGCGTGCTGTCGAGAATACTTGGTTAACGGCCTCTAATGCCAAAAAAAATAGACTTGGTTCAGAGCTTAAAGCTATGGTTCGTGCTCCTGAAGGATATACGTTCGTTGGTGCTGATGTAGATTCAGAAGAACTTTGGATCGTGGCTGCTATTGGTGACTCACAATTTAGATTACATGGTGCTACTGCTCTTAGTTGGATGACTTTGGAAGGTAAGAAATCCGAAGGTACAGATCTACACTCAAAAACTGCTGCAATCTTAGGTGTGAGCAGAGATGCTGCGAAAATCTTTAATTATGGTCGCCTGTATGGTGCTGGATTGAAACATACAGCTTTACTCTTAAAACAATTTAATTCTTCATTGGACGATACCCAGGCGGCTAACTTAGCTAAAGCCTTATATAAGTCTACCAAAGGTGTTCGCTCTGAAGTGAGTAAGCGTTTGCTTGCTATGGGTATACCAGAACACTATTTTTGGTCAAAAGGAAGTGAAAGCTTCGTTTTTAACAAACTCGAATCGATGGCTCAAATGCCTTTCCCCAGAACGCCCGTGCTGAACGCAGGAATTACTCAAGCCTTAAGCACAAAGAACCTTAGTAAAAGTTCATTCATGACTTCTAGGGTAAATTGGGCAATCCAGTCATCAGCTGTAGATTATTTGCATTTACTCGTTGTTTCTATGGAGCATTTGACACGTAAGTACAATTTGGAGGCTCGTTTATCCTTGACGGTTCATGATGAAGTCCGCTATTTCTCTTCAGTTAGAGACAGATTCCGTGTTGCGCTCGCCTTACAGGTTGCCAATTTGTGGACTAGATCCTTCTTCTGTCATCGATTAGGGATTGACGAATTACCTCAGTCGGTTGCATTTTTCTCTTCGGTTGATGTTGATCATGTATTAAGGAAGGATGTTAAGATGGACTGTGTGACGCCATCTAATCCGACACCTATTCCACCTGGTAAAGAATATAATATAGATGCCTTGCTTTGCCAGTTGACTGAAAACAATCAATATTTGGAGCCACTTGAACGTCTAGAAGTCGATAGTATTTCAGAAGGTGAAAGTATATTAAATAAGGAAGAGGATTTAAAGGCTTTGGCATACTTAAAAGCCCAAGCTTTTCATTAACACTGGGACCTGCAAGATTATCCTCGAAAGAGATAATTATGAAATTATTTGTCATTAAAATTCATTATATTAAAACATCTTAGTTAACATTCGGATTGGGGCTTACACCAAAAGGTTTAGTATAAATTAATAGGGATCACCGGCTTTTTCAGTTCATAAAGTAGCAATAAAAACGATTGTAATGAAGAAGTGAGAATAAAAATTGGAAGATGGTAGAATGCGTCAAGGATTAGTTATTACATATATGTATATACATATATACTCCAGATAAAAAAGGGTAAACCGTAAAGGAAAAAAAACAGACTTTAATGAGAGCCAAATACTCCGGTAGTTCTGTCAAGAGATGTTTTCAGAGCTGCCACCCAAAGGATTAAAGTATCTTCATCATCCACTCGGAATTCCATTGGCTTATTGAGAGTAATCACAGTAAATATGTACTTTCTGGATTTCTCAAATATATTAATTTCAGCAACGTCTTGGATTTCTGTGATAGGGATAAGCTTTACAGGCTTATACTCCATGTTCGAGTTGTAAATCGTCATACCATTACCGCGAACTACTGCCCAACATTTTGACCAGCGATGGATATTACCGTGACGCCAATATATGGGTCCCTGCATTAAAACCTTGTTTTCATCAAGCATCTTGTACAGATTTTGTAGCGAGGAAGAATGTTTGTGTTTTCGGAGGTTATTATTATTCAGTGTGTGGAATGGATCCTTGATTTCTTGTTCTGAAAAGCCTTGAGGCTTCAATTTTCCCAATTGTGTCAAGTCATACAAAGAGGTACAATAAAAGCTCGGAAAACCATTTTCCGTCGAAGAGGGACCATGGGGATTATTGGTTCGAGAAGAAGAGTAGTTTCCAAGATCGTTGTCAGAGACAAGTACATCCGGATCGCTTGTTGTTGCAGGAGGGGAGGAAATTAAAGCAAAGCGTAAAGGATGTCGAGAAAATGGAGCTCGGTAAGCAGTTGTTGTTCGTAAGGCTTGTACCCAGCTTTCAGCTTCGAGATTCGAAGGGGCAACGAATCGTATAATTTTTTCGTTTAAATACAGGTACAAAGCTAGAACAGTTAGATAAATCTTGCATCGTTCTGAAATCAATAAAAACCATACATTTTGGAGATTTCTCTTTATAATATGCTACAGCCGAAATGTCTTGCGTTGGAAAAATAAGCTTCGTTTTATACTCCTAAACCTAGTTAGAAAACAGAAGAGGAAAGCTTTTAAAAAAACCTTTTCGTCTTTGTAAAAGGACAACTTGTCTCTGCGAAGTACACCCCATAAATGCTTGCCTTTCTAAGTCAATAGGTTAGTGATTGTTAACACTTTGGAACAGTTGAAGTAAACAATAAAATAGAATCCTCCTTTCATAAGAAAGCAGCATCCAAAAAGTATGGGATTCAACTCCGTGAACAAGGTTACTTTCTACCTAGTCAAAAGAGCATAATAGAATTTTGTAGCGAATTCGCCAATGAAACGTTTCTAAGGAAGGAGAATATTTGAACACTTTTAGCGATCCCACATTACCGGATGCGTCTTAAATTCACAGATACTGTCCAAGCTGTATCTGGACTGTCTACGCGAACATACCGTAGTAGAATGACTTTTTCTTATCAACCAACCTGATTTCAATACTCGCTCTAATTCTTGGAGTCGTCTTGCTTCATCAAAGCTGGATTCCCGGATTTCGCATGGATTCATTTCCTGTTCAGCAAAACCGAAACTCTACGCTCATTTGCCGCTTCAATTGATTCATGGACAAGTTTCTTTACGATGATTTTTCTCAAATTAATTCCTTTCAAGATTGCTTTGAGAATTTGAAGTTTTCTTACTATTGCAGCGACGGTGTATGACACAACATTTACAGTCCTATAGGGAGTTTCAACGAAGGTAATCAGAAAAAGAAAAAATCAGACTTAAAAAAAAATCTATTATTTAAGAAAACATTTGTTTTCCATGTAACGTTTGTTCTGAGCTCCCAAGGGTATGGAATCTATAGATGAAGCTGACAAGCTCTTTGGCATCTATGAAAACAGCTATTTTGAAGAATTACTTCTCGATGAGTATTTAAGGTTGAATGCTGATTCTATTTTTTGTTTTTCTTTTTTTTTTCAAGGATTTTGTCAGAATGCTGCCGTTAGTGGATTCGACGATTTACGAGAGACTTGTAAACAAACTATTAATTTCATGAAGCGAATGAAAACGGATTCAAAATTAATATATGTCAACGAGTGCTGAAGAAGACCTTATCTTGTACGTCGATTGAGCAAAGAACATCTGCTATTTAATTAGGAGCTGTTTTAAAAGTGTTCATTTCAGCCCTTCACGAAATTCCTATATATAAGAAAAGGTAAGCTCTATAAATTCAAACGTATTCCTTATGCATAACGATAGTTGGCAATTTTTCTGCTAAGCATGACTGGATAAATCCGTTTGAATATTTGAATATATTTAAAGCTCTTCTTGAAGGTAAACATCTTGGAATAGCGTAAGGAAGAGATTGACTGGATGCAGCATATATTGAAAAGCATTACAATAGTAATATTCACGGTCACACCTAGGCGAAAATACCAGTTCCCGTCCGATCACTGCAGTCAAGCGTCTGAGGGCTTCGTTAGTACTATGGTTGGAGATAACATAGGAATCCGGGGTGCTGTAGGCTACTTCTTTTGCTGCTCTTAACTTCTTTATTTTGTTTTTCTTTTTTATACGTCTACGACTATTGCTTGCGATCGTTTTCTCGAAAGAATTTTTGCAAGCTGTTCCTTTACAAGTGACAAAAGACTAATTACAAGTTCAATGAAAAGAAATGAAACGATCGTATTCAATTGCAATTAAGAATAAGAATAATAGGAATAATAATAATTAAGAACCTAGTATGATGCCAATGATCTCAGATTACGGTTCCTTTCAATGCGCGGATTGTATGCATGCCTTTCTATTGTCCACTTTTCTTCGCCATTTCCAATTCATGTTGGTACAAGGATGAGTCCGTAGTCAAAATTAAACACAAGAACGCTTAGCAAAGGGATATAAATAAATACTTATCCGAACAAATTGCTTGTAATGTTATCTTTTTCCACTTAGTGACTTTCGATCGGAAGAGTTAAGACTCATGAGAAAAGAAAGGTAAACAAATTAGCATTAACTTTGAGTTGTAGGATTGCTTTGCAGCTCTATTTCTTCGTTCGTAGTTGTCGGCGGAGGAGCT